CTTTTTTAATATTTATTCAAATGGGTTAATCTTTTAAAACAAAAACTGGATGCCGAAATGTATGTGTTAAGAAATTCTTATTTCTAGTTACACCCCCAAAATACTTTTACCAAGATTTATCATAAAACTGCCAGCAAACTGTGGTAAAAAGGAATGACTTAATCAATGACTCGTGAAATTTCAAATACTCTTGTAATAAACCATGATAGTTTTGAGTTGCAGTGTTACAACATCCTCTTTCAGTTTCTAGGTATCATAGAGATATGGAGGAAGACCAAATGACTCTTGCTACAGATGCAGCAAATCCAGAAAGTGAGGTGAAAAGTTTGATAACCAGTGATGTACTGGTAGAAGAAAACTCAATACAATGCACAGGGAAAGAACACACAGAGGTATGAGAATCTTCATCTACTTTGCATACATTAAGGACTATTTCGCACCTTTAATTAACTTTGAAACTCAAATTTGCAATAGTTTAGCTCATTGTCTAGGTAAAGCCCTTGGTGTGTCTACAAGGAAAGATTAAAACTAAATCTCAAAATTACTTCAAGTCCATGTTTTCAAAGCATCCATTTTCAAAGCAGCATGAAATTGTCTTGTAAATAGAATAATCTTCATGCCAGGGCAAACTTAAACAATGGAATTGCTCAACAGGCGTTAATTCATAATTTCTCTTGTCAACTGAGATGATTTCCTTCATGGAAACTGACAGTGACATAGAGTAACCAGACTGAAGTATCATCATTTTGAGTTTCAAAGTGCTTCAGAAATTCTCATGTAAAGGGGACCTTATAGATTTTTCTTGTAAAGTCATTTGGATGTACAAAAGTTGACAGTTTTAGCTCCTTGGGTATGGTTAATTTCCTTCCTTTTCAATACCAATAGATTAGTTGAAGATAATTCCAATTGATATTTTTTTAGTCTTGGCATTTATAGGCTATAAAAATGAATTTTTCCTCAATTCAATCAGCTACAGTATAGAATATGGGGTTATACAGTAGCTACCTATGGCTCAAGAGAGCAGTAGAAATGGTTTGTTGTTTGATCCTTAGCAAAAAATGTATTCATCATGAAAACATTGCTTTTCGAGACTAGTTGTCTTTTTTGATACCTAAAGTAAAATGTGATAAATGCAATAAAAATGATGTGATCATGATTGAAGAAAACATTTGGCTCAGGACAACTGACAGCTCATCTGAAAAAATCAAGGCATGCAGCTCTGTGTACTGTAAACAACCAATTACGCACCCAGGACTCAAGTAAACTCCCAGCAACAATAAGCACCTACCATTAGACAAAGAAGTAATAATAAGCATCATGTTTGATTAAGCACTTTTTTCAGAATTGGTGCCTCTCAACTCAAACTGAGTCAAAAGTACTGTTTTTTTATGCAGCTTATCACCTGCTAGTGATTAGTTCTGAAAGAGACTGGGGAAATGGTCCCAAAAACACAAGATAGAAAATTCCAGTCTTGAAAAACAGATTTTTTGCTCATTTAAAATTGCATACAACTGCATAAAGAAAATCAAGAACTATTATTTACAATATGCTTACATTAAACAAACAGTGCCTGGCTGCTGAAGAGTGGCAAGTTTCTTGACATTTGCCCCTTTGACCTTTTAATGATTTTTAATGACCTTTTAATAACCTTTTTTATGACCAGTTGCAAACCATAAAACACTTTTGAAACCTTTTGTTCCACTGGGTTATAAACACACAATCATAATTTCTGCATACCCAATTTGTTGGACTAATAAACCTTCTGTGACTTTTGGCCATCTAATTTTGCACACCTGTTCGAATTTCAAAATTAATCTTGCTGGCTAGGTGTTTTGTTGGTATCAGAAATATCCCCAAGTAGACAAGGCGGAGAATAGGGGAATGGTCACTTGAGGGCGAAATTAATGGGACCAAGTGCTTATTGTCAATTCGAGGGTGCTGATTTCGAAAATCAATGTTATACGGGGATTTTGTTGGGCCATCGATTACACTTTTAAACTTATCACTGATTTTAAAGTACACTTTTAAAATTATATAACAGATCATAGGGCTTAAAATGCAGAAAGGTAAAATTGAAATAATGAGACACTTTGATTAACACCGAAAGTAGAAAGCTGAAAACTGATTTCCTGATACTAGTGGTACACTGTGGGCTTGAGAACACCTCAATTCAACTGAATGGCTTGAAGAGAATTCTGACCAATAACAGGAAAACTCTAAGAACCTTGAAAACGAATTAGCCCACTTTCCTAAATGATATTTTGAATCAAGTGGACAACGATTACATGATATAAGATGTAAGATTGCACAATGATATGTTGAAGTTATTGATTGCTTGTTTATCACAAAATTTAATGGCATTGATAGAATTATATTTCAAGAAGGCTTTGGAGTAGGCAATATCTTTTCACAAATGGGGACAGCAGTTCTCAAGTCTTCTCGCTTCCTTCAAGACATGAAGAGTTTTTTTATTGGACATTGAATATTTTTTTCTCATAAGGCAACCGTTTTGTAACGATGAATTTAAAACACGTTCGAGCTGAATCGCACAGTTACCCTAATTTACACACAAGTTTGAATAAAGCCAAAAGATAAACAACCGTACGCACACAGAAGCCAATCCCGTCTTGGGATTCGCATCTCAACATTAATTGCAAAGCCTTTGTTGAAAACGTACATATATTAGGGAGGCAGGACTATTCTAAAAGCCATGAAACATACAAAGTTTTTATTACAAAAGGCATGATCATAAATATCAAATATTTTCAATTCCGTTTCAAGTGAACAAACCATCATTAAATATTAAGAGTTCAAAAATTAATTTGTTCAAGAATCCAGTGGTACTATCCACAACAGAAATCAAGAAATTGATTGTGGACTTTCGAAAATAAAAACCGGCACCGTAAAAATCATAATATTTCAGAATGCGAGAAAAATAAGAGGTGGAATTCTTCAAACAGGAAAAATAAAGTGGTTGGATTGTAAGAATACAAGAATAAACAGCGAGGCTGCAAAATTCTAAGCAATTTGCTAATCACTTTGCTGCCCAAGCTGAGATTTGCAATAGCCATTCGTTTCAAAGGGGAATAAAGATAAATTGATGATGTGAAGCAAATGATGTGAAAACCCCCAGGGGGCACTTGAACTTTTTATATACGGGGAGGTCCATCCGCAGTTATCCAGATTCACCTAAAATTGTCAAAAAACAAATTTAACAGACCTAAAGTTATCGCCTAAAAAGTGTTGATAAGATCCAAAAATATAAAAATCTTGTTTTTGAGCACAAACTGAGCAAATTAGACTGTTTTTCCAATAATAATTACATCTGCTCTTTTATTCACCCCGTTTTGAATTTTTTGTGTGTTAGTTCAACCCACAAGTATCAAAAAGGTATATTGTTAAATCAGGTACAAAAAAGAATCAGATCACACGGAAAATGTTTACCCATTATTATCAGATGGACACCTGTATATAAAAAGTTCAAGCAACCCCCTGGGTGAAAACCTTCCTTTTATGTTTTATGAAAATATATCACACATAAAATGCCTAGTGATATCTTGATTAAGGTTCATATCGCTGCCAAGTAAATATAGTCTGGCTTACCATGCATATGCTATTAAAAACGTCAGACATTATAATATGCTAGCAGCGCAAGGCTAAACCAGTGTTTTTAATAACATAAATTCAATCTTAAATTGGTATATAGAACAGAAAGGTTCTTACTAACGGTTCTAATCCGTGTTTTGATGAAAATTTAGCAGGCTTTGACATTTGTGGCAGTGGTTAAGGTTGTGTCATCATTTAGAATGGTTCCGTGAAAAGACAGAACTGTAGTTTACCAAAGCAAGTTATCCACTATAACTTTATATTTCTTTCTTTTTACAACAGGTGATTGAGAGTTGCTTGCCTGTGGAACCAATGGAGAATCTGACCAGTGAAGTTGACAGTGACAGTCAAGAAGCAACGGCGAATCCTATCGACAGCCTTTTGAGCAAAGTTTCGGACAAAGTTTCTACCTTGGAGCATCTGCCTGAAAGTAATGCTCAAAATTTTGTGGCTCAAGCAAAGGAAGATGAAAACTGTAGTCAAAGTGTGAATGGGATGACGAGGTCAGAAACTTTGGACGATCATCGGAATTCTGCCAAAGATGAAAATACCACTGAAAGCGAAAATTCTACACAAAATGACAGTAACTTTCATGAAGCTCTTGATGATCTTAATGGCAATATAGAAACGAAAAATGAAGAAAATTCAGAAGTTACTGACGCAGATCCTACAAGTGATATCATAAACAATAACAAAAGCTTGTCAATGGAAGCTGTTGATGGGAGTATAGCTTACAACAAATCATCAAGTGAAAGTAACACTACTGATAGAAAAGGAGAAGGATTTGATAGTGATCTTGTTTCCTCTGCTCCATCAGATGGTGACTGCTCGGATCATATCTTAAGCCGCAACAAAGAGTTGGAAGCTCATAATATATCTGGCCAACAAGACGAAAATCCTTCAACAGATAGTACTTTGAGAATTATATCTCCTTCGCTTTGTCAACAAGAAAATTTTAAAGATTTTGACGCCGAAATTCCAGTTGATATAAATAATGTCACACCTGAAGTAAATGTTTCTTTGGGAACTAAAAACGCAGAGCAACATGACAAAGCTATTATCACAGGAGGGGTTTCTTTGGGAACTAAAAACGAAGAGCAAAATGACAAAGCTTTTGTTACAGGAGAGGTTTCTTTGGGAACTAGAACTGAAGTGCAAGATGACAAAGCTGTTATCACAGGAGAGGTTTCTTTGGGAACAGAAAACGAAGAGCAAAATGACAAAGCTCTTGTCACAGGAGAGGTTTCTTTTAGGACTAGAACTGAAAAGCAAAATGACACAGCTTTTGTCACAGGAGAGGAAATTGGAAATAAAATTGAAACACTGGTGCCGGATAAAGGGGAAATGAAAAAAGAAACAAATGTGCATGACATTAATGAGGAAGAATGCATGATGTCGGGTTCCAACATATTTGACAAGATACGATCTGAAACAGAGATCGTTCATGAGGACGAGGCCATGGAAATAGCCTCTTCATTGTTTCTCGAAGCTGAAGAATCTGAAAATGACACCGATGAAGATATAGGAAATGATGAATCTACTGAGAGTGCAGAGAGCTTAGCAGACGAGAGAGTTACTGAGGTGCAAATAGGTGACGACGATGATGAGGCAATGGATATAGATGTTTTTGGCGTTGCTTCTACTGGAACTAATGGAATGGAGCAGGATAAAATCATGAAGGAAGAAGAGAGTGCATCTGAAGACGAAGATACAACTAAGCCAGATAGTGCGACTGATACGTCAGCAAATCTCACAGCTGCACAAAGACTTATCCAGAAATTTAAACTACAGATACAAAATAAAAGAAACAGTGAAGATACGGTTGACAGTGATAGGCCAAAGCGTGTAGTGCAGCTCCCAGCAGAAAGGAAACGTGGGTTAACAAAACCAGAAGAGACTCTAGAAGTTGCTGCTGAAACAAAAAAGCCCAAAGTAATGCAAGGCTTGAAGAGAAAAACGGAAGGTTCTGAAGCAGATGATGATGATACGAATATAAAGGTTTTGAAATTCATACCAGGCAAGCCAAAAGCTATGGAAGGCTCCAAACCAAAACTTCAAAAGTTAGTTGCGAGAAAATCGATACAAAAATCTTACTCTGCGAGAAAAACTGCCCTCAGCTTGAAATCTACCAATGAGGACCAGACTGTCCCTACAGCTAGCAGCAAGGCACGAAAACATGCCAATTTCACACAGAATCTTACAAAATCGGTAGGAACAGTGGAGCAAATGGTGATGGAGAGGACAGAAAAAGGATTTCAGTCCAAAAGAGGACCAAAAGATACAGTAACAATGAAAGTGTCTGTCAAAATAATGTGTCAAGAGGGACCGAAACGTGTAAAGTCGACTGCTAAAGGAAATGTTAACTTGATTGATAAAAGTGTTCAGATTATTACTGTAAAAAAGCGTGCGGACATCCTGAGCGAGAAGGAAAAGTCGACCACCGCACCAGCAAAGCCCACTGTGGACACCACTGCAAAAGCCAGTATTGACCAGAGTCTAACTATACGAGAAAAAAACATTCAGAGGCTGAAAGAACTCATCAAAAGACAAGAAAAAACAATTGAAATGATAAAGAGTGGAAAAGAGAAAAATAATGACTACAAAAAAATAGTGGAAAGTGCATTCAAAACTGTTGATTTAAAGGACAGCGAAAAGGCAGTAGGAAAAAACGTAAAATCGATGGAAAAATCAAAAGAAGGCGAGCAGAAGCAAAACACTAGCCAAAGCAATCAACAAGCTTCATCAACTGATCTGTCCAGTATAAGATCCTATCCACAACATCGATTACTATTACCCAAGAAAAGTGTTGATAGCACTCAGCTTAAGATACAAGGAGGATCAGTAGAATATGTACACCCAAGTTCCAAAAACATGACAAACATTCTTGTGCCTAACAGACAGATTCCACAAGCAATATCTATCAAGCCTGCAGTATCGTACAAACCAATAATGCCTTCATTTACCACTTCCCAGCCTGGAAAATGTGATGTGTTAACATCTACAACAAACAAGGGTTATATTTCTGCAGTCTCAAATGTTTCAGCATCAGATTTGAAACACGCTGGGCAAAGGGTAGTTGCAACAACAGCACTGCGACCAGGCATGTTTCCAAACCCTTTGATTCCAACAATGAAGCAATATGTCTCTATTCCTACAACAGCTCTGCATTATAAACCGACGCAGTCAGTTGCCTGTGTGCCTCCAACGCATATTCCCTTAAAAATGACTGCCAGTTTTCATTCGCCCTCTCCACTCTCAAATGAACCTAACTCTGATGTCCTCCCAATAGGACATGCAACAACAACTGCTTCCTTTGTCGTAAGTCCGCTGATTTTGGGTTCATCTGCAGTGAGCCAGTCAAAGCCAGTGGCGCCACCTTACCAAAAACCAGGAGAACTGTCAATGACTGAAAAAGCATTCTTAACACCAGAGACTACCACGGCATCGGTCTTACCAAAGATAACCAGTGTTCGGTCGTTAGCAGGACAGCAGAAAACAAAACCAACAGTAGTTAGTCAGGCAAACTCCTGTGACACATCTAGTTCGTCTGAAGAACATGTCAGTTTAAGCCTAGATCAACGAGTAGGGCTTCTAAAGACTTTAGAAAAAGCAAAGTCATTGATGTGTGATAATGTCAAGAAAAGTGGCTCAGAAGATACGCCAACAGCTTTAACCTCGTCATTTTCTACTGTAACTTCACAAATACGAACAGTAGAAACGACTAAAGCAAATACTTCTCAGCTGGTTTCTTCACCAAGCACTTGTACAACCATTTCCAATGTGGTTGTGACAACGAGGTCCTCTGTTTGTTCTCCCTCTCGTGCTGGTTTGTTGTCAACTGATTCTTTAAAAGAACAAGCAACAAATCCTGCAACAGACAAGCTAGTCAACTCAGTAAATACCAAAACACTGGAACATCGTGGCATGCCTTCAACAGCAAAGGTTAGTGAGTCCATTCCACAAGCAAAAGAGCCTCCTACATATCAAAAAGTTATTCTTATTCAAGACCATGGAAAATTTGCTCTTATGCCGGTTGGAACTAATTCAGATCTACCAGGCTCTTTTTTTATAAAATTAGAAAATAGACCCAAATACCAAAAAAATACTGCAGCTGGGACATTATGGAATGGTGAACCACACCTTTTGAATAATGAGCCACCACCCCTGGCACCAATTCGACCCGCAATAAGCCAGCCCAGATTTCACCCAGTTGGTCAAAATGTTAGCTCTAAAAGTGAGAAGCCCCTTCCAGCATTGAAGCAGGCTATAGACCCCGAGGTTCAGAAAATGATTGACGAGTTAAAGTCTGGCAGAGGGCAAAATATCGGAATACCATCCATTGCTTTAGGGAAGTCAGTTCTTGGCAAATCTACCAACAATACGGAAGTTTTTTCTAGCGACCAACACATTCAGAATACCAGAATGGGTAACCCCGCATTGATTTCCCCTGCATCTCACCAAAATTTGTTGACTTCTTATTCAAACAAAAAACAGGTCTCTATTTTGCCAAAGCCGAAAGAACCAGGACCACGTTCAGAAACCAAGGAAAGTCCTCACACAGATCCCTATGACACATCTCCGTTTTGGCTGACGAGATCATCCAAAGTCAAGTTGCAAGAGGAATCTAGAATTAAACTGTTCTTGTCAAATAGTGATGAGGAATTGAACGGAAGGACAAACGTTGTTCAGCAAATAACTGAAAAATACCCGCTTGTATCATCGCAGTCCACTTTTAAGATACGATTTGGGGCACTCGAGAACCAGTTTTTGTTATTAAACCCAATAAGGAAGGCCTGGGCCGTACTTCCCGATCCTGATGATGAAGAATTCATCCAGCTTCTCGGAATTGAAAGTGCTGTTCAGCGAATAAGCTGTTTAAGAAACGAAGGCTATTATATTCCATCACCTGACATATTTGCCAATACCCCAGAAGAAGGACCAGGGGACAGCGCACAAGGTTCTAAAACAGAATCTACGTCTAAAAAAGAAAATATTATCCTCAAAGAAACAAGTAAAAACCAAAAACTCATTCAAATTGACCAACAAGTTAAGTCAAAAATGAAAAGGTTAATCGAAGAGAGATTAACAAGCATGAAAAAGAAAAAGCTTGCAGAATCAACTCACGATAGGGAAAGTAATGGTACCTCGCCTCCCGCTGTGCAGGAGAATAACACACGTTCGGGAGATGAAAGCGAAGAAAGTAGCGACGAACATGATCAGCGACCAAACCAGGTAGAACTAAAAGAAATCCGTGTTGTTGTTGAAGATGTAATGCTTGGTGTAAAGAAGTCCTAGAATTGACTATTTGATATTGTATAATAGCACATATGCCGGAACATTAAAAGTGACAAGCTTAAAACCGAAAACATTCAAGATTTAAGTTTACCCTCGTGAAAAATAAATTGTTAATTGTACGAGCGAGTTATGCCTTATGACTCATGGGTTGGCTGCAGCTAATAGAATTTAAAGAATTTCTTGTGACGACCAAATCTAACTAAGCCGTTTCATTCTCCAAAAAGATGAAATTGTTATTGATTCACATTTCGCTTAACTTGCCCGGCAGAAAAGCTATTTTTTAAGATAGATGCAGGGATCATCTTGGTTTAACTGTTGTTTAGAAAGTAACATATGATAACTGCCCCCAAAAACATTACCTTGCGTAGTTCGATATAGCGGGGTAGCTCCTTCAACATAAAATGGTTACTTAAGAAAATTCTTACGCTGCTCATCGTCGCCAAATTAGAATTAAATCCCTAGACTAGAATCGTTTACTATGTACAGTAATTTTTTTTAGATGTAAAAAATATCCATCTCACACTAACATTCTTACTAAAAAGTTCCCATTTAAGCTGTTACCGTGGAATTTTGATAGTATTTGGTAATATATCTAACTTTTACATTGGTTTAAAAAGTAGCATACCTCTGACAACCGTTTTTGTTGATAGTTTTGTATAAGCAATTCATTGTTTGAAATTTCATTGGTTTTCTTATCTGAGCGTTATTTATAAGAGGATTTTGTTATTTTTGCTATACTTCGTTCGGAAGCTAATCAGTACGTGCTATGCATATAAAAATTACTCTGAACTCCCAGCGGAAAGAGTCCTGCTTTACGTCATTCATTTCTTATACTAATACTGCTACTTCCGCCCTGTATCTCCCAGAATGATATTAGCAGTTTGGGTATATGTAAGTCACATGTAAAAAACATCCTTCTTAACTTCCTACGTCGTTTGATAGTAAACCAGCATAGTTTCGAGGGCGAAGAGGAGTATGGTTAAATTCGACCTTGATCATTTATGTTAGCATTCGAAAAGACATTTACAATGATTTTAGATAGACCATCAGGGAAACTGCATTTTCACACGGGTCCTTTACTTTTGCAGCTTTATTGGGATTTGGGGCCGTAAAAAAATCCAGTGAATGTGATTCCCAGTATAAAGGCTCTAGTAAAATGAACTCTATTGCAGGATTTTTGAAGTGGCATACGTTTCGAGTGGAATAAGCAGCTTAATTCTTGTTTTTTGTTGCCTCCCAAATATGCAATGAGAATAAATGTTAGCTTGATTTCAGTTTCAAAACTATATATGGAGGACTTTATAACAAGAAAAAAATAAATAAAAAAGATTACGTGATCAAGAGCTTCTCAGGTCATAAACACTCTTCACCCAGCCACTGAAGTCACTATCTATCCAACATTTTCACATTTATCATTAAATATTTACCTTAATTTGAACAATTTGAAATATACAGTCAAGGCCTTCAGGACCGACATTCTTACTTGAATGGAGGGGTGAGGGGGGGGGGTCTATTTCTGAATCGCAGATCACTACAAAGAAACTTAAAACATTTTTATTACTTTATATTTGTTAAGAGCTGAAATTCTCTGAAGAGCTGATATAAGAGTTAAGAGCTGTTAAGAGTTAAGTATGAGAGCTGAAATTCATTTTGAGTAGCTTTTTAACAGAAGGTAACAAAGGCCCTGTTTACACGGGATCGGATCCAAACAGTATCGGATCTATTTGGATTCAAGATGCGCGGATTTGTTTGCGCAATTCAATTATGAAATTTTGGCGGCAATTATTCAGCCTCATAAGGGAGAAAATAATTTACCCTATTCTTGTCTTTTTGTTTCCCAATAAAATGCTCCTTGGATTTTGTTTACTTTAAATTCCAGCACATCTTTCAGCAGTAAAGCCGTCTCCTTATCAGTCCAACCAAAAACTTTACTCTATGGTCCTTAAAAAACTTCGAAAGTCAAAAGATTCGAAACAATAAATTTCTTGTCTTTTTGGCGTCAAGTCTAGGAATGCAATATACGAAGTCCCTCGATATGGACATCTTCCCCCTTATTTTGTATCCGTACCTGTTTGGATCTGATCAAAACCGTTTACACAAGACCTTTTTGGGATCGGATGCAAACGGGACCACCTTCAAAAGCAATCCCAAACGGGTACGGATAGCAGATCCAAATGGGATCGGATCCGCCAGATCCTGTGTAAACGCAAAGCCTATCCGTAACACTTTGGGTACGGATCCGATCCCAAGGTGTAAACAGGCCCTAAATGTTGAGAACCAAGTGGCCCCTGAAGAAAATCTACATGTTTTTTCTGGCCTGGCACTCAAAATATTTAAGAACCCCTGGTATAAATCAAAGCCAAAAATGGAGTTTGGTCCAGGTGGATTTGGGCTTGTTCGGGGGTGGGGACTTCAAGAGTAGGGGCTTATTTGAGGGGGGCTTATAGGAGGGGGATGTACGAGTGGAGGGGCAATTCGAGGATTTACGATATGATAGTAGTGCATAGAAATAATATAAATAGGTTGATCAAGAATTGCTTTTTATATTCTCTAAAAACTCAAAAAAGCTTTTGTAACTAGAAACTCAAAAAGAACAGGCCCAAGGGCAAAGGGAATTTGTCATCTTGTGATCATGACACCCCATATCACCATTTGGAGGCATCACTTTATCAAACTTGTTGGCAATGTAAAGGGGAACATACTGTCCTGGTTTTCATCAATAGTAACATATACTTTTTATCTTCTTGTGTCATTGTAAACAGAAGGCAGGAGTAACAGGTAAAATTATGCTAACTATTTTTCCAAATATACCCATTTCTATTCTCACCCAGTGCCAAGCCTCCGTGCCATATTTACCAACTCTTACATCATACAACTCATCTTTCCTTCCACGAGCTGGTGAACTCTGGGATGTTTTATCCCTTTTTGTTTCGCAAACTCACATAATCCGTTTTCCTACATAGTCAGGGCTGTTAGTCCCAACATAAAAACTTCGCCCACAAGGGTAGTTTTGGGCTCTGAGCAAGATAAGATGCATACTTAAGTATTGGCATCTTTGTGGTTGCATTGTGCAAGAGAGGCTAAGTTACATTGTTGCAGATTAGGTTTTGAAGAGATGTTTCAACTATGATGTTTTTGTTTATATTTTGCTTTCTAAGCTCTCGTGCCAGCATCGTAAAGAGTACCTCTTTGTTCATGTAAACTCGAAGAAATTGACGCCAATGCTAATAGGTGTTGATTCGACATTAGAAACCCTTATACCACCTCCTTTCTTTTCCCTTGCTTCAAATTTCAGACAGTCTATAAATAGCACTTGAGGGCATTTTTTAGCTGGGGTCTGGATCTTATATTTTTGAGCATATCAAACTGCCTATCTCTACCAAGTTTCATGTTGGCAACACAAATTGCAGCAACATTATTAGAAAAAACGCTTTTGGGGCCTGGGACCTAGTTCAACAGTCTATAAATAGTACTTGGGAGCATTTTCAGCTGGGGTCTACATCCTATCTTTTTGAGCATATCAAACTGCTCATCTCTACCAATTTTTATGCTGGCATCAAAGCTTGCAGCGATATTGTTGGAATAAATGTTTTTGGGGCCTGGGTTCAAGTACAACAGTCTAAAGATAGCATTTGGAGGCATTTATCAGCTGGAGTCTGCATCTTATCTTGTTCAGTGCCCAAAACTACCCTAAGTGGACAAAGTTTCATGCTGGTATCTGATTTTGCACAACATTTTGGCTAACAGCCCTGACTATCAAAACTATAACCAACAAACCTATTTCACCACCTTCTCTTTTGTGCCTCTGTATTCCTTCCTGTCTTAGAGCTTATGAAGGAATTCAGGCATTTCCAATTGTTACCAAAAAATTCTAAAAAAATGAATAGCCACAGACTTTTTGACAGACACAAATGGAGAAACATATAAAATTTTCATCAGTGCATCGGCTTATATCTGCAGATCTCTCTTAAGTACCTATTGAGGCACACATTGTGGCATATGTAGAGATGAACTTGTGTTGTCACTAATGCTACATAGAGATGACTGATGGTAGGGAAGTTCTTTGTAGTTTACAAATTTATGTTCAATCACACTTCATTTTTACTAATAAAAAGCTACGTATTCAACCTTTCAAATAATTGTTAATCTACACAAACAGAAATTTAAGCGTACCCAAAGCAAAAGCACACAGAAGGAAAATGTTTTTATTGAGAGTCAAGTTTAAAATACTTTCAATAAAAATACCTAGGCAATGAGGGTTTCACAAAATCCCAAATAAAAGAAGGACAATCTACAATTTAAACTTCAAAGATTTGAAGACTTTAATCAAATTGAATTTGATGCATACCAAAATAACTGAACATATTTAAAAGAGGAATACATTAATGCCATATACAAGAGTTTTCACTTCTCAAACCAACTTTCCATTGTCCACAAAAAGATAACTGATTTCACTTTTTAGTACAAACAATAGATCAACAGATGCACACTCTTCTACCTGATAGAAATACATGATCTTTATTTGTCAACCATATGCTGGTCTCAGAATTTGACTGTTTCCTGAAATGAATTGATGTTTCCAAGATGACATGAAAGAAAATTGAAAACCACTAGCTTATTCAACTGGAGTAGACTTGAAATTACTTGATGTCATTCAAAATTCAGAGGCTGTTTTATAAACTCACGTCACACTAAATTTTCTGTGTCTTCAAGTTTGGCTCCCTGGCCTTTTGGATATCTTCATCACTTTTCAACGATATCATTGAATTGTATTCCTTTTGACCAAGGTCAGCAGGCTCATCTGGGATTTCCTGAATAAAAAGATTATACAATCCAAGTCAAACAATAAGATAAACTAACTGAAGAAAATGTGAGAATAATTTCCAAAAGGCATCAATAATGTAGGAATAAACACATTCCTCAATGATCATTGAATGTTTCTTTCTTATAAAGCAAGATGGAGAGAGTGAGTGAAAAATGCTAAAAAAGCAAGATGGAGAGACTTAGTGAAAAATGCTAAATGTTATATACTTTAGCATTTGAAGATTACTCTAACTAATTTATTTTTAACTTTTTTACAAAATTACTGACAAGCTCACTAAGAACTAGGAAGCCCCTTGGAGCCATGAGACAGTTGATCACAATCATAGTTATGGATACATTAGGATCAGTATTTATGCAGTTATACATAATAGTGCTACTCTAACTGTTGACAGCTTATAGTATTGCCCCCCTTTGGGAGTGCTAAAAATCCAAGAATTTCAAAGCATGGGGTTAGCAAGGACAATCTTCAGCCCATACCTTCAGCCAATACCAGCAGTGGTAAAAAAAGTTGCCCTTGTGTGCTACAAAGATAACGGACAAATTTTGGGTGTCATTTGCACAATTTTGCTTCTTTCACTATTCTTGTGCAGGCGTTTTTTGCAAATATCATTATTCATACACTTTAGAAAATATGCAGCAAAAACTTTAACGAGAACATATAATGGGACTGCACTTACAAGGTTAGGTTTGTAGTAATGATGGACAACTGAAGCTCCAGAAAACATGGCACCAACACTGATCGCCATAAACATAATGTACTTTCTCCAGGAAGTCCCACCTGGCATTTCTAAAACAGTGTGTTTATTGTTGATCCTCAGCCTCTAAAGCAGCTCTTCGTTTCTGGGCTTCAAGTCTTATCGCAGTGTCATCTGAAATGAAATGACAATTCTTTAGGCGGATAATGGACACTTTTTCGGAGTTATCGACAAATAATTTCAAATTGGTTTTGATTGCATAACATTTTCAACGTTCTTAAGTGCTTCCCAATATACAGGAAAAACACATGAACTTACAAAATGTTTCTTTTCCGACTCTAATTTTAATCATAAAAAGTTCTATTGCTCCACCTAGAAGGAAAAATATCGGCAAATATTTGTATGGCCCAAGTTTCTGTACCCAACTGCTGCCAGGCATCATCCCGCCATTTATGGCCTCGTAGTGTCGTGGTTGACGGAAATAACCAACTGCAACAACAATGAACAACCACAGCCACAAATCTACCACAGTTGCTCAAATTAGTTTGTTCATTATCATTGGTAATGGCGCCATTGAAGGTTAAGCGTTCCGATTACCAAAAGCAGAAACGACTTTTATGAGATTAATTTTTAACTGTAAATTTACGGCATAGGGCACAGAAGACACATTCAAAACAGCAGTCTCGTTGAAGTGTTAATCTTGTCTAAGTATTCGTTTTATTATCATATAAAATACGGTAACACTAAAAGAACTAGGTCTCGGGAGAAGAACGTCCATCAAATGGACCTATGGCAAAGAGCGTTCGTCAACACGGGGGTCTAGAGAAAAATGTTCTTCAAAACAGGCCTTTGAAAAGAGCATTTGTCGAATTGGTCCCTTGTAGAAGAACTTGTGTCAAGTTGGGCCACTATAGAGGATAGTCTACAATGACGAAAAATAACTGCTTAAAAATTGGACACTGGGATTCCGTTGTAGAAGTAATGATGATAAAGATTATATTTACAAAAATAATCATACAATATCTTTACCTTGAATCCAAAAGCAGTCTTTTGAGATGACTGCTCCATCAGATCAAGAAATCTCTAAATGTCCTTGTACTCTATCGGTTCGCTCCTCAAGTGCTCAAGGATGGTCATCACCATTATCTTTGAAAAAAGTCCACTGCGTCATCAGACTGCAGCCATCCGAAAAACCAAGCAGCTTCTGAATTTTGAATGTGCCCAAATGAATTTTCTAAGCAACTGCCAGTCTAAGCATGCATAATCGACTTACTGTAAAAAGAAGAACGATCGTTTGTTAATAATAAAATGGCGACGAAAATGGTGATCGAGAGAAAATTCTTAGAGAAAAGCCTAAATATTGGGACACTCGAACTAATCGACTAATACCCAAGAAGATTAAAAGAGGTGAACAAAACAGAACATCATACAAAATAAAGATGAAAAAACAATACTTAAAAGAGTTAGGTAGAGAGAAGCATTTTATAAAAACAGATAAGCAAAATCAGTCACGGTTAGAATGTGTCCGTTTCTCTTCCTGAGCGTTTTCCTGTCTAACATATCTTAACAGTCTTTTAATCATATTTAATCGGGCCTCTTGGTTAACATCACTTCTTGCTCGGTCACTGAAAGTTGTATTACCACGCCCATTGCTCTCAGGATATCAGAGATATGATCCCTGGCCCCTTTGAGACATGTACGTAATACCAGATTCTCTTCTAGCCCTCACCCTTTCCAAATCTCCTTCCCAAACTCACGAACTCAATCCCACAACTCTTTCCTTCCTCCCTAGATCTTGCAAACTTTGGGATGCTTTACCCCCTTCCTGCTTTCCAGACTCTTAAAACCTGTCTTTATTCAAAGCAAAAATATAGAAGCCTGATCTTTTCTCTCTCTCTTCCTAATCCCTCCTCCCTTTTCCTTGTTAGCGCTTAGCCATAGGCTCTTGAGCCTTCTCTAGCATTACCAACTAAAGAAAAAAGATGTCATTGGCAGACGTCAGAGCTTGAAGAAGCAGTTTTGACACGTCTCAGCTGGATCTACATTTGGGCATTTGTAAATAGAACTACATCTTGTGACATACCAATTCGTTGTACAAATATTATTGCCGATTTCGAACTAATAAAAAGCGATCGTAAGGCAATATTTGAACATCTATCTTGCGATATGTATTTAGTTACGTTGTGTAAAGGAATACCAAATATAATGGTTATATTCAAAAGAAGGATTACCAAGGCCAAGTGAGAGGCTTTCACCAAAGAGTATTTTAAGATCAATTTGGATTCTTCCTTCTTCTGGTCATCTTCCTATGATATTTTAGTTGCATATTTAGTGAACATTTCCCCCAATTGATTCTGGCCTTCTATCATAGCGTTGATTTTTGCTATCAGCTTCGAAATAACGTGAATATTTGCTCCAACTGAACCAGTCCTGTAAAAAATATTTATATTTTTTAACTTATTAACAAAATCAAAATTAAGTTCTACAAAGAATCTAAAAATCCTCATTTTTACAAAAAGATCTTGCAGAATTTAAGGAAAGATCACACATACACTTAGTGGAATCAATAAACGAAAGTCATTTTAAATATTATCTTAAAAGCAATAAACGATTTATTTTATTTAGAATCAAACATCATCTGCTCGTCTTATAGCTGGTATTTCAAAGAAGACCTAAAGGAACCCAACCTCGAGCTGCTGCTTTAATTTCCTACAACAAACGAATGTGGGTGGCAACATCTAATGAATCCTATGACAGAAAAGGACGCTCTCACTTTATGTGAAGACAGAGAAGCAAAATCTTACTCTAGCTGAAGATGTACATCTGAGTCATCGTGAGCTATGTTAATTTGATATTTGATTAGTTCAAAACTTCGGTTTAGATTGCAAAAATACAACAGCAAAAACAATGAATGTAACGTATCGAAGGCACATTTACAACAATCGCTAAAAAGAGTATATTTAGCTAAAAAATGATATCAACTAAACAAATTTGACCTTAAAATGAAAAAAGCGGTTAATAATTCCTCAATGTACAACGAAGACAAGGTAAAAAGATATATTAGAAAGCTTCGTATAGTACAACTATTCCAAAAAAGATGAGCATTCTTCTTCAGATGAAGGATTTCGTGACGAGGGTCCTCTTTTGAAGCCGTTATCTTACGCCAATGTTTTTCTGCATATATCATGTGAAGCTTATTAAATGACAAAAAACTTTAAGTCACTTACAAAAGGACTGTTTGACTGGCAATGAATTTTTAATTTTGAAACATCTTCCCATTGTGCCTTTATTTACAGGCTAGGAGAAGGGGTGGTGACCTTCCAGGAGTAATATCTACCAGCAAAGAAACCTTCCCTATTTAACCCACAATCAGGCAATTACAACGTTCAGCAATTCAATTTATTGATTGACTAATCAAGGACGGAACATGTGACAGCATAAACTCCGTTGCAGATTCACCTTAGAATATCACATTGAACGACTGAACCATTCCAAAGTGAATTCTAAGATTCCTTTACAATCCAGAACTTTTGCAGTATCATATCGTAAGAAAATAAGTAAGATTTAATAAGATTTTCATATAACAAAACAAGCAAAATAAATAACAGATGCAAAATTTTGAAACTGAAATTAAAACGGGTTTCCCTTTCCAAAAATTAAATAACCCTCCTCTTATCCAAAAAATTGAAAATGAAAAACGAAATGAAAAAATTGTATTGACTTACTTCATCTCAGTTGCAGCAGAAGGCGGCCAAACCAACAGCAGTTGTCCAATATCACTGAATTCACTCGCATTTTACTTTCTTTTACTACATCCAAAATAGGTAGAATTTGTCTGCATCCCTTTTCTTGTCCTGAACTGATATCTAAAAAACGAAAAGTGCAAAGCTAAAGAACTGTCAATTTCTCGAGCTGGTCTAGTAAAGTACTATTTGATGATGGGGAATTCTCTTAAGAATTCTCGAAACACATGCAAAATGGTTTCCACCAGCTGAAAAATTTGACTCAGATCACCCCATGAAGCCACTATCTGAATCGAGAAAGTAAACTCAGGCCAATATAAACAGATGCTACAGAAACAGTCTTCTCTACAAGCTGCTTGTGAAACTATTTCACGTTTCTTTGTGTGAAAGGCCTTAGACACTTTTGTACATGCCGATATCATATAAAAATGCTTATAGACTTCAGCAGAGACAAACATGACGCTGTACTCTTATCGTCTGATCCAGGTAAGCAATAATTAAGGTGGGACTGAGGGATAAATTGTCGATACAGTAAAAATTTCTGAATCCAGTGTATCAAATTATATAGCAATTATTTAGATGCAAAGAAAACCAAAATAAGAGCAGGGGCAGCAGTCATCTTTAACAACCGTGAACGATTTGAGACAAAGCAAGTTTCCAAAACAGTTTTCGATCCGAGTTCGATGAAACTATTCCATCTGTTTTTTGATAAATAAAGAAAACTAAATAACCCTTGCTCAGCTCAAATGAATGCTTTTAAAGCCGCGAAATTTCCAATTTCAGAATTCTTTCAACTTTGATGTCTTCACACAGTGGCCTAACAATCTGCAGCAAGTCCTGCTCAGACAGTATAGTGGCATCATGTTGCAGATATTCATTTACCGTATCCAACATATCAGCAAGTTTATCGATTGGAGCTGAATAACTTGAAAAAACTTCCCACTTCATATAAATCAAATGCACAGAATATCCAATAAATAAAATGACGATTTGAATTAAACAGAAAAGCAGACCTTAGCATTATGTACTCAATTTTGCAAGAAAAGTAAAAAAAAATTGTTTTTTTTTTCAGTAAGAGACATCAACACTTTAACGCCATTTAATAGCAACTATCTGAACATGCATATTTCTTGAAAAAAATTATATCAAGCCTAAAATGAGATACATTATTCATCATTCTTTGTGCTACAGAATAGCATTTCGGTATAAATCTCCGAGACAGGTTTCCCTTTCAAGAAAATCTGATAAGAGGAAAACTTCAACTTTACAACAAACTAATCAAGTAAATCAAGTAAATAATGGGCTATGCTCGAAACGTCGTTATTTATTTAAAAATTTTTTTTTCCTGGTACAATTTACTTACATTGATTACGTTATTAGTGTTAACTTGTCCGTACTTTCTTCAGACGTTTGGTGTACATTATCAGATAAAGGTCGGATTATATTGAGGCTTTCAGTATTATTTACAAGATTATTATTAAACGTTTGTGCTACTATATTATAATCAGACGAAAATTAATCCTTTTCTGTTAGTATAATTTACTTGGCTTTTGATTTCGATTATTTAATAATGGGTTGTTGTTATGCCAAAGGCATAACAAAAATTATGGAACACAAAAGTAATGGTTATATTCAAATGAAAGACTATCATTGTTAAGTCAGAGTTAATTCATTTCACCTTGGATATTTCCTTCTTCTTGTTATCTTCCCATGATAATTTAGTGGCATTTATAGCAAACATTTTTCCCGATGGCGATGGGTTCTGGCCTCCTAGTCCAAGGTTGACTTTTGGTATCAGCTTGGAAATAACGTAAATATTTTCTTCAACTGAAAACGTTGTCACTGCATCAACAGGATTAGACGCTTGAACAAATGTTTTATGATCCAGTCCTGCAAAAAAATGCTTTTGATTAATGAAAGCAATATTAAGGTAATACGAAATACAGTACTTATGATTCAAAGAATTAAAAATTTCTATAAATCATAAAGTTTTTGAAATAAAGCTCAAAGCAAAAAAAAAATAAAATAAAGAGTTTTTTATGAATTATATTATTTTGTGACTTAGTAATTTAAGTATTTTTGAATAAAAGCTCAAAACCAACAACTGGTTTTTTTTAATCTAGGGTCATAAATCATCAGCTCGTATTATAGGTGGTATTTCAGAAGTAACCTTAGGGAGCCCAACCTCAAGCTGCTGCTTTACTTTCCTTCAACGAACGAATGTGGGTTGCAACATCTAATGATCCCTAGGACAGAAAAAAAGAAGTTTTCATTTCATCTGAAGACTTAGAAGCAAAATCGTACTCAAACTGTACATTAATATCAGAGTCATCGTGAGGTACGTAGAATTGATGTTTTATTAATGCAAAACTTCTGTTCAGATTGCAAAAATTAAGAAAAGTACAAAAAAAGGTTAACTTAACAATGAATTATCTTGCAAAGGTATAAATGCTATTTCACTAGGATGTGCATCTACGACACAAAAACGAGAATAAATTGATTATTCTATCAAAATAGAACAAATTATAGTGAAAAAGATTTTGTTGAAAAGAAAATTGCTTTTACTTTACCAAATTTATATTTAAAAATAAAAAATCAACGACTGACAATGATTATTGAAAATTCAACTTGAGAGCATCAAAGATGTCTCATAATACGACAGGCCAATCGCTTATTTGTAGAAAGATACTGTGAGCCTCAAAGATCTACAAAAAACCTCATCAAAAATGATAGTATTGCACCTTTTTGATAGGACACAAATTCGATGTCATCATGTCACAAATGTGTAATCAGGCTAATTGAGACACACAAATGAGATGACACACAAATGGTGCAAAAATAACAGACATTTTACTTTGCGCGTTATACTTAAGACGGATGGAAGCAATAAAAGGCAACTCACCCGGCCCTACTCTAATAAGTGTGCCTTCAAACCAGTCGGGAATCTTTCAAGTAATCTTGGCTAAAACAGGCGTTGGATGTTCTTCAGAGGAGCTGTAAAGCTCTTTTCCAATTTTGACAAAGTCATCAAGTCCAGTTCTTTCACTGCTGCTGCCTGCCATCCTGACATATGAGCAACAAATGTACTATTCTTGCGACTGTCTGGTATCTTCACGAACCATGCACATAACATTTCCACCTACCACCTTACAAATTTATACCTACGCACAACCTACGTAGCAACTCAATTTTCTACCCACAATTCCCTACAAATTTTGAAAAAACCTACTTTCTTCCTACGGAAGGCCTTCGGCGGTGTCTATTTTCTAATCGTGGTTACTATAAGGGGAAATGAGTAGAAACGACTAGGAAACAAGAAGAAACAAGTAGAAACAACTAGGAAACAAGTAAGAAACAACTAGGAAACAAGTAGAAACGACTTGGAAAATTTTTAATTGCGGCACAATTTTATGAAAGCCTGATGATATGAAATGCCAGCATTGTAAGAGCAAATCTCACTGGCATTGGGATTAACATGGACCAACTACCGGGAAGATCGAAATAAAGCAATTTAAATTCTCGGCTCCTGCCAAATTAATTTTCGGCCAGTAAACAATCCTGCCAAATTTTGAGAAGTTGGCCAAGGACATGCAGCACCAAATTGCGCATTAGCTTCTTGTAACATACTGAACAGTGAACATGTACTTAACATCTATGTTTGTATCTACGAACTGCTTCCACGTTACAGTACATTTACCGATAAATACATTTTTGATTATTAGATTAGTAGTTAATTAGAATTTGTTTACACTAAAATAACATTGTATTTCGAGTTGCGGCCCTGTATGCATTTTTGAAGTCAAATTTGGCTCCCAGGTTTATAAAGGTTGCCGATCCCTAGTATAGTGGAGTTTGTTCTTTTAGTTTCGCTTTCTTTTGCTAAAATTAGCGTTGTAGAAACATAAGTAAGCATTATCACTGGGTTTCCGTAACCTCATCTAAGACAACAGCTTTTGCGGTGGAGAACGACATGTCCGAACAGGCCACTGCAACGAAGATGACAATGCCCACGTGGATGGATAAGCTTGCCTCGTTTTGGAGATCTAGTTGTTTCTGCAAAGTCACAAATCGTTTCATGTTGTTTTCTTTATCGTTTCTTCTCGTTTGTATTCGTTTCTTGTTGTTTCCTGTTATAGTATCTAATGCAGTTGCTTGATGCTTGCAATTGGGGCACTGCTCGATAAGAAAAACAAATAGACCATCAATTTTATATTTTTATATTTGAATCCTATTGTTCTATACTGTAGGTTTTCCTTACAACCTACAAAACCCTCAAAATCCCTACTGTAGGTAGAAATCCCTGCATTTGGCAGCACTGACGGAAATTGAAAGAGAGACTCCTTATGATAATGACAGAGAGAACTTAGCCCCGATTCCCCTCGTGTTTAATCTAGCTTGCTTTTAAAATCCATTAAAATAATTTTTCTTGACTTTATTTATTTCTACCTTTTGAAACTGTAAATTTTGCCGGAAATTCGGTCGGTAAACATTCGATTAACACTCTCTCCTACTGAAGAATATACCTTCGCAAGATGTTCGCTACAATGAAACTTAAAGGGCTGGGTCTGTTTGGTATCATCCTGGTTTGGGCGATAGCTCAGGGCCCGCACCACGAATTTGAAAGGGGGGGGGCACGTCTATAAATAGTAGGCGGCCAAGGCTTTAAAACCCAATTTTTACTGCAGCTTTAAAACTATTTTAAGTGTGGGCATGGCCCCCTGTGGCGCAGGCCCTGTGGCACGCCTGTGGCTAGGCCTTGTGTTTCCATTAGCCAGTCAAAGAAGGTTCCCTTTGGCATAATCGTAGCCATGTTTATCAAGTTATAAAAGAAGGTCGTACAATATTTCGTGAGTTATAAAGACAGTGACATATATTTAACAAGGTTCGATAAATATCTTTTATCAAAATGTGTGTTGCTTGTACAAAATATGCGCTTGCACAAAGCTGGTTCATGAACAAATCTGTTCAAATTTATACCCAACATATTTCTCAACACAAATACATTGATTAGATTCAGGAAAAGATACCAAAAATATTCTGTTATGTCTTACATTTGGAAACAATACGGCTACTGCCCAATTTTTCCCGTGTTCAAACGAATGCTGAACATTGTTTTTATGCAATCCGAGTTGGCCCGGAAATGAGATTCCGTCCTGTTCAGAACATGTCGGTACTGACGTCATCCTGAACCGAGAAGATCCCTTCCGGTATGGCCTTAAGCAAAATCAAGTTACAATAACATCTCTTTGCTTTCAGATCCCACACTGTGTGAAAGTCAAGTGATGGAGGCCATCGTGAAATTATCATTAGTGTGGATGCTAGTAGCTTCTTTGGTCGATGCCGCACCAACGGACTCAGATCAAGAGAACAGGTACCTAATTCTACTGGCCCAAAATTTTCCTTTTGCTTTCCATGTGGGAGTCGACACGACCTGGATAAGGATATCAATAGCGTTCATATAATAATGTATCGTATTCCATACTTTGTTAAACGCGGTTTTGTAGTTTTTAAAAATGCAGGGGAGAGAACATATGGGTTAGAGAATGGATCGGCATTGTTTTAACAATATAGTAGGTGACGGAAAAAATGAGCGCGAGGAAAGTTCTTCTAGCTTTTGTGAATTCTTATCTAGCTTTAACAACCCAATCCCTTTTGGCTACCAAATCACCATCCGAATCCCTCTCTTTTTTTCTCCCCCCCCCCACACACATTTCACTGTGTTTTAAATTTTGTTGTTTCTGTTCTATTTTATTTTCTATAAAAATTTTCCTTCACACTATTATTGTTGCTGATGCTGCTGTTGTTGGTTCAACTTGAAAATTTTATTATCATTTACAGAGGTACTTAAGTCAACCAGTGGCGGCACCAGTCTCTAGCTTCTGGGAGGGGGGTGTAACAAAAAAATAAATTTTAGACCACGCCCTTTCTACCGCCAGGATACAAAAAACGCCAATTTTACCTAAAGGGAACGCCCATGACTAAAATTTTGTTACGTAACGGGAGGTTCAAAATCATAGGATAACATCACAAAAAAGTACGTTCCCAAAATATGACCCATCCCCCAACATTTTTTCATCGAATTAAGACCAAACACACCTTGATCCTGCCAAGAACTGGTGGGAGCGTGTTCCCCCAGCTTCCCCCCCCCCAGTTACGCTGTAGAAGGACGCTCTGTCAATCTGCGTTCTTTCTGAGTGTCCTTCAGTATTCCATAACAGATAATGTATCAGGAAGTACCCGTTTACCATTAAATATATTTCATTTTAAATGTATGTTATATCTCTCGTTGAAGTACCCGCTGGGCTAATATTGTACTCAAGATCGGGGGAAGGGGTGAGCTGACAAGTGTGTTGGATATTGGGTGTGATTTGGACATGGCTTTGGGGGTGGGAAAACACACAAATTTACCCAGAAATGGAAAAGGCAGTTATTAAAGTTTATTACTAATGATGATCGCTTTTGAGCTAAATGAGGCGAATAAAAGAACAAAGACTCCAATTTTGGCTTCAATATGATTCACTCAGATGATACTGTTGATTTATTCGCTAATGATGTGGTGAAGACTACATATCTGGGGGAGAGGTGTTGCATTAGGTCAAGGGGGGTAGCAATAGCCCCCAATATTCTAGAGGGTCCTCAAACCAAAACGTTTGCAGATAGTACTGAGTTTGAAAATGTGCACATGATGCCTCTTAACCCTCTCTTCCATGACTGTGCTGGTTTGTACACTTTTGTGCTTTACTTTTGTACGTTATTTTTCATACAGTCATTTCTATATGTTGGTAAAAAAAGTATTGGACCAACCCCTTCCCCCTCCTCAACTGTCAAAGTCCGAACTACCCCTATGCATTGTAACCAGTTCAGGTAAGGCTGTTCGTAGATTTTTGGAAAACTGGGTCTGGATTGTTCGTAAGTGGTTCTTAAATTTTCCCATTGTAAGCAGTGCAATTCCTAGCTATTGTGCTCTATGGAGTTGTTCAGGCCTCGTTTGCCAACAAAGTGAGTGGGATACAGTATTCTCTCCAATTAACGGACACCGTCGGGGCACGAGGAAGGTGTCCGCTAATTGGAAATGTCCGCCTTTTGGAAAGTTTTGCAATGTAAGTCCCAAATTTGAAAATAGACCCGAGTTTTGTATTTAAAAGGTGTAATCAGAGGTGGCGCCAGGGGAGGGCTACAGCCCCTCCGTCGGAAGTTATTGGAAAGAGGCTGAATCGTGGAGGTGGCTATGGTCTAGAGATTCCAGTAATTTACCACTTTCGTGGACAAGAAAAGTAAGGAAACTGGGCTGTAAAAGAAGCTCAAAACTGTAAAAAACCAACTAGATTGTCAAAAGTCAAAGTATTTGAAATAAATATTTGAACAAATAATCATTCGTCTAAGTTTTCTGTTTGCTGGCTCCTAACTTTTTGTAATGTCCGCTAATTGGAAAGAAAAAAAGCCAAATTGTCTATTTTGTGCAAAAAATGTTGTCCGTTAATTAGAGAGTCCGCTAGTCAAGTGTCCGCTTATTGGAAAGTTTTTTATGAGACTTTGACCAGAAAACGATCAGGGAAAAAAAATTTGTCCGCTAATCAGAGGTGTCAGAGAATACTGTATCCGTTATTTGGCGACGAGTTTGAAAATTCCCCAAAAAGGCATTCTTAGATAGCAAAAGATATCTCGTTTTTGAGACGAAAAATTGTTAAAAATTGCATTTTACATTAGCTCCGCCTAAGCTTGTCTTAATTTGTTCTTGAATCATTCGAGTGTAACTGGTGCAATTGCTAGCTGTTGTGCTCCAGGGAGTTGTTCAGGCCTACTTTGCTAACAAAGTGAGTGAGACAACCTTTATTTGGCGACATGTTGAAAATGCATCGAAAAAGCACCCCTAGACTGTAAAACACTAAAACACATTCAAATTTACATTTTACAGTTGCTCAGGCTCAGCTTGTTCGTAGTTTGATTTTATCTTTGACTAATTTTGAGGCTCGTTTTCTTATACCTTGTTCTTATACAAAAGATTGTATTGCTTCAACAACTATGTACAACGACGTGTATGTTTAAGAGCTGGATATGGAAGGATTTGCTTTTGAAAAGTATACCAGATATTTTGTTTAAAGACTAGGGAACTAGCTAGAAAACAAACAAAAAATTGTTATCGTGAAATTTTTTCGCGATTATCTATGCCTTATTCAAGAAACCAAAAGTTAACAGACAGGTGTGTGCAGGGGTGAGGGTGCCGCACCTCCCGAAGTATTGGATCGTCCCCAGGGGCGTATCCAGAGCAAATTTGAAAGAGGGGCAGTTGATAGTAGGGGCGCTGAAAAATTTTCAAAAATTGGTTACGAGAGTACGCTCTATAAGACAATTTCAGATACCTTTTTAAAATAAACAACATAACTTTGAGGTAATCCTTTAAGCAAATTAACCTATCGGTCCAAGAAACTTTTTCATCTGATTCTCATTCTTCAAAAGGGGCGTACAATTTCCAAAAAGGGGCGCCAGACTTGCTTCAACTTGTTGAGGGAGGGGCAACTTCCCCCTTAAATCCGCCACTGATTGTCACTCAATACAAGAAAAATGTCTATATCCTAAATTTATCATCGATTGTTCAAATGATTTTATCTTCGAAGATGTTCTCTACTTAGAACATTCGTTAATTCAATTCCTGCCTTAAAACTGGAAACAGTTTGGCGAGAGTGTAATTTTGTTTACAATCAGACCTTAGAAACGCATGGTTGCTATTTCTGTCGGCAAATCTGGGGATCTTAACCCATTCCACACAGTTTCCTTTAATTTTGCCCCTGGCAACGAACTCATCTTTACAGTTGACAGTAGTTCTAATCTAGAAGGAGTCAGCTCCATAGAGTTCCACTGTCAGACTCGGAATTAACTTTTCGCTTTGGCGTTTTAGCTAAGGGTCAAAGGAAATTAGGCGCTACAATTAGGAAATCAGGCATGAGATGGCAGAACAAGGGCAACATGATATTGCTATACTTACACCGTTTATTGGTACAGGGTCAATTTTGTGCAAATATCACAAATAGTGCTAAACCTAAACACTTACTCAGTCCTTTAACTTGATCTGTAGCTTTGCATGTCACATCCTTCATTGGCCACTGTATTACATACATTTCTTTAATAAGAAACTTGGAAATTTCTCAGCGCTGAAAGTTAGAAAAAAGGCGCGGTCAAAGTTTCGTGGGTTTTGAGGTAGAAATCGACCACTGATGTAAAGTTGACAACAGCCCGTTGAAGTCACGAAATGAAGCCAAAAATGAGTTACGAACATCAATTGGCTGAATCAGAGGCTAAAGGTCACAACGCGCAATCGAGACTGTGTATACATGTTGTGAATTACGCATAGTTAATAGATAGCTCCACGACATGGAAGCAGGATAGGGCTGAGGGGTCATAGCCCCAAATAAAACCCATAATGTTCTCAAACGATACGAAAAACGTTATGATCTTGGCTCTTTACTTTGTTGGGCAGGCACCGCGCAGCAGCTATTGGGCTCGCAGGGGCTATAGCCCCCCTCCCCCCACTTTTTTGCAATAATAAGCCAGAAATTTTTTTTGAAGGTTTACTCTAACGCAACTTTGGATAGTTTACTCCCGTGTAGTAGCAGTTTTTCTTCACTGGGAACCTTTTTTCATATTCTAGGTGTTTTATCTTGTTTAATGATATGATGCATTTTCTTATTTTTTTAGCTTGGTGTTTTGTTATCCTCAAGCTAATTTTATCTATTTTTATAGATAAAATTACTGGAGGGCATGTGCCTGAAAATTTTTTCAAGCACACCCATTTCAGTCCCTCCGCTTTTAAACTGGCGCGCGGTCCCTGTTGTTGGGCCCTACAAGCTTTTTAGGCCCCCTTGAATCTGTAAGATGCTCCGGGATCTTTGGTAGCAACCATCGCGTCCTGTAGTTTGCTCAGTTTTCTAATGACTGTAGATTACCAAAGTGTGACATCATCTGAAAGAATTGCATTAAATATTCTTAAACATCCAAAATAAACTGAATTTGTTCGAAATTGGATGAGATACGGTCAGAACAGCACAGATTCTCCCCCCCACCCCCAAATTGCTTGTTCTTTGTTGATAACGTTATGAACCAAGCAAGAGTAACAGATATCCGTTCGTTAATTTCAGATATCCTCCACAGCAACCATGTACACCTTTTCCCGTTTCTTTTGTAAATCCGTTTCACATGGATCATAATTCGTTTCAAAACAAATCAGAAGTATATCAGACCGTCGATGTCGTAGAATCTGGAACCTTAACCTGACAGCGTATGTACAGTTTGCTGGAAAATGAGGACTCTGCAGGGAGATCAGTGGCTTCAGTAACTGCTGTCTTTTGTTTCGTCGCCCTTGGTTCCTGTTCTCCAGCATCCTTCTCATATGCTGACCGAACATCCAATGTGAAACGGGTTCTAGCAGTTATCAGTAATTAAAAGTATTTGTAGGTGTCCGTAATTGTTTCATTTAGCTGTTAACTGTTATATGTTTTTTATGTTAATGGCCACAGGGTACAATGCCCGCCAAAAGTGGTTGGAACACCGAGATTGTACTCGTAATAAATGTATATTTTTCAGTTCATTTCCCTATTTCAAGCAGACGGAACCCCCTCCCCCCTTATACAATGTTGTGAAGAAGGATGAACATGTCGCTAAACATGGGTTACAAAATTTGCACGCTAACATACATTTGTTGTCATTTTCAAGTCGCAATCCAACATTGTATATAGGGGGAGGGGAGACGTTTAGTAGGAAAGATGATTGAACTGTTCCAACACTTATGGCGGGCATTGTCGTCATTGTCTTTTGCTCCCTGTGGTCCTGTCCCTGTAGTGTTGTACACTTTGCGAAAAATTTTATATGATATAAAAAGCACCCCCCTCTCCCTTGAGAAAAATAGAAAAAACTGCCCTGAACCCACCTCTGCTTGCCAGCAGAACCCAGAGATCCTGTTTATCTAGCAAATAAAACGAAATATCTAAACATCTCCTGTAGAATAAATAAAAATTTGAGTCTATGAAATTCAAAAAATATTTTTTAGGCAGTATTCTTTGGTTAGAGCTTTTCCAGATACACGCAGCCAAGTGGACTTCCTGCACAAACAACGTTATCAGAAGAAAGCAGGGGTAAGTTTTGATGCTACATTTTTTGATACCAACAATTTCCAAACTCTAGATGCTAGCTACGTTTAAAAGCGAGAAGTAGCTTTACAATGCCATTTACCTATTTTTATAACTGATCAGAAATGAGAAATTTGACATAAAAAAGTTCAATTTACGATCTCGTTTTGGAAATCACGAATGATACAGAGCCACATTCAAAACAAAAGAGCTTTTATGCAAAACTTCTTGCTTATAGTCTTTCACAGCCCTTGCCCCATGCCCATACTTCCAACCTGCACCGGATCCTATGTGCTTCACACTATTTTCAAGTTCATTGCACCTGCAAATTTATAAATAACTTAAGGACTGGGTTATACAGTTTTTCTGGCAGGCACCCCCACATCATTTTTTTTGAAAAACAAAACAAAACGTGGTTAACTTAAAAGGTTAATAAAAATTGCCGTATCTAAATGGCTACAAACGGCTACAAAAATTATAACAACTCAATATACAACAGCAAAGTGATCAGCACAATATTTTTAAAAGGTCTTATAAATTTCATTATTTTTCTCCAAGGTAAAGCCTTGGTTTTTCTCACAGTGTGATTTGGTTTTCCTGCGTCTACCGCCCACGTGATACATGCAAGGAATGTAGAACCAAGTAAAGGCAGTTTCTATGTCGTTGCTGACAAACAACCTCCCTTCTTGAATCAATCTATCTACCTGTGTACCTACAGAGACAAATGTCTATATTTCTTAGTCATGGTCCAACTCCCTCCTACTGGACAACCGAAAAAGCTTTTACAAAGATAGAAACTCGTCTTGAATGGTTTCCCCATTCGTCTTGATTCGTTGTCCATTCGTTCTGACTCGTTCTCCATTACATTTGTTGTGTAGATTGAATTTTGGAAGCCCGCTGACTGGCCTGGAAGACACACAGATATCTGGGTGTCAAACGCAACACAAAAGCCTTTCACTGATCTTTTGAAAAAGCAAAACATCTTCTACAAAGTCAGAGTGAATAATTGGAATGTATCTGATGAAGAAGTCATTATGGAAAATATCGATCATTTTGATAGGAAATATCAAAGTTTTGAAGAAGTGAGTCTAGTAGTGGTTTGCGTTTTAGAACTGAGAAAGAATTAACATTTGCTAATGGAACACTGTTATTTTACAGTGATTCATGGATTTTAGAGCCAAAGCCTAATTTGAACGATTTGATGGGAAAAGAACCTTTGCCCCACGTGGTCGTATCTCAGCCAATATGTAATAATCTAAGTTTCAACATTTGAAGGTAATGCTTTTGGTGTGATCCAAATTGAGATATTTTAGATATATTTTATGGAGTTAGCACTTAGAATTATATTCTGTTCACTTCTAAAATGCCTTTCAAGAACTTTATCCTTCCTTAGATAATTCCCAAATCTAGGAACTTTTTTTATGACGATTTGTTCTTTTTCTGATGATATAAATTAATTCGGAAAAAAAATAATGAGTATTCTAGATAAGATAGATTACAACTATTTTAATCGTTGTTTTAGATTACATCAGAGCTGAAGCGATTAGCAAAAGGTTACAGTGAGAAAGTGAATTTATTCGAAATTGGAAAGTCTTACTATAACAAATCAATATACGGAATACAGGTACAAAGTGCTATAAGAATTTATTTTTTTTATAACCTTTCGTCCACAGATTTTGATTGACATCACACTTCACCACATAAAGAATCGCTCCTGAAATATCCCATAATGATCGACACGGTTCATATCGTATTCTCTCTTGTATTCCCACTTCGGGTTTATTGATTAAACCTCCCAATCTAATGCAGGATTATTAGAGTGGCAGGATTATCAGAGAGAGGATTGTTCTGGCGGGGAAACTTTGCATGTAGACTGCGAAGAACATCGACGACAGTTGCTTAGGGAAGCGACACTGGTTTGCTAAAAAAATATTCACCCTTGCTGTCATCAAATAAGAGCGCATTTCATTTTCAACTGCAAGCAAATTTACAATCCAATGATTTCTTTATTAGTCAAACCCGCGTGCCGGACTATCGGAGAGGCGGGATTATCGGAGCGACGGGATTAACGCTTCAAAGTAAAGAAAAAAGGCGTGATTATTAGAGAGGCGGGAACAGTAGAGAGGGCGTGAGTACAAGAGAGAATACAGTACCATGTCACTGTGGATTTAGCGTTAATTTGTAAACCGTTTTACTTCAGAATCATTACTGATATTATGAAAATGAACAAAAAGGCTTTTATCTAATATGTAAAGTTTTACCATTCGTTGCCCTATTGAAAGGTACCCTTTCTTGAAGAAGATTATATCTCGAAATAATTAAAAGTTAGCAAATGGCAATCGAAATAGATTTCGTGGCATATCCTGGAACACATCTCATGTTCTTTGTTCGTTTATTTTGTATTCGGGGATTGCCACTTTCTGGCCACTCCACTTTTTTGCAAAACAATAGAGCTTTTTAAAAATTCTTATGTTTTGATTGTTAAAATCTCTTTCCAACTTGCATCGGAGACCATGTTTAGTAACATTTTACGTTGATATAGCTTGCACCTATTGTTTGAAGAAAGAGGGAGAATGCAACATTGGATAATGACTTTTCCAGTTTAAACCAACGCTATTACTATATGAAATGACGATATAATTGGGAATATTGTAACCGACAGTGATAGGCAACAGGAAAAAAACATTCTCACTTCGAATCGCCACATGTTCAATGAAAATATTTGTTAGGAATATTCCATCCCAGTTTATCGAACCGACTGGTACCCCTGACTTGTTGCAGAAACGAACAAGAAAGAATTTTGTCATGAATGATACAACCCCTGCTTGGGAAAAGTGCATGTGCATATGATGCGATCATTGTTACGCATGCTCTCTGACCCCAAAACAACTCACTCATTAGAACACTTTGTCTGTGGGTCAGATTGAGATGAGGTAATCTTTTTAGGAACAGTGTTTTGCAAGAGAAGCTCAAGTTGTTTGTAAGATAATTAATAGGTTTGAGGGTTGAGTTAATACTAATTTGATTCATTTATAACCATAGATTCTGAAGCAGTCCGCAAAGAAAAAGCCACTGATCTTCTTTATGTGTGGAATTCACGGACGAGAATGGCTAGCAATTGCTTCTTGCATGTATGTAGTGCGAATGGTAAGTCGCTTTCAGAAAACAGTTCCTGGTTGACAAAAAATTAGCAAGCTCGAACCATATGTTTCTCCCTTTTTGATTGATCAAGGAAGGTCGAATAGTGAGGTTTACTTGCCAGTAGCCAACAATGAATATAACACCAGTGAAGCGATAAAAATCGAAATGAACAGAGTTGCAGTGTGTCCAAAACAGACATCCCTAGGAGAGGTATTTGTCAGTAGATCAAAAAGGGGTTGGTCATTTGCCTTTCTATCAAAGCCAGCACATATTGAGTAATCTGTAAGGAAGATATCGGTAGACTTGTTTCGTGTTGAGTGATGTAAAGTGAAATTTGTTCTTCAAATTTTGCTCAAAGGTACCGCACAACTTAGATGATCTTTAACAAATAATTTGGGGGTGACAAATTTCAAACGGTGTGGATTCCAACGAACTGTAAAGATTGAGATATCTTTACTTCACTCTTTTTTCTAAAACCCTGGACTATGGAGAATGAACTCCCAGCATTTACAGACCGTTAGAGTAACCATGAACACGTTAAGTAAAGAGCTGAATAAGTACAAACTGTTGAAGAATTTTGTTTGAGAAATGTATATTCCCAAAGTGTTCTTCTCTATCTGTTTTGAGAAGGCAAATGATATTCCAGTTTTCTTTCTATGGTTTGATTTCAAAGATTTATGCTCAATAATATCCCATGTATGCTCACTATAATTACACTCACGAAAAGAGTTTCCTCTCTTCCTAAATCACGTTATTCCCATCATATCTCAACAATTATCTTGCATAACAATAACCCTAACCATGTGTCATACACATAACTTTACTATCCAAATCAAGCCGTTGAGCAAACTCGTAAACCGGAAAAAAGTTGAGAATCAGCCACTTACGGTTTTTATGTACCATCCCATACAGAAAAGGGTTTAGCCCCCACCCTTTACCCTCTCTCAATTCTCCTGTACTGCTCACCCTTCTAAATGTCCCATTTGCATAAATTACTATTTTGTATTATTTAAAAACGATTTTTAATTCTAGATGATTTTCAACGATGAGTACGAAAACGATCTACAGATAATAACCAACCATTTTGAAGTAGTTTTTGTACCAGTTCTGAATCCAGATGGCTATATACATACAGGAAGCAAGGTAAGACATTAAACATCCTTGGCAAAGTGTAGCACATCTTTCAACTTCCAGAAAAAAGAGACAGAAGCTACCTAAGCAAAAAAACATATTTTTCTGTTCTAAAGTCATCTTAGCTCAATATTCTAGGCTGATCATCAGATCCCACCCTAACAGAGTTTCTAGGTACATAAGCTTTCCAATTCTCGAGTTGCTGCAATGCTTTTTTGTCAACCTGTTTACTAGGACTGTGGACAATGGACACTAACTTGCAGCAAACTTTGCATTTTTCTTCTAGGGAGGGAGATTCTGGAGGAAGACAAGGTCAAAGACAAGAGACAAATCCTGCCCCGGTGTTGACCTGAACAGGAATTTCAGTTTTCGATGGGGAGGTTAGTAAATGTTGGGTATAGTCTCAAGGTGCCATGTATTCAGGGGGATAGACAATAAATAGAAGGAGGGAAAATAAATAGGGGGAGAGGCAATAAACAATGAGAGTCGTCACTTGTACAAAAATCTAATAAACGGGGGGGGGGGGGGGGGAATAGGCACTCCTTTTAAAGTTCAATTAATGTTAAAAGTACTAAAAAGGAAGCCTAAAGGACATGAGCATATTGAATATAGAAATAATTACACCTAATAGACAAAGGCGACTAGAAGGGGGCGCTGATCAGTGGCGTGAAGAATTTGGGCTCGTTAGTTGGATAACTAAAGGCCCCCCATCAAAGGGGCCCCAAAAATATTCATCCATGCTTCGACTTCGCTCAAGTTCACCTTATAACCGAAAACTTAAAAGTTTTCTTTAAGCATATATCTCGTTCTCCCTAGTTAACGAGAAAAATGATATTTTTAAATCTTGATAATGCGTTTGACGTGCTAAATCTTGATAATGCGTTTGACGCGCTATACACTCTTGGATTGGACCTTCCTGCAGTCCCAGGTGCCTAAGTGGCCCCAGGTGCCTCCGTTACGCCACTGGCACTGGCCCTCTTTGTATTGCTGTTTCTCTTGCTGTTCAATTTCCTTGAAGTTTGCCACTTAATGTGTTCCAGGAAATACTTCCAAATAAACATGTTGGTACCGGTATTCCATGACGTTTCCATGTTTTTAAATAGCTTACCGTAAGGGATGTATTTTATATAATTCTCGTAAAGAAATTTAAAACAATTAATTTTAAAGGAAGGCTGATAAGGTTCGGATAGGGGTCGAAAAAAGTAGAAATCAACAAGCGGAGGGGGTGCACCAATGGGTTTATAGCAGAAACCGACTTGCCCCTAAAATTTTATAGATTTTTTGTAGCAAAGCACTTTTTTTTGGAAGAGAGAGATTTGAAACACAAAAACTAACCTAAATTTTTGACGAATTACAAAATGGCACCGATAATCACCTAAAATCCAATAGGGATAATTGTACGAATACTTCATTCCAATTGAAAAAAATAGGCTTTTCATTGGTTGAAGAAAAAGGGCATTTTCCAACAATGGGAAAGTTGAGGGGGCAGGTGCCCCTGGCGCTCCATACGTTGGATTCAAGTAGGCAGTAATAAATGAGGGAGACATCCAGCCGATCTTTCCATGAGAGTCAAATTGCAAGGGTGGTGTTGCTTTGTCAGCAGTGTAACAACCAGATAATTTAAGTGTTTTTGTGCAGAAGGTGACATAGGCACTCTAAATATGGCGAACGGTAGAATGTAAAAGCAAGTTTAGCATCATGGTTTTCAGCCATGTTTGTTGCAACCTGGCACTGGGTAATATGTTCGATTTGTGTACAGTTTTTAATCACTGCAAAAGTACTCTTTTGTCCTTGTTTAACACTAGAAGTTGAAGTATATTGGAATATTCTGGTTAGGGCCATGTGGCTGTCTTTCATTGGAAGAATATTTTGCCCTGCGCAGTGGTGTTATACAATCACCCTATCAAGGAGAGCACAGAATGCTTTGCATATAACAGAACCGGCTTTAAACTCCTGCCAAGCATAAATTGATATTTTGTGATGAGGTTATTTGATGAAAGCACAGAAATCTGCCATGTTCTACTATTCATGTTTGCTAAACTTGGTACCAAAATTGGAGAGTTCTGTTTAGCAGGCATCAAGGGAGGGGGGGGGGGGTTTATCTGTGGTATGCTGAGGCAACTATAATATTTGAATATTCCATAACAATGGTACTTTTTCCAACTTTTCTTTATGTATTGTATGTTAATATTGACAAATTGATTATCATTCTTGCAAGCTCAGGTTTCTTGGATGATTAGGTTGTTTGAAGCTAAAATGTTTTTTTTCTTGTAGTACAAGAACAAAGATAAGCTTAAATTTCTATCAAAAGTTTCTTTCTTGCTAATCAAAAAATTTTACAAAATGTTTTTCTAAAAAATTCTACAAAAATGTTTAAGTCAAAGTACCTTTTACAGCTCATCATGCATGGATGCTTTGTCTTCATGATCATGGCTGAAAAGCTCATAAATGTCCTTTGCAAATGTTGGTTTCTGCTCTGTTGATGACTGAGCCAATATACTCAGCCCATTTAATAGCCTCATGTCTATTTCACCCAAAGCAAACTCTAAAATTTCAGCATTTTCTTTAATCCGATCTGCACTTTTAGACTTTGGTATGACAATAGTGTTTAGTTGAAGAGCCCATCTATTCAAAATCTGAACTGGTGTCCTATTGTACCTTTTAGCAATTGCCAAAACATGGGGATCTTCCCTTGGTGGTAGAGCAAATGGCCAAGGGTTAATTATTGAATATGCCACAAATGCCATCTCTCTTTCCTCTGCTGTTTGCAGCATACTTGTTTGCTCAACAGACTGGCCACCAGGATTATAAATACTAAACTTATTTTGAATGTAGTTAGGTTTAATATGGAAATTTCTTGCAAGATCTTTGAGGTCAGTAACTGTATCAAAATTGCTTATCCCAAGGGCCCTAATTTTCCCTTCATTTTGAAGTTGAATCATACCTTTCCATGTGGCCCTATTCTTTTTCTTTTCTTCAGGTCCATGAAGCATATAAACATCAGTATAATTGGTCTTGAGAAGCTCTAGCTGTGCCATTAGACGTTTTGATACCTTTTTGGCACTGTATTCCCTTGGATCAGACAATTTGGTGACCAGAAATACATCATCTCTTGAATTAATAATGCCCTCACTTATAGCTTCTTTGAGTGCATCTCCAACTGCTCCTTCATTTTCATAGGATTGGGCAGTATCAATGTGCCTGTAACCAATTCTCAATGCTTCTAAAACTGCATTTTTGCACTCATCACCTTCCATTTGCCATGTGCCAAAACCAACTCTAGGAATTTCTACACCATCTCTCATCTTGAATTTTGTTTCTGTAAGCCCCTTTTTTAGATCTTCTTTTTTGTAAATTGGAATATCATAAGATGCAGATCGCCACATCAAACCAATGTCATCACTTGGAATTTCCAATATTACTTTACTTTCTTTGAGCAGTTTCACAAGTGTTGCATCTTGGAACAATTTCAGGAATGATTTCATCACTTTCACAAAGATCTTGTCAAACTTTTTCCCCTCTGTAAAATAATGATGTTAAAAAAGGTTACTTAAAGAGTGTCCTTGTCGTATAATCAAACTATTACATGTAAAGAAAAATTGAACCAAGTAAAGGTATATTGTACAGGCAGGGGTTGGAGAGCGATCATTAATTAAAAATGTGTTCACAAATTAAGTTTGACCCTTATTTTTTTACTCCCATTAAAGCCTGACAGGGGGTCTGATGGGTTTGAGGGTCTTACAAAACGACTGCCAAATATATTGATTGACTGACTGATTGATAAAAAATCTTAAAAGAATGCCCCAATCACCAAGAGGTGCTTTTCATGGGGGTTCTCAAAATTAAAAGTTACAATGTAGGTAAAAAAAACTTAACAGAAACCTAATAAAAGATCTTGCCTAATAAAAGAAAAGTCCTGAATTATAATCAAAATTGTTAATTCAGTTCTTTAAAAAAACAATATGAAGATCTTTGTTTCTCCCAATTAGTTCTTGAATTTGGTAATCTAAAGTTCCCCCTTTTTTATTATTATAGGTATGTATTTCATTACCCCTCATGTTGAAAATCTTCATATTATTGAGCAAAGTTTTCTTTACAAATGAATTCCTGTGTAACTTCCTTCTTTCTTCAAGCAAATCCAACTTCAGAGTAGCATATTCTTTTGATAACAACACTAGTACTTGAAGGTATTTTAAGTAGTTGCTACCTCTTAGGTCACACTTATGATTGACTGTTTAGCTGTGGTTGCATTTTTATTAGATATATAAAATAAACAAGACTTCATCTTTCTCAAATCAATGACAGTCAATGGCGAAAGAATTTATTAAAAGAGGACAAAGTAAGGACAAAAAAAGGATGCTTTCCAGTTGCATAATTCCGGTTCTTAACTTCTTACACCATTTGGGTGTTATTGTAAAAAATATTACCATTTGTGACGGAGGTTTCTAACATTTTAGCTTTGGCACTCTTTGACTCTAAATGGACCCCTGTCATTCCTTAATTAGAGTACCCCCTTCCCCCTTCCCCTTTGATACGTCTTATCTTTTGTCAAAAATGCATCTAGCTAGTATGTTCTTAGATTGCATGAAATACACAGTCAAATAATAATGATATCAGTATAGCAAAATCCAGCTATAGTGACACCAATATTTTTGTGAAAACTTGTGACCGGGAGTGACTCTAAGCGGAATCGACTGAATTTCATACCTGTGTCTAAATCGTCCAGCTTTGCAACCTCGAAAAGTAGCTTGTCGATCTTTTCTAGATAACCATCTACTGTTTTCTTTTCCTTGCCATTCTTTATGGCCATCCTTGCATTATTCAGAGCGTATTTTTGAGCTTGTGGAATTCCCACCTTAACTTCGCCATCACAATCACCTTTCTTGCACTCCTTCACTGCATCCAGACTAGACGCCCACAAAGCTGCTTCACCGAAGGGTATCAGCACTCTTGCAGGGGTATCTGCAAGATTTTTGCCTGCAAATGCCAGCAAAACAGCTACGCAGAGCCCCAACAAATGCATCTTTTCTTGTCGGCCTACACTTGCAAACGCAAAAAAAGAAAATGCAACTGTTATTGAGACGCTGGTCCACGTGTACAAAATGTCTTCCGGCTTGGCCTCGTATTGACCATTTTAATTTTCCATTTCCATTAGAAGGTGTTCTGGAAGTGACTTCAGGGCCTTGGATGAAGGAGGCCGGGAGCAATGGCCCCTGTACTTTTTGCAAAAAAATAGATTTTTTTCAAAATTATTTTGTTTTGATTGTTAAAATCTAATCCCCCCTCCTACTTTCCAACTTGCGTCGGAGCCCATGGACTTGTTCCCCAAATCTTCAAATTTTGGCAAAATAAGTAATTTTGAAGGCAGGGTGTAACAGAATAACGCGATTGTGCCGTAAGTTCCCCTGTCTGTTGAGTACAATGAGGTGTATAGAATCTATACACCTCATTGGTTGAGTATGATTGAGGGCAATGACTTTGTCGAAGGCATTCACTTCAACTTTTCAACTGAAGCTAAGAATTCACTTCAACTGAAGGGCATGTAAACAGCAGGAAAAACAAAGATGGCGAAGAGCGATTTAGGAAAAGATCTTCTACTGATACATGCACGCATGTTTAACCATCGTGCTGCAATGAGTGGAGAAATCAAGCACTTCGTAAAAGAATTTGAATCTCGTAGAGGAAACAGGGAGGTTAAAAGGCTACAGGAGGTTGTTTCTAGCGCAAGTAAGATCGACCATTGTTTGCCTGAGTGTGTTGAACTTTCATCTCGATTGGCAGTACTACAGGATGAGATTTCGAAAGCAACAGATACTGCAGTGGCAATATTGAATCGTGAAAGTGACGAAGAAGACATTAAGTACAATAACAAGGAAAAAATAGAGGCGGAATGGAATGTTTTCACAAAAGAAATTGAAGTAGCCAAGCAGGACGTAGAGAAACGACACAGAGAAAGAATTCAGGAACTGAAAAGAGAAAATCAGCAGCGGAAAGGAGAGCAAAACGACCCGGAGAAACCCCAGACTATGTCGTCAAATTAAACCACATATTTTCAGTTTTATTCACATTAAGCTCAACTGAAACTGGTTTGGGTTTCATTCAATGCTGACTGTCACAGGACTCAAGCCACCTGGAAACTTTTGAATGGGCTCATATCTTTCTGGTAGTTTCTCGTTGCAGATTTGCATTTTAGGCGAATATCAAAGATAATTTTTCTCCATTTGATCAAGATTTTCTGCAAATCAGAACTTGTTAGTCAATGACAGTCCTGCAGATGAGCATTTAATTTGCTGTGCAAAGAAATGTTTTAAAGCTAATTACACTAAACAATAGTACTTAGCAAAACTTTAAATCTATGGCCTTTATGCTCATTTAGATAATAGACTTTATCATAGAGAAAAAATTCTCTACAAATCTAATAATTGTAGCCATTTGACTTTATCACATGAAACTTACTCATATATAAAATTACAAACCTTGTATAGATTGTGACAGATAATTTATTCAAGAGAAGCAAGAGTAAAATTGTGTACATATTTTGTTCAAGGGAAGGATTAAGTTCTTTTCCAGGCTTAATCTGATGATCAAAATCAAGTTTTTCTGCTTAGATCATTTAGATTATGCTTAAGATTAGGGTCTTGTGTTAGGGTCTGGATTAGTTGATATATCAATATTCAATTGAAATTATTAGATTAAAATTTCATTAGGTTAATTATTGGACAGAATGAAAATTCCTTTGGTTTTTCTCACAAAATTATCTCTATTTTTGTAACCTCTGTTATCTCTATTTTTTGAAGCCGTTTCCATTTAGCAATTTTTGGACTTTTGTCTAGTACAACAGATTTCAATTTTCAGTTTTAAACAGAAGGAAACCTTTTAGTATGGTAATTTAAAAATTTTGACTTATTATCATTGTCTCATGTTCATCATTGAGCATTGTTTCTATAATTACTCCCTAACTTGCCTCTTGGTTTAATTTGAACCTTTTTGTAATAAGTTTTTGATGAAATCACAAACCCTCCATTTATTACGGGCTCAAGAATACCTTGTAAGTTTCATTGGACTTACCCTCTGCCTACTGAGTATCTGGTCCCTTAACCCAGTTTAATGAAATTTCAGCACAGGACTGTGATTATAGGAGCCTGATAACTACTATGCGAGAGTTTAGTAAGAGCAGGAACTTAGCATCAAAACTCTCAGTCTGATGTCATGAGACTTCGAAAATTGTTGGTTTTTTTCAAGTGACATGCAAACTGTATATTGAATATGTGATATATCACTACCACATTTCATCGTGTCACAGGAATGTGATAGGAAAATGTGATTAAATGTGTGCAAAAAACATATCAATTTAGTTACAGTGTCAGTTGTTATTAAGGATCCAGAAACAGTGATATGTAAGGGCTTTCTCCCCCTAAGAATTTTCCAAATATACTTAAAGTCCTACAACTTTCTCTTAGCATATAGCATGTTAAGTTCTAAAAAAACTTTTAGCCTATCTCCAATTGGTATTATCCTTTATCTCATCATTGCATAATCTGTATTCGACTGTCATCCTTGGTCATCATGCAGCATTGTTGCATTTTTCCCATTTTTAATCAAGAATTAATGTGCAAGAGCATAGCAAGATGCTAAATGTTTAGAGACACCAAGTATTGATGTTCCAAACTATTGTTGCTTCATTGAGACATAACTGTCCGAATGAAACCTGAAATGTGATATACTTTGCCTAATTAGGGGGCTGCAGCCCTCCAAGGCTCTATGTCTCTGACACCTATGTCACCAGTGTTGGGCATTTGAATTTGTATTTGATCAGCTTGTATACTGGGACAGCTTCAACGTTTATTTACTAACCCTAGGCTTTCAGTTTTGTGCATATTAAGGATTAAGACTTAGTAATAAAAACGTTTAGCATGCCTATACCTAATTAGCGATGCTAAAAGGTATCTACTGATTTTTTTAAGAAGTTGGAAGACATCCTCCTGTATGAACTATTAAGTACACAGTTAATCAGCTTTGACTGAGATCTTATACACATAAAATAAATCTCTAACTTGCTCTCAGATCATAAGATCAATGATGCAGTGCACAAAAAATATTTGATATATATATATACCCAGAAGCCAGTTTCTGACTCGTTATATGTCAGGTGAAGTTCAATTATGGAATATTTTGAATACAGGCGGTGGAGCATCCATTGATATCTGCGATGAGACATACTGTGGTCCAAGGCCGTTCTCAGAAAGGGAGAGCAGAGCTATTGCAAGTTACCTCTATAAACGGAGAAACGATTTGACCGTATTTGTTGATGTTCACACATATGGGCAACTGCTATCGCACCCGTGGGGATTCACAAGGCAGTCATCATTCCATCAACAACGCCAGGTAAACAATTTCCGATTAGGCATTTAAAGCATCTCTGTTGAGCTTAGTTGACAAAATAGATGCATAGCAGGCCGCTCACGAAAATCTTTATTGATGGATTCAAGTTGATGTCATCAATTTTGTATCTCGCTATCTACAGATCTTTTTCGAAAATGGACTTCAGAATTGAAATCTTCATCTTTAAATTAGTTTATACTGAACAAATCATGTTGTTTGGACCGTTCGGTCGCGAGTTACTTTGTTTTGAATATTTAGATATTTCTTTAGACGCCGGGATTTTGCTGCTGCAGTGAAAAAATCTCCAATCCCACTGAATACAGCAACAAATTCCATTGAAATGTATAGGAAAAGCTAAATTTTGAAAATGGGTTAATTCGCTGCCTGACGGCCCAAATAATTTGAAATTTTTGGCACAGACTAATTTCAACACGAAGGTTCCAATTCGGTTATCCATTTTTGCCAAATGTGAAGATACAAATTGCTCGAATCCGAGAATAGGTTGAGAGGGGGATGCTGTGCGTATTGCCTTTCGGTAAATCCGTCCCTGCTGATACGAGTTTGTCGCCGTGTAGTACTAAAACAGTTCTTAAGTTGTCACTAAACCCGGGATCAGGGATAGTTACATTCACTGCAATTGCGTGTTCTATTTTTTATTGGATAACTAAGCTTGTAATTGAAACAGGTTTGTAAGAAACAAGTCAAAAAGGATTCTTTGCGTACAAGTTTTAATAGCCAATCCGAGTCCAATTTATTTTATATAATCTTCTACGTAAATAACATCCATAGATAACAAAATTTCATATTGTTTGGACCAGACGTGACTGCCTATGTTTTCGAGCTGAGCCTCTGTATAGATATTCTAAAAGTTAGAGAAGTCTAAATAGATTGTTGTTTCAGAGAAATGTGTTGGGCAACATTGCAAGACGCATCTTTCATGCCACTGGAAAGCACTACAACTATGGTCAAACATCAAGTATTTTGTGTAAGTCAGTAACATAAAGTAAAGTTTGTACGTAGATAGACGACATCAGGACCAAAGTGAAGTGCCATCGATTATGTCTTTAAACTTTGCAGCTAGTGCCCTTTGTTGAGTCTCAAATCTCTATATCGATAAGGGCTAATCAGATCCAAGTAATTTTTCAAGTGATTCATAACCTAGTTTTATCACATGATTTTTTCATGTAATAGCACAAGATATTTGACAGATGCGAACAGATGATGATGTAAGTGATATAAGTGTTAGGCAGTCGGAAAATGAGAGAAGCTATTAGGGGTCACAAAGCAGCCTCGTGTTTTTGCGTTAAATCTAGCAAGACATATATAATATGAGAAATTTTGTTGATTGTAGATGAGACTGCTGGAGATTCAACCGACTGGGTTTACGGTTTCCTTGGCGTGGTGCACAGCTATGGAGTCGAGCTGATGCCTAGGCTAACTGACCGCAGATCGCTGGCTGGATTTCGACAACACAAGAAAAACATCATCCCATCAGGCCGTGTTCTCTTCATCGTGTTGAACGAATTAGCAAAAAACAGCCTCACCGAACTGGATCTTACATCGTAAGCAGTCTGGAAGTGATATATCGGACAAGAGGACAACTTTACTATGCTGTTACCATAGCATAAAGATTCTGTTTTCTCCAGAAAACATTGCGAACTTTTAATATTACTGCGATAGCTATCTTATTTGAAAATTTGTCATTTTATTGTGCCACAAGTTTTTATCTTACTGAAAATGGATTGGGTCACTTTAAGGTTGTTGTTATACCTTTGTCTTCCTTCTAGTGGATCATGATCACAGTCTTAGAAAATTAATTTAATTTACACTTAGGCAACAACTGTATTAGAATGATGGTCATAACTGCAGTGCTCACAGTACAGCAAAAGAATTGGCAAACCTGACAGGCTTGTTCGAAAATCCCGTTACTGGCTTGCTAATAGTGTTGACAAAAGTGATGGATATTTTGCAACAAAATTTATAATATTTGTGGCAGTGTTGAAGCGTTTTAGGCCAGATAATTGTTGCTAACCTTCTTTCGACTCAGTCTTTAAAGCCATCTACAAAAACTTATGCTATCTTTCTATATAATAGACGAAGAAGATTTAACTATCACGGTGCAAAAATGTAGCTCTAATATAACTGCATCATAAAAACAACAAGTACAATTGTTTTACTTTTTTAGCATTAAACTTTTTAGTACCAATAGTAGAATAAACCCCAAGATGAATTACAAGCAAAATAAACGGTCAATTAAAAAGCTAATTGAAAAGATAACTGATGAAATTAATGAAAGAGATATTAACCATTTAATGTTAAATAGTGAAATTATGCGAGTTATACCTTAAGAAAAAATAACATGCTACCGCTTACACAATATAACCCAAAAAACCAACCTCGAAATATCGAAGAAATCTAAACGACTATATGTCTTTGAGAATACAAATTCTAAGATTTGAATTGAAATGTTATCTGTTACTTGATTGAAAAAGATGACGGATTAATAATTTTTTGCAACGAACGTCATCAAATGTTATCCATCAGATGATTCTCAAACTGATTCAGTTGTTATCAAATTAATAGTCTTTTGTATCTGATACTGAGCCTTTTTCATACAAGCCTCTAAAATCATTGAATTTGATGATCTGCAAATGAAAATATTTGATTTGTGGAAGTTTGCCAGTAGCAATATCTTAAGTATACTAAAACAGGACCTTCGACAGTAAGCATGAAGATGCTGAATTGATAAACTGTTAAAAAAACATGTTTTTGAATTTAATAAAAAACCGTAAATGTGTGTAAATATCAAAGGCGGTTATGGAGAAGCTTTCTTTAATGCGGCCATGTTGTATGACCTTTGCTTTAACAAGGTCATCTGAAGTAACCTTTGCCCTAACAAGGTCATCCTGTATGACCTTTTCCACAAGGAGATCATCCGAAATGGATTCATCCGCAACAGAACAGTTGCACGATGATCGCATTAAGCGTGAAACACGGAGAAGCACTTTAGAATGGTCCTGTTCTACACACCAAATTGCGTGTTCAGCTCTACCCATGCCGTATCAAGCATTTTATGACTGACTGGTAAGCAGTGGCCTCATTCACTACAGAGATGTGTAAAACCAATAAACTTTGATTCCAGGATAGCTGAAATTATACGAGATCATCGAAAGGTCATTCCAAACAATCCTTCCTTTTCCAAGGCTTATCATAAACAACATCTTTCTAACCAGGCCTCCCTGCATGAATTTTGTTTGAAAACAGTCATTTCAAGTGAAATTACTCAACATCAGTTGAAAATCTAATACCGTTTAATGTTTGGTTTTGAAGACACCGGAACGGGCTACAAGCAGTTCATCACTAGAAATTTTTGTTGTTATTTAATATTAGGTAGGCAATGAGAAATCGTGGGCAGCCGTTAAGAATGAAGTACTAACAGCTCTCAGTTTTTGTTGTTGAAGTGTGTCAATTGCGAGTACCGTAGCTTGAAAAGTGATAACCTAGTGTCCGACAGCAATAATCAATAAATGTAAAAACTTACCGACGTCTAAATTTCGTCACCGGACGAATTGTTTCTTACTCGCTCGGTCAAGTTGATCGTCTCGAACTCCGGAAAATCATTACGGTTCTGCAGGAAAATACAAGAAAAACTTTACTTTGATGAACAATTCATTCACTGACCTTGCAAGATAATTTTGGGATTTAGAAAGGCTGCATAAAAAGATTCAGTATACTTGTAGTGAATCTGCTTAGGCCTGTTTACATTAACTTTTTCCTTTTTATTAATTCCATCACATTCTCACATCGTAGCACAGGTATCCTCTACTTTGCTTTCATATCACGCATTCTCTAATCCTAATTGTTTACTCATCGCCTTAACTAGTCCTTCCGATCATTTGCTTTTCCAACACAACTACTGTTAATTTTAGATATCCATTTCTGTATAAAAGTATGTTAATTTGCATGTAATTTGTCTCTTCTCGCTCCGTGTTCTCCACACCTTAAATAGGACTCGCTGGGTTTGAAACAACACGTTAGCCGGTGGATATATCTAATTAGTACCTACATTGCTCGCTGTTCCGATGTACACTGAAAACTCAATTCAATTTTACATTTCTTGTTTTATGCACTTTAACAATGGATGAAACATGCCGATAATTATAATAAAACTGGCTTAAAACAAATATTCTAGTTAAGAAAGCCCAATGCGACTAAATTGTTTAAATAAACTCGTGGCAAAAAAAGTCCCAAAACAGATGCCTGAGGTAACCCAACACTATAGTAGCAAGCTTGTAAGGTACAAACACCACCTATCTCAATTAATATGAGAGTGTCTCTATTTTGATGTACAATCACTGCCAAAAGTCTTGGAACACTAACGTAGGTTTTCAAAGGAAAATTCAGCCACCCCCCTCTCCCACTAGGAACAATGTTGATTTACTATAGAAAAATGAAGGGGTTATGGGGTATGCTTTTTCTTATGGCTTGTTTGATATTTTTTTTAAATTTCAACATTGTTTTGGGGGGAAAGGGGGAAGCACAGCGCAGAGAGTTGGGTGTTCCAAGTAATTTCGGCAGTGATTGTATGGGTTGAAAAGGCGGAGTAGCTTTGCAAATGAATGGCTTGAGCCAAAACGTGAAAACTATTGAGAGAGTGTCATTATTTTGATGTATAATCTACCATTTTTGCAACTAAGTTTCAGTTATGACGAAAAAAATCACATGCTATTCACCTTTGGACTTCCAATCTTCTTAAGACGATCCAGAATTCGGCGGCCATTGCCACCTGATCTACGAGCCAGGATTACCTGGAAATCAAAAACATTATAACTTAACACCACAGGAGGTATGCTTTATAGAGAAGATAGGAAATGTTTATTGACAAAATTGGCGTCTATTTTTTGAGATAACTAGAATAACTTTAAATAATTCACACGAGTTTGGGTAATGCTACCGATTTTGTGAAAACAGGTTAAAAAGGTAACAATTTAGAAATTCCGAGGCATAGAATGGGCAATTTCGTGGCAAAGAACATTAGCTAAAAGGAGGAAAAACCAAGCAGAAAATACATCTTTGTTTAAGGAAAACATTAAAAACCATGAAAAATGAAAGTGAATGAAATCAATATGGAAATATCACTCTAAAATTTAAACGACAAGAAAAACCTGACTGCTGAAATAGATGTTAATAATGATTACAAAAAGTTTGTCAAACCAAGAATGTTATGGATTGCAAAATATCTTCAATTTTGAAAAAACTTAAATGGGGAGATTTCCAAAAGCCTTCACACCTCGTCTTCCTCTTCCCCTTCTTCTAGAGTGCATTTCTCTGACGCTGGTAATTCCCCATCTTTGTAATGAGCCTCGTCTATTAGCCGACTGTACTTGTAATTCAGCCTAGATGAAACAAAATAAACGTCAAAATAAAATCAATGCTTAAGTCTAAAGTGAATCATTGCATGCTGGTTTGTAGGTTCAAATAAGATCCATTTTAGTTGCTATTTTTGAGACCTTACTGTGCGAAAATCTACCTCAGTTTGCTCTCGGATACCATTTTTATATTTACATCTTCATATAATTTTTTAGCAATGAGATGATAACAGCATATTGTTCTGCTTTTATCTTTTATCGTGCTTCTCTTCTGGCTTAAGTGAACAACAGCGTATGGCAAACGTGTAACGGCACATCCGACAGAAGATGACAATCCTTTATATATTAATGAAATGCTGCTGCAGTGAGTTACAAATAGGGGGGGGGGAGGTGGGGAGGGAGACGCGAGTATTTACCCTAGAAAAATAAAATCATTGACTTTTGCTTGTATTTTGCATGTTGTTAAGAGATTTTGGCTTACATTTCAGCACAAGTATTAACTCATTAAAATATCTGAACAAAGCTAAAGAGATGATTATTAATAAAAAATTGCATTGAGAATCCTGAAAAGATTACGAATTACATGCTGTGAGAAGCAGGAGGAAATTGAAGGAAATTGAAGAAAATTGAAAGGGAAATTGAATAAAATTAAAAAAAACCAACCCATCCTTCTCTGGTGTTCGGCAATTAACAGTACTATTATCAGAAGGATCAACAAGAAGACCATGAGAATGAAAACAATTATGAATATCTAAAACGAATAGAAAAGATGAATCTTGTAGAGTGCAAAACATTGCCAAAATGTGGACAAAAACACGTACACAGGTTCTGAATTAAACAGTAGTTAAGGCATGGAGTCATGATAAAAAAACTGGGTATACCAAAGTGCTTCAAAATCCGCCGAGTCATGATTTCCATGCTCGATGCTATTGGTTGGACCTTGCACCTCGGTCACATGAACTCCACCTCGTACTGATTAACAAAGCAGTTTCCATCAAGTAGCAAGTTCGAACACGGAATGCAATATCACATAAACAGCAGTGATCACGCCCGAAACCAAATGACCCCCTATAGAAAAGCCTATTACATGACCCTCATGCCTTTAATACTGTTGCTTGACACAAAGTCATTGAACCAAGGATTAGGACTAGGAGTAAATATTGAGGCTGTCGTAGCATTTCGACAATAGAATATGAAATGAAAGAATACGAGGAATATTATCTAAGAGTAAATATTGGAAGCCGTTAATAGTATTTAAAATGAAAAGATATTGCAATGGAAGAATACGAAGGAATATTAACTATGAATGAATATTGAAGCATGTTAATAGTATTTAAAATGAAAAGATATTGCAATGGAAGAATACGAAGGAATATTATCTAAGAGTAAATATTGAACCCTGTTAATAGTATTTAAAATGAAAAGATATTGCAATGGAAGAATACGAAGGAATATTAACTATGAATGAATATTGAAGCATGTTAATAGTATTTAAAATGAAAAGATATTGCAATGGAAGAATACGAAGGAATATTATCTAAGAGTAAATATTGAACCCTGTTAATAGTATTTAAAATGAAAAGATATTGCAATGGAAGAATACGAAGGAATATTAACTATGAATGAATATTGAAGCATGTTAATAGTATTTAAAATGAAAAGATATTGCAATGGAAGAATACGAAGGAATATTATCTAAGAGTAAATATTGAACCCTGTTAATAGTATTTAAAATGAAAAGATATTGCAATGGAAGAATACGAAGGAATATTAACTATGAATGAATATTGAAGCCAGTAAATGGTAGAACAAGAAGAATAACATCACATTTGCTGTCATTGTTAAGATACAACAGCTAGTTAACACAAGCTAATAGCACAATATGACTGCCTTTGACATGTCAACTGGCCAAGATATGTGATAATATTTTAAGAATGTAAGTTACTATGATATATACCTTTAAATCTAATACTGTTCTTTCTAAAACAGAACAGTTTCTTGATGTTGATTCAGGAAGCTCCACACCATCCTTGCACATTCTGTCGAGACAAAAACACAGCTCAAAACGGGAAACGAGAAAGTGGGCAAAAATTAGAATGCTCGGCATTATGTAAAAAGGAGAACTTTGGTTCGTGTTTGAAAAAAGGCTTGTGCTTGAAATGACTCATATAAAAATCAATATACTAAACAAAAACATACAACAGAATGAAAAGAATGAAAAGGTTGGAAATACAGGAGCACGTTTGTTCATCATTTCAAACAATACATATCCGAGGATTACCACGGTTCAGAGAGAAATGGAAAATTTTCTAATCCAAGGTCAAACTGGGCCGAAATAAGATTGGTATAATCCGACATCAATCTAACATGAATCTAAACCAAATCTAAGGTTCTTACTTTGGATAGTTCCATACGTAATGTTTTGTAACTTTCCCCTTCTAAAATAAGAAAACACATTGAAGTTATATCTTTGAAAACTCTGCCTTTCATCTAGGACTGAATTTCAAACACAGAATTTCGTATTTATAGCTCTGAAGACTATATTTGTTCAAGACAGCGTAAATTGGAAAACGTAATAATCGGGTTCAATCTGTTTACATTAATCGTCTAACAAATACTGGTGATCAGTGGGAGGCAAATTTTGAAAACTCGATCAACAGACACCTCTCAATAACAAACACTTCGAAATAGCGGACAATCAGTTTTTCATAAAAAATATTTCCTCGGCCAAGGACATGTACAAACAACCTCCATCTAGGAAATACCTGATTCTAGCAGAAACCACCCCCACCTCCCCCGATGAAGACATTTCCCTGCGAAGGACAGAAAGTCCTATAGGTGAACGGTATTACAGATATGGTCACGTGTTTTCAAAGGGCATCCAATTCACTCTAACGTCGAGTAAATAGAGATTTGTCGCAGCAACATTGTTAGCAACCTGCGAAGTCATCTTTACATGTCATATGTGCATTGACCTGATGAACTTCCAGCTATTACTGAAATTTTGTCATCAGGATAGAATTTTTCAGCTTCACCTAAGGAAGCTTTTTATAATACAACATTATTCTTCAAAGTAACCTGACATATAAAATCATTAGAGCAAGCAAAAAAATAAGCATGCGAAAAACATTATGAAAGATTTTAGGCCGAAAAAAACCCAAGATCAGTATGGACCAAGATACACTAAAACATTTATATTTTCAAAATTCCAAGCGAGGAAATCCGATAAGCAAGAGAGAATCTAAGACAGAATGAGGAACTGAGTGCAGTCTATGCAAGTGTTGGGAATTTGGAAGTTGTCTTACTATGCAGGCTGAAGTGATATTCTGATAATCGGAATATGTACACAACGGGCATGCGTGCACTGAGTGCCAGAATAGTTGATACCTAGAAAGAAAGCCATACTTTAAAAGCAAAAACATCAAAGGCTTGTTTAATCTACTGATATACTGTCAGGCTGAATATATTGGGTACTATAGAATGCCGACGCTCAGCCACGAAATAATCTGATGAGTCACTTGTTTACAAATTGGAAAATATAATTGATCTTGGAGCGATTTTGGAGAGGATTTTAAACCCTGCCTTTCGGTGCGGTTGGTTTTAGACGATCCAGTGTAGCTAGTCATTTAGCTTGGTACTGTACGATAGACAGTACCAATCTTAAAAAAATTGATAGAAACAAAAAGGCTAGATCGTTGATTAATTGTGACATAAAGAATATCTCTATGATAACGCAAGAAACAAGAGGAACATATACAAGGCAAACAGGCGACACATATCTCTTTCTGGAAGGCCTTGATTCATTGGTAAACAACTAAAGGGGTAATCGGTTCTAATTCAAATAAGAAACAACCAAAATGAACTTTTGTTTTCAGGATATCAGGCACCCTAACATCGTGGCATATTATGCACGGGATTATCGAACTGTGAGATGAGATAATCTATCTGTGAGGAACTTTATTTGTTGCTAATCTGTATAGCTTTTCAAACAGATAGAAGCTGCTTATACAAGCATGAGAATATTGCTTTTGTGAAGAAAAACTGGTCAAAATCTACTCACAAACAACCATCACATGTTCCTGTAACACATCCAGGAGAAGGTGCTATGTAGCCCTGTAAACAGATAGAGGAAAAACCGACATGAGTTAAAATATTCAGACAAGAAATAAGTATGATATTAAGATGTGCAAGATAGAGAAGTGAAAAAGAAAGGAAGGAAGGAAAGAATAGAGAAAGAACGAAGAAAAAAGGAAGGAATGGGTGATGAAAGGAAGGAACGAGGGAAAGGAGAGAGGAAGAAAAAAGGGGGGAAGGATGGGAAGAGACAGTGTGGGAGGAAAAGGAAAGATATGAAAGAGAGAAGGGCAGACAGAAGGGGGAAAGTAGGTAAAAAAGAAGGAAAAGATACCTTTAAAATTAACATGAAAAAGTAAGAGTCGCCTATCTATTCAAACAGATTTCTAAACCGCAAAGAAATATCGAAAAAAATCTTGCACTAATCATGTAGCAGAGTCGTTACAAGTCACAAAAATGTAAAAATGAGCTATCTAACATCGAAATAACTTTCAATATTTAAAAGAAAATACCGTACCCTATCGACCGCAGTTTGGTCACACCTCATTGTAATGATGGTTGAGTAGCCTTTTGTGCATCGAGCACTAGATCTGTTGGAGTTACAGTTAAATAAACACAAATCGACAAATTTTCAAAAAGAACAACGTTTTACCTATGCTAATAATAGGTATAACGTATTATGAAGTGCGGATAAAAGGGACAAGTGAATTCAAAAGGCATTTTATTTGAATGATATGGTACAACTAAGTTTGACGTTCTTGCAATGTGTGTTTCACAAAAACTAAACGAATTTTGTTGCATACAGTGAGCATGTTTTAGCAAACCACAATAAAATGCACGATGAAACCTAAAACTGGCAGATAAAACTTGAAATATGAAGCTAATGGTATCCAGGTATTCTGGTGTTTCTGGATGAAATATCACACGATATTACTGAATTGTGAGAGAAGACTATACAAGAGTGATACAACAAGTTGGGGACACGTGAGGTGATTTATTATGTTCACAAAGGCCTGCAAGTAGGAACAGCGACAGGCTTGTATTGATATGGTTGGTGGTATAGGTGATTGTGTCTATGTTTGTATCAGCTGTAAATATAAGAAGGGGTTATACGTACTGGAGCGATTTGAAGAAAAAGTTAACATCGGTTGGAAGAACATCATGGTTCATGTTTTCGTCTACAAGAATAATACGGTGAGCTATTGAACATTGAGGTACTCAGAACTACAAACTTTCAAGGCTTCTGCCACAAAGTTATCAAACTCTTAATTGACCCACGATGCTCTATACGTTCTTACTAAATACATGCAGATTTCTATTTATCTTTGACACATGTTCTCATAATGAAAGCAAGAAGAAATTAAAGAATATTTTGATTTTTTGGTTCAATGATTGACCAACCAGTATGAAAATACTTGGCAAAATGAGCAAGATGAAGAATATGCACGCTCAGGTCTCAAGATCGTTTTGAGATTGTGTTCGCAGTATTTCACGTTCAACTTTGATAATCTGCTATTAAAATTGACACACTCTCATGCTGGATTAGATGGAGGATAGAAGTTGGACTATGTATGACATTGATTTTGGCGTTTGTCTGACAAGTTTCACTTAGAATTTCTCGCATAACTGGTTGCTCTTAGAAGTCTGACGAACAGATTGTAAAAAGTACTTCCCCATTCTAGGTTATTATTTCCAAAGTCCAAAGATAAATATTTCCAAAGATTGTTATTTCGCCCATTTAGGAAAAATCAGCACTTTACAAAGATTCAAAGCTTCAGAGATTGACATAGTTATGGCATTTCGATTGAAGAATTGTTTTTCTTCAGGCAAACAAATGAAAAATTTCCAGAAAACATTAATAGTAAAAATCTTATTACAGAAAGATAAAATTTGAAACTTTCTATGAGAATATTATTGAAATTAAATCAAAATTTTTCTTTAAAGACATATACATCATTTTGCATGGCTCAAACTGCATAGTATATTCTAAGGGCAAAAACAGACTTTAGTCTGTATCCGCTTTTTACAAATTCCCTGGGTATGAAAATCTTTCCCATTACTATTTCTAGGTTTCATCAATGGTATAGAGTCCAGATCAGAAATTACAATAAACGTTTCCCACCTCTTCGGGTCCGATGCGACTTTTCTTCTGCAGCAGCAGATCGCGTCTGGTTGTCATCATTCGACGTCTTGTAAGGATTCCCAAATGTAATCTTTTCCAAGTAATCCCCTAAGCTAAAAAGAGACACGGATTCACTTTGTTAAAAGTAGCTTCCTAAACATGCATTTTCTTAATAGCAACTATAAGAAAATAATCTTGGACAAGGTGACATGCCATTGAAAGTTTGGTTTCGGAATGAAAGCATTTGACTGTTATTATTAAGGAAAACAATTCCAATATTCCCTCAAATTTTATGTCTCATATGATGTTTTCCTTGGTACAAATCATCTTGTACAACATACACATTTCCTTCAAACAGTTGAATCCCGTTAAGTCGTGCTCGGGATAACTCGAATTTTGACTAAGTCGAACTGGCTTTCAATTTCTTTTGCATTTTCCTATCATATTCGAGTCAAAAGTCGTACCCAAGATAGGTCTGACATTTGCTAAGTCGGACAATTTCCTCACCGCCCTTGGTGGTCCTAGTTAACGGGATTCAAATGTAGTTATGAAAGCAATAACCTAAGACATGATGATAAAAGGGTATTAACTGTCGTATTTAAAGTATATAACTGCAAAATTACCTCATAGACTGTGCGATTATGTTTTCCTTTCTTTCATGAGACGGAATAACCGTGCTTCTGCATATCATAGCTTTGATTGCTTTTGAAGAGTGGTCTTTGCTCTAAATAAAAACTTCAAAAATCAGCAACTACATAGGCCATAGAAACCACAATATGGTGACAAGGCATTAATGATTCTTTTTAACCACTAAACTCGATGATATTACAGAGAACTCGCAAACCTTGGTTTCAGTCTATTACTATCTATAAGAATTTGTCAACAGAAATAAGCTTATTTCAATTTAATACAGGGCTGTGATGATCCAAGAACTTGGTTAAATCTAAATCTGATGCTGTGTTCTACGCTGTTCGAGAAAGACATTCAGAGTAACCACGGGACATCTTTTAGTTCTTATTTCACCTCTTAATAAATAATAATCCTTTTACTTACTTCTTCTTTGGTGAAGTTGTTCATACAGGTGGATACAGCATCTTCCTTGCCACAAACTGTGACATTAAAAAGTCTGTAAAACGGATATCCGTGGCTTGTGAACATCTTTGAATTTTTTCTCTGCATGTACCTTGTGGAATGAAAAATAATGTTTTTGAATAAAGTTTGAGATGATCAAAGAATAAAGATTCAATCTTCCTAAACAGATTTGGTAAACAACAATATTTTACTCAATTAATGATTCTAAGAAGTCTTTATCATTCCTCATGCCATAAATGGAGAAAATTCGTACGAAAAATAAAATAAGTTATTTGAATAATACTTTTTGCACCCTACTGTGCATGAAAGGTACAAATACAACCATTTAGAACAATTATATACTCTAAATCATTTAGAAAATACAATAACCTTACCCTCCGAGAGCAGTAAAATCAAAATGGCGGCCATCGGGCGAATGAACATGGCAGTCAGAGTAGCAATGCGAGGATCCCTCGGAGCTGGGATGGAAAAATTAGAGTTTAGTCTGCTAGAAACAACTTCAAGAAAGAAGAAAAAGACAAGAAAATCATGAAGATAATAGAAGATAATAGTACGGTTCAATATAATAGGTAATTTTAGAAAATGGAAAAGTGAAATTAAAAAGTGAGTTACTTTGACCCGTGCTACTTCGAGTTACACTGGTTGAAGGTTGGTTTCGAATCTATTTAGAACTCGGGTTCAACTTTTGTGTAAAAAAGCAGAGTAACTTTTCATCCATAGTTTTCAAAACGTACATGTTGCAACCGTCATTAAAGAGCATAATATACGATTAGTTTTGTACAGCAAGGGTACGATGAAGCATAAGGTACCAAAGGTCGTAAAGTCATAGGTCATATTGTCAAAGTATCAGAGGTCACAAGCCGGATCAACAAAACGAATGAACTTAGATCAAGTTTAAAGCAATCTTGCATTTTATAGCCACGTTTCCCGTAAGTATAGCTGATCTACATTGCTAAAAATGAAACTAGCTTTGGAGTAACAGAAATACTAAGCTGAGTAAAATCAAAGAAAAATAACTTCTTATAATACATAGGCGTATGTAAAGGATTTTCAAATAAAAAGATTATTCACTTGTAAATACTGTTACAAGGCTGTTTCCTTAAATTATCTTCTAATAAACGATAGGAAAATGCCAACTATAACGGTGAAAACAGTGTGCTAGGCAGCTACCTCTTTGTGCCTGGACTACATTTCTTGCATGCATTTGAATGAAACGGGTTCTTCGCATCAAGGTACGTGCCTGGAATAAAACAACAATTTGGAAATTTGAAGACCGAACTAAAGCTAGAATTGCATTAGCTTAACAAGTTAAACTTAGCAGATTAAAGTGTAAGTCAAATTTTCAAACTGACCTACAAATGTCCATGAAAATTTGGAATGGAAAAAATTTCAACAGATCACACTTCCATGATGAAATCTTAAAATAGAATATATTTGAGGAATTTATTACTATACGCAAAGCAAAATACTGAAGGAAGAAAAAAGAACCAAACATAGTGCTAAGCAAATTAAAAAAAGGAGCAATCATATGAGTTAGCTGAAAATCAAGGTAAAAAAATGGTAGATTGAATGTAAGTACATTAACGTTCATGATATATTTCAGCTTCTTCCTAAAAAGCGGTATTCAAATTCATTTTCATTTCAAAAACCAATACAAGCTAAAGTTTAAATACAAATATGCGAAGATATCACATTACAGTTCTAAATGTTAACTAATGACAATAACTGTAATACAGTAACTTCAAATATTATTTGTACTCGTTGTTTAGGAACCTTAGAAAAAACTCCAAAAACGGCTATTGAGATAAGGGCCCTGCTTTTTAAGCATTGCTAATTGAGCAATTCGAAAAAGACAGTTGGATTTTTTAGGATATGTAATGCGTAAAGAAGAGTTAGAAAATCTTAGTGTGACTGGCAAGATCAACGGAAAGAGAAGCAAAGGACGGCAAAGACTAACATACATCGCCAGCATTTGTAGATGGATGAGGATAACAGAAGAAGAAATATTAAAGACCACAAAAGACAGAAAGAGTTGGAAGTCCATGATCGCCAACGTCCCTACGGGACAGACGACGATGAATAAAGTAAATGAAAGATTAAGAATGAAAAAAACAGCATAATAACAACGTATCTGTAAAACAAACGCCATAACAGGGTTCCTCGATCAACAAGACTTTCAAAACACAATGAAACATGAGTATTTACCTTTTGGGCATTTGAAACACTTTTTGTTTTCCAAATAGCTGCCTTCACCACACTGGACACAACTGCAAAGAGATAGCTCAAAGATGCACACAGGTTTATAAGGAAGTGGATAGAGACAAGGAAGCCAGGAATACTAGGTCGAGGGGAGGGGGGGGGGGGGGGTTCAATCACTTAATCGCAAAATTGAGCGATTTTCTTCAATTTGCCATTGCTTATCGCCTTTAACAGAGTGTTTTGTTCCCTAGTTCTTACGGTGTGCAAGCTTCTTTGGTTGGAAATATCATGCGAACTCGAAATCAAACTTATCTGCTGACATGAGAATGAATTGCATTGTTAAAACTGAAGGCCTAGTGCTTCATTATCTGATGAAACAAAGCAAGTCCAACCGGTACCTCAACAGTTTTTTTTTATTCAAGCAATGAATATTTTGACAAAAACCATCTGTACTTGGGTTTGATATGGCTGCTGCTTAATCCATGTCCAAAATACACCTTCCTTTAACGAGGAAATGCAAATGAAAAATACAGAAACATACCCTTTGCCTTCGCTGCCGACTCCAAGCGGGCACTCGCTGCACTGACTCGCTCCACCGTTGAAAGAATTTGTCACGTTCATCGCATATAAAATAAACCTATTAAAGCGTTATACAAATTAATTATAAAACAGAAACGCGGGTAAACCAAATCAAGATTGATGGGTATATATTTTTTAATAAGTTAAGGCAAATGCCTGAAATGTCTGATAAAACTATTTAGAAAAGCGAATAAATAGCATTGAAAACTCCATATAGCGGAACAACCATATATGCAGAATCGTAAAAGACAATCTTAAATTTTCACGAATCAATTTTGAAGAGTTGAGTTGAGCCCTGCATCACATTAAAACGAGAAACATTACAGAATTTGGAAAGGCAACTGAAATGAAAATACCTGTCTTGAGAATACTCATAATCATCATCAGGATCACCTTCGTTTTTGATGAATTTCATGCGGAAGGATGCTGGCCCATCGCCATTGATTTTATATCTGTAACAAATCGATTCCGTTATAAAGTATGATCCGGTATATGAGGGAAACTCTCAACGTCAGGAGAGGATTATCAAAAGTTGTATTTATGCCCAAAAAATATTTTCCAATAATTTACTCACAACAAGAGCTGTTTCCAGGCTAGTAATTTCAATCACTGCCAGATCATAAAAAAAGATTGAAGTTAAAGTGTTTTTATTCAAGTCGGCCTATCTCAGTGCTAGATGAATCTGGTCTATTCCAGATTGGACAAACTCGGAATAGGATTGATGATGCAACCCAGATTGGACAATCTCGGAGCAAGATTGATATGGTTTATCCAAAATTGGAAAATCTTGGACCTTGGTTGGATCTCCCCTTACTCGGATCTGAATTGATTCTGGTAAATCTCAGATTGGACTATCCCGGATCATTTTATGACCAAGATTTCTATCAACACACCCTTCAAGCTCAATTTAGTGTTTGAATCTGAACACATGTACACAGACAACGATCAAAGGACTTTCAATTATCTTTAAAGGATCGTGACTTGTATGCTAAAATCTTACATGAACTTTGTTTTGGGTTGCATGCCATGTTTAGTCAAGATTGTCATCTTTCCTTGCATTGGTCGACGCTGAAATGATGATAAGATATTGTAAAATCAAAATACTTGCTACACAGCGCTTTTCCAAAAGCAATCGATACACTCTGCAAGGTCTCATCTGAGTCAAACATAAGACTGTCACAAACCAGAAAAATAACAAAGTTAAAGCATGTTAGTTGAGGAGAAGGTAATTTTGAGCTCACCATTTCGATAATGAAGGTACAAAATGACTTGCATTGAACTTCAAATTCAATTACAAAGGTAGATGTTGCACTTTTGAATCCAGGCACTCGAAGCATCAAGCCAACTTCAGCGTCATCAGCATGGCCAACCCCTGTATCCATGAATGTGTTAAATTGTCGCCAACCTGTGCTTGATTTGCAAGATCTCTCTGAAAAGAAGCATCAAGACATGCTGAGTTGGTTTGTTTCCAACCAAAAATATTGATAGATTTTCAAAAGCTTCCTGGAAGCAGATAACTGAAGGGTATATCTTCAGCAATACTGTTTTCCCAATATAAAAAGTCACAAAAATAATGATATAACAAAAATTATATTAACCTAATAAGAATTCAATATATCCCTAATATTATAAAACCCTTCCATAATAAAAAATAGTTATCTAAAACAAATATTTATGATAGAAAGATCAAAATGGCAAACATTTTTAGAATTAAACATGAAATTGTTCAAGTTTCTCAGGGAAAATACCTGCCTACACTTAGCTGAAAAGACATTCCAAAACTTAGCACCTCAATGTATTTCAGAGACTCCTAGAGGTTAGCTGGAATGTTTTTGTGCAATACACGGTCACTTTTAGAAATATGGGGGGGGGGATGCTTAGATGTTCAAATTTGCATGCATGCTACTGAGATACGTGAATATGTGTCTGTCTCAAAAGACGTGCCCAAGGCTGTAGTCTATCGATATTTAAAAGAGGTTTGAGTAGGGCAACGATAGTTTTGGATTGCTTTTGACCCATTTTATTGTTTGGATCACAAACAGCAAGGCAGCCTCAAGCTTCCCAAATAGTGCCAAAAGGAAGAATATATTATAAAGAATTTAATACAGATTCTAGTCTAATGTTGTTGACAGATGTTGGAACTATAAAGCAAAGGATACTGTACATTATTCCTCTACCCTTAACACCTGAACAACACTTTTTCATAGCTTTACCATTATTTTTTTGCGTTCACTTTTCATTGCTGATTAAAGTGTCAAGTTGTTATTTAAAGAGACCGGTAAATAGAGAGTTGAGATAAAAAATATGCAAGGCTGCAGAAATAAAACATACATTGCAACAGCGCAGGTAACAGATAATTTAAGTGCACAAAGCCTTCGAGATTATAAGGTACTTGAATCCTTGAACAAGATGACAGACTGAAAAACAGATAATGTTAGCCTGGAACTTACCTTTCTCCGATAAGCAGAAAAACTCGAACAGATTCTTAGGTAGGTTCCGCCACCATCTGAAGAATAGCCCGACATCTGGTGAGGTAGACGGTGGACATTTTTTGCAAGCTGAAATATCAACATGGAAAAGTTGTTGAAATACCAAAATAACATGCTGAAATATAACCGATTCAGCAACAAATAAAATGCATAGGCGCGTCTTGCATCCACAGAATCTCCTGTGGGTAGTGTCAAAGTGTCAAATTCAGTTTAAAAAGAGCCTTGCATACACAACAAAATTGAGATTTTAGTGAAAGTAGCATTTTATCAGATAAATTTCTCAATATAATTTTCAGATAGAAGCATATTTTTCACTTACATACAAGGCCCCTCTTCACAAAGGATGGTTTGTCATGATGCTTTGTCTTTTTCCTTTGCCCTAAAGACCTACCTAAATTAAGGCTGATCTATCCACTATCAGAATTTTTTTCTCATTCACTGACCTAAAATTTCTATATTTGCAAACCATTCATTGAATTCAAACATATTTTCTTCCATATGTTTTATATCCTCATTTTTCTTTGCCCTTAAGATTTCCCAAAAGTTCGTAAAATAAGAACAAATATGTAGGGAAGAAACAGAACATACCACTTTTGCCATCACTGTATTGACCTTGGCCGCAAAAGGCACACTGGCTGCCATTTTTAAACTGTCCGGGGTTACAAGGCGGACAGTCCATCTCCTCAGCGGGAGGCGGCAGTGCTATACCCCCTTCGCATATCTTAGGAATCACCCAGAAAAAGGTTCTTTGTGTCTAAAAAATCAAGAGGGTTGCTAAGTATCGACAGTGTCTTATCTTAAAATCACAAAGTCGTGTTGTTAAGTAAGACGGTGGTTTAAAGTTGAAAAGTCCAAACCTTCAATGTTAAGTCTGTTGTTTTACGATTGCTGTTGCTACTGTTACACGTGCTAACCTCAGTTAAATTATTTGCGTTAACGGCAGAAAAAATGCTGCAAACTTAGGGAAATCTTATGCCTTAAAACGAATGCAAAAATCTTGCAGTAATCTTGAAAAACCATGAATTATTCTTGCAGGAATCTTTGCAAAAAGTCTGAGAAAAAACTCATATCTTTACAGTAATGCGGTAGTCTTGTTGAAATCTTTGAAAGATATCTGGCCATCTAGTAGTGATCTCACATTATTACACTGACACAGAAATCTTTACACTAAACAATTTTGCAAACGTGCATCCAATGTGGAGAGGAAGATGGACTTTTAAGGTCATTGACATATCAAAATGTCAACAAACCTTGCTCTTTGCGTCACAGTCACTCCACATTTCATAGAAATCTTTCGACGAGCATTTCGGCTTCTTCAAACATTTAACTGACCCAGGAGCTTTTAAGAAAAAGAAGAAAACTTAATATTGAGGAATATACATTCGAATGAAAAGTTTTTTTATTAAAAACAACAAATGAAAAGATTTTTAGAGAAAAGCGCTTGTTTGATAGACTTGCAAATAACAGAAACTCAGATCCACTTAAAAACTGATCATATCTGAGACATTTTACTCTTACTGAAAAACTAGACATTTTAACTTTACCTGAATACTCGTTGCTTGCGCATTTGGTGCAAGAATCAGCACCTTCTTTGGAAAATGTGTTTGCGTCACACTTCTTACAGCTGAAATGGGATGTTAGATACATTCAATATGTAGTGATTTATAAATCTTCATATTTACAATAGGACGCGCAACTACTTTTAATAGCTGTATGAAACGTGGTGTGGCAGAAGACTGTCGGTAGGAAAATGCAGCTGTTTTGCAAATCAGAACAAGTCCAGTTGCCATTGACTTAAGTGCATCTCATGATAAATTAGCAATTCATGAACAAACAGCATGAAAAACTAGAAGCTATGAAGATGTAAAAAGCAGGTAAGGATTTTCTTAGAGACAGATGCAAAAAATGTTTTACGAGCCTTTATCTAGATTAAAAAATTTTAGAATTGGTGCACTGAGCTCTGGATGATTCTTTGTTGCAAACAATTTCGACAGTCAATGGTAAAAGAGGGCTTGAACAATGTTTTAATGTTATTTTACTAAATTAAACAATACTTCATCTTCTGATAAAACAGACCATGACAAAATAGGGTATTTTAATCCCAAAAGTCTATGAAACATAGGTTCTTCTGATCTCAAAATACTATGAAATTATTAACTGGAATGAAATCTTTATAACTTACTACGCGGCTCCTTCGCCACTGTATGTTCCTGGTTCACAATTGGTGCATTCAGAGGTGTATGACAAGCCTTAAAGAAGAAAAATATTTAATATTTCAAAAATAATTTTATCAACATTTCTTCTAATATAGTTAAAGATACACCTACAGCCCATGACCAAAAAAATAGTTGAGAATCATCAAGAAAGTTTATGTTTTCTCTTTATATTGAAAAATAACTTTTCTCCTATCTTCAGTTCAATTTTGAATGCATGCATGTTTTTTGTAAGCAAAAAATGATATAACTTCTAATCCTACATTCCTTGGGGGGAAGGGGGGAAAGGGGGGAAAAGGGGGGAAAGTAGGGGGTCGAGTTTACAGGAGCAACGAAAAGTAGAAAATTGCAAAAATTCAATTCTGTCACAAATATTGTTCGGGATTGTAAGTTCAAAGATATGTTAAGTTTTACCCAGAACGACACAACTTTGGTTGACGAACTTTCAATTTTAGTTTTAGGTTCAAGAAAGAAAGTGAGGAATTTCACGCTTGCGTAATCGTAACTGATTTGGGCACAAATTTTTATAAACGAAAAATTGGAAACAAAATTGCTTTTTGCAAATTATTTATTCATACTTGAATTTACGATAAGCGGGAAACTCTGACGTCCTTTAACTATCGGAGACATAAAAAATAATACATTTTGCACAATTTTTCACAGCAATATACATATTTGTTAGTCAAGAATTGCAAATACAGAGAGCAGGCGGACATGCTAAGGTTTACAATTCCTTAGGAAACAATAATAACCTTTTCAGAATTGGTTAAAATAGGCCTGCATAATAGTAAAACATGGTGGCGCTGTTGTTGTTGTTTTTCAAATTTTCGATGCAGCCATTGGACAAAAGCCTTTTTTGAAGTTTGTGGAAGGATGTCACCTACTTCCGTCAAAATCAGCCAAACTACCGAACATATCTTAAATAACCTTGAAATAGACTATATATATCATTGTATGAATTGATAATTCTGTTACAAGGGCCTAAAGATCGCATTTGCATTCAGGGATTCTTTAGATGATAAGAAAAAGTTTACTACGCACATAATTTTTCATCAAATCCCAAATTAAACACTGAACGTGATTCATTCTTTGTTTGATTAAAAGTTTTCAGGTAAAAAGATACCAGCAAATACTCTACTTTAAGCGTCAATAAAAATGGCCGAAAAAGAGGCTCTTCAGATGCCTTGTACCCTAAGGTGTCTACAAAGACCAGCGTAGACTATATGTTTTCATAGCATATTGGTACTCTAATTATGGTTTTGCATAAACTTACAACAATGGATTTCTCTCTTTTGTTTCATAATTTATGCAAATTCAGGTATCAATAAAATCTGGATAAGCAGATCATTTTATCGTCGATCGATGAAAATTTTCAATGCGGAGTTATTATTCACATTCTATCCTTCCATTTCAGAAGCCTTTTCTCGCAATTCTAATAGGCAGCTTGAGATTAAATAATCCCTTTCAAAGTTGAGAGGAAAGCTTTTTAGAATTTCGCGGCTTCAAAACACTGAAGTATCGCGCAGAAAAGAGGACAGATTACATTCTGAGAATTAACGCTGTCGTGAATAAGCTAAAAGGCTTAAAACAAACAAGAGGCATCAACTTTATAAGGTAAAGGGGAAAAGGATTCCCGACCTATATCACAAGAATGTGTGGGAAACGCCAGCTAGTGGGGGCACAGATCTTGAGACTAGAGTATCGTAATGTTGAGTGGCCTGTCCCTTTTCTTGCTACCTTGAACCACCTCCCTAAAGTTGCCATTAAACAACCATTCAATGCAAAGTGGAAAGGAAAAAAGCGTCCAGATCGAGGTTGGGCCTGAAATTAAACCCACAATATTGGCACTGCAACCAAACTATCTAATTTGGCAATTTAGCAAAATACATCATCTTCATCTTAAAATATCCAATTTATGGAGACACCGAAACGGATATTGAATTTGGTATTTTCATGCACATTCATTTAGCAATAATCGTAAATTTAACGCTTGTATGTACATTTTCAGTACCATAAACCTACTAGATTGCGCGCGGTACAAAATAATAGAAAATATAGCGGGCTATACTCGAAACGTCGTTATTCAATAACCGTTTTTCCCCTGGTACGATTTATTTACATTCATAGTTATTTTTAGTACCAGTTGTAGTAACATATAGTATAAATGTTCGATCATCTTTTCTGAGGAGGACATCAAGTTCATTGTCAAGTCTGCTATGCTTTAACCGATTCAGTTGTGATAAGGGATGATTTCAAGTGATTAAGAACATCTCTAATCATGATTTATATAATACTGAGACAACCAATGTTGAGAGAGAATCTTGCTCCATAAATCTGACGTCGTAACAGCTAAGCACAAAGGAAATTCAAACCAAAGGGTTCCCAGTTGACTTAAATTACAAAACGTACCTGTAATCTTTATTTCTTTAATCTGAACAGTTCTTAGCACGTTGTTTTTCACCCCTCCTCCGCTTCCAGAAAAGCGCTCTTCGTGATGATTCGATTCTGCAGACTCGAATGTGAATGATTCCATAAAAATGACATTCCTTCCTCGTTGAAGTGGAACCTATCAAGAGAAAAATTTCTGAAAATTACACTGAAATTATGTAATAATTGGCTTTACAACAAGGAAACTCTACCGGAACATCAGAATAGAACCACAGATAGAACGCAGAATCTAATTATCTCCCTGCAGCATATAGATTTGTTATTTTATTTTTTTTATTTGCTATTTGCTTCAACGTACCTTTTAATCTTTGCCAAAAGTGTTAGGACGCCTACACAAAATCATCACAGATTTTTAAGGTTGCCCCCCCCCCACCTCCCCCCATTACAATGTTGATTTATATTAATATTGCATAACTTAATCAAACTAGGATGGCACGCATAAACACATCTAACGAAGGAATGAAAATCGTATTGAGGGGTGAGACAGTGTTAATAATTTTTACAATTTAATGAAATGATAATTTCATTTTCTACAATCTTTTTACGAAATCAAAAAGTAGCCTTGAAAAATCATCTCCTATGCTTGATGTTTTTGACCACAATCCAAATAACTTAATTCATCTTGAAATATTAACTCACAAAAGACTTTAAAATGACCAAATTTTTCATTTGGTGAAATTCTTTCCCGAAACTAAATTTTCCCCGAATACTTTTAAGTTATTAAGTGTAATCATTGCATGGTAAATGAATTATCACTTACGTATGTTCTTTTCCAGCGAAATTCTGGGTAAAGGTTAAATCTGTGCTTGCCTCCATGACTCGTAGTGCAAAAATCATTCGCAACCTAAATAAGATCTTGAAGCGTCAAACTAGTTAACAAATTGCAAAAATTAGCATGTTCGAAGGGGTGAACTAATCATGAGATTTGTAATGATATAAATTGTAATCAAAGTTATAATGAAACTTAAAAAACAGTTGGAGGAGGTCTTTTCTAATACAAGAAGTATGACTAGTGCTCAAAAGGAGGTAGCTTATAAGATTCATCCGTCGCTGCCCCTAAAACTTACCCCTACAACATGCTTTTATCTAAAAGAAGTGACAGTAGGCCTACATATCTAAGAAAAGAGGGTGGGACATGTCTTGGGACGAGAAATGAACGGTAATTGTTTAAAAATATTGATTATTCGCATGCATATTAATTTTTTTATAATTTTATTAAGCTCAAAGTAATAGAAATTAAAACCAAAAGAAATGTTTAGATTACCTTGACATGAAAAAGTGCATCTTCATCGTCTGATCTGTAAACAATACTGATATTTCCATCTTTTTCAAGCTGTCACATGGAAAGAAAGGAAATATTTCAAAGAAAAGGCTTTATAGATGCAAACTCAGATGATGTTTTACGTTTGAAATAGCTTAATATATCTATAACCAAGACTTATAACTCCATATTTAACTAAAAACCATGTGTATCTCATAACGTTTTGCACTCTGATGCGAAGAAACATCATACATGACTAGTAAACATCAATAACACAGCAACACACTCAATAACGGACATCTCCAAACGACGGACGTAAATATTTGTTTGCCCATTTTTATTCTCAACAGATCTGTACCCGTTTTTCCAAACAATGGACAAGATCCACTCCTCCCTGTCCCTAAAATTGTATTAAAACCTAAAGGTGTATTGCTAATTGCAGTTTTTAAACAAATGCTTAAAAACTGAAGCTCTGCTAGTCGCACTTTTAAAGACGTATCTTTAAAAAAGTAAACAAAAAACTTACTGTGACAGAATAAGCAAGAACTGATTTGCAAAAATCTCCGGCAGATTCTATAAAGTCTCCTTCAGCTGACCAGACTGTCCTATTTAAAACAAGATTGAATATTCATATCAATATACAGATGTCAATAATCACAGAGAATGAAATCACTTTCTTTGAAAATGGCAAAGACAGATTTCCACAAAGTATTACCAGATTTATTAGATTATAATCACTTTTAAAATGCATCAAATAATGAAGCAAACTGTTTCATATTCTTTATATTCGTCTTTTTTTAAAAAAAAATAAAAAAAAGCTGTGTAACCTATGATTATAATAATATCATATTATATCTCGTTAAACCTCCGTTTTGGAGCAGTTACTATAGCACAAACACAGAATTGCTAGGAAAGACATCATGTGCAGTATAGTACCACAGGCTAATTTTCACTTTGGTTTGAAAAAGTTTAACCAATCTCTCGATTTCTATCAGGCCTTTTGAGTTGCTTTTTAGAATTTGTTCCATTTCTGGAGGTGTCTTGAATATTTCGCATTGCCATAAATGTTCTAAGTTTTCTTCATGTAATCCACACCTACTGCAACTTATTTTATCAACCTGAAGGCAAATTATGAAGGCAATTGAAGCAGGTTTCTAAATTATGAGCACCTTATACTTCAAAATACACGAAAATCATTTTCACACTTGCTACACAACATACCACGATGTTGTCACAACTTACCACAATGCTACACATACCAGAAATGTTACAATTGAGTATCTTATATATATTTTCAATGAAAAAATGCTATCATGCTTAAGACAGAGATTTGGTAATTGCATGAAAGGGTTGTTGATGACAACAGATTTTTAGCATTTTCAACTTTGGGCAAAACACAAATTTGGACAAAAAAAATTTGGACAAAAAAATAAATTTGTATGATCCAACTATGGAAAAAATCATTTTTGTAAGACAAAAGGTATATTTCAGAAGAAAAAATAGAGAGCATGCAAAACATTACATGAGAGCTTACTTGTTACATTTTGATTGGCTTCTACTCGAAACTTCATCATTGTCAGGATCAGAACCCCATGTTAAGAAACCAGAAGGCAATGTCTGCCAAGAACGGAATCTGATTCCCCCACTTAAACTAAAAGTTCCTGGTTTGCATTTCAAGCATTTTTGACTCTGTATATCCAAGTACTGACCTTCTGGACAACTAAAAGCTACAAAAAAAATTAATTGATTACTAAAACAGGTTACAATACAAGCCATTATTCATACTTTCTATCCAAACATTATTGGACACTTCTGTTCTTGGATATACAGAAACTAGCTGCACTATAGGCCTTAAGCAAAATTGATTGAATTTACCTATCGAAGAAAATCATTCTTTGTTACAGTGTCCAGTAAATTATTCACTTACATTCAAGTACATAAAATGACTGCAAAACACTTGTCAAGTATTACTTGCAAAATACTTGTCCATTTAATGTAAAACTTTCGGAGAGTTGACATCATTGAAGATTTTAAAGATTTAAGACTTTCAGCAGCATCTGTTTTCAAAACTTAAAGACATCTGTATTTGAACACAACCAATCTATAGAATCTCAAATAAAAAGTCACTTTCATTTTAATCATATTGGCTATAAATTGAACAAAACATTCCTTTTTCGTAGCCATGGAATTAGCATATTGCTTTTTTAAAAAGGATTATTTTGAAGACAGTGACAGATTTTACTGGTGGTTTTACAGAAAATAGAATGCTTTGAGAATAAAATAATGTGTTTTTAATTAAAAAAGAATTCCTTTGTCTGTGGAGCCCCATAAAAATTCAGCTTACAAAAAAGAGTTCAAGGTTTGAACTGAAATTGTTTTACATGTAATGTATAGGAAATGCTTTTATAAACTGATAATACCACACATTTGGCCAATTGCAGAATACTTACTTTCACTTCATAGAATTCAAAACAAATAATTCAGTTAGTAAATTGACTAAATGTATTCAACAGTGATTAGATCTTTAAATTTGCATGTAAATCTCTACAGGAAGGACCAGGCCTCTCAGGGAATGAAAAGCATGCGGACTAAAAAAGATCCCTGCTGGTTTGGCTGGGTGGGCTATTTAGCCCTTGCCAAATTTGTTGTTTATCTATTCATACTTGAGTATATACCAGCCAAAAAATATATTACCTAGTCTACTTGTAAACATGATTTATCTTAAGAAGGCAGTTTATTTGTGTGCATTACTACTTCTTAAAATGACAAAAGAGATTTTTTGCAAAATGACAACGTTTTGTGTAGAAACACAGATTTATTGAGTAGTATCCAACGAAATTCATCTTTATTAAAAAAGATAAAGAGCAGTACAATGTTATTTAAAGAGTAATGGAAGATTAAGTCGATTTGCATTCAAAATGCAAGAGAGAATAACTGAAATACACTTCTTTTCAATAAAAATTTGAATCTGATTTTTGAGTCAAATTTGAGTACTCCAGTTTCTAATTGGTATAGGAAATTCTAATATTCATTTTTTCTTGAGAGTTTCTTAATCTGGAAACAGCACAAAAGAGTAAAAAAAAACATGACAAAGATTGGCGAATAACATAAACCTCGAAGTATAAAGGGAAGCAGAAATGCGGATCGAAAGAAACAAGAGAGTTCAGAAAAAGTGAATGATTGGCTCTATGTTTTTGAAAAATCGCAACCGCTTATCTCTCACCTAGTTGAAGAGTCAAGGAGCAAAAACGAATAATTTCTGAAAATTTTTTAATTTTTTCCAATTGCCCAGTTTTTGTTTCTTATAGCATGTTTCTTATAAAAATGAGTGTATTCATACACAAATTTCGTACTTGACAATGTTGTGTAACAATTCTCATTCTCGCTATTTTACCCAATATGTTGTTCCTTTCCTGCACAATCATTTCATATTCCATTGCTAGTTGTAACAGGTTATACTGTGGTTTGTTAACATTTGATGTCAAAAGAAATTGAATTTTTCTTTTTATAACGATATTTATGAAAGACCATGTATTTCTTTGCCAAAACGTTATTTATAGATACCCTGACATATAGCAGTAAGTAGAGAGGTGCTTAATTAAAAACTCACAAATCTTTTAAAAATTGGATGTTTTTTGTTAAAATTGAAGCAAATTCTATGGAACCTTCTCGGCAAATTCCTCTTTTTAGAAAACTTTGCATTAAAAACCTACATAATAAAAAATCTAGATAACAAAGTAAATTTACAGTAATATAATTATAGAAGGAAACTCTGCGAACCAATATTTAAGAATTGTAATTCTATGAATTTAAAGTAACTATCTAAAAATGATAAAATCTTACTGCACTGTGTTCCTCTTTCAGGTATTGGGGGTCTTTCCATTCTGCACAGTTCTGGCTTTAATGGCACACCAACCTTCCATCTTCCATTAGTCACATCACATTCAGTATAAACATATTTCATTTGATTCTAGATAGAAATACAGATCTGTGTGTAACCATAATAGAACTAGAAAAGAGTTTTTGTAGGACAGCAAATACAAGAAGATATTGCAGAACAACTTTTATTAAGACCAAGCTCTATTCTTTTTAGACTAAACTTATATCAATAAGATTATATACTCAATGTTCTACGGTGAATTCATGACTCTTAGTCATAATATGTCTTAAGTAGGCCTATAAGTAGGCCTATTGAAATATTAGTCGTTCAGAAATGATTTAGCAAGATATCTAGTAGTAAGAGAGAGATAAAAAGGAACACGAAAAAACTTTAGATCAAAAGAGACTGCTTTCAGCCTTAGCTTTGCACTTTGTATATTTGGAATAATGTGAAATTATTCCTTGGCTAAAACAGGCCAGTATGCGAGAAATTGATAATCAAGCCACAAGCTCAAGCAAGACTCAAAAGAGTTTTGATTTCTAAATTGCTAAATTCTGCGGGCACAAGGAGGCCTTAGAAGCTGCTTTCAAGCAGTAAAAATCAAGTCAAAGTTCTACCTAGAGATCTGCTCAATTAAATTGCTTATGCTTTCAACTGACATTAGAACGCGCGTAACTTTTCAGGGTGCGATTTCTGGAAACCGGCCTTATTGCACGTTGGGTGCAAAAAAATTCCTATAAAAGCAAATTCAAATATATTCAATGTCGTTTTACTTTGCTTTCTACTGAAAACAAAGAATCAAAAACAAATTATTGAAGTAAACCTTGGTGCAACTTCTAAGCCCAGATAAAGTTGGTGCTTGAGTCCTCGGGGCAACTGTTTGGTTGACTTCGGCACAAAACTTTGGAATTTGAACAACTAGTGTTAGCCAAAAAACCGCTACCGAGATCGCTCGAGCATTGGACTTGTTCATGTCTGTGTCCCAGATATCTGTGGATTGCTACCTTTCAGCGTTCAAATCATAGGAACAAGTTATTTGATTGAAATTTAGTTCTTATTAAAAACTCTTTTTGTGAACAAAAACAAAGCCTGTTGTTCTCTTGGATGGATAGAAACCAGCTGTCCTTTCTGTACAACCTCTTTTTCGGTATGCCGAATATGATGGCAAGATGGCAAGAAGTAAGCAGTGCGTCTGCGACAGCGTTCAATAAGAACTTTGGAAAGTTAAAATAACAGTTAATTTGAATGCCAATGGCACACATTGCATGTGAGATTAGAAAATCTCGTCTAATGAATGCTTAGATTCTTCTCCCATGGCTGCGAAATTTTTCCAAATGTCGCACACTTGCAGCCTTGCTGAATCTCGCTGTTAAATAATTTTGGCACCTGCAAAATTTCAGACAAAATGACCTACGCTTCATTTTTGGTAGGACAATAGTTCGAAACAACGGCTGCTTGAAACCCTTTCAAAAAACTTAAAATAAATGACTTGGCTAACGCATTTTTTTAAATGACTCAAACGCTTTTTCATTTGCTAATGACACTTACATGTGTTATGAGCAGTAGCGTAGTGAGGGAGCATGGGGGCCACCCCCGCCCCCAATGTACAGAAAGTTCGTGCCTGAGAAAAGTGCTAAATCTGTACCTCAAGGGGAGGGCTTGATATTTCAGACAAAATCAAACAGTTTTAAAAAACTGCAAACAATCGACTGCAAGAAATATTCTTAAAAGGTGTTTTAAACTTATCTAAATGGCGTGGTGGCAAGAATTTTATGTATGTTTCACTCGCAGAGGACCCTCGTCTGTACCTCTACAGAATGTTTTACAATTTCCCCCCATTTTAAGGTATATAGAGAAAAAATTTCATAGTTCTTGAGACATTCAAGATCAAATAGAAACTAAAATGCTAAAGCGCTTTAATCTTAAAAAACTGGACCCTGAAATGCTTGTCGTGGATTTTGCAGATTTTGCTTAAAGGAGAACGGATGATGTTTGAAACTTTTGAATGCTTTTTATCATTTTTAGATACTTGCATACAGCTTTGGAAAATCGGGCTTTACATGTAGAGATTCCTCGCCCTACACAATTCAGAAAATAAACGTAAGAGGAATTGTGGAGGAAATAGACGGTTGTTGAATGGGGTCAGCCACAAAAAGCTTACATATGAAGGTTATTGTGTTTGATTAGCCAACCATAGCCACGTGAAAAAAGCCATAGCTTTTCCAAACACATTTGAAAAATGAGACGTTTTCCCAAATTTTTAAGGGTGTGGTAAGCAAAAAGTTTCCCGGCGATAGACCCCTGGATTATTAAACGTTGTAAATATTGAACCCAGGTATGGTAAAAAGTGGCTTGATGCCAATAAACTATCTCTTAACTTCATGATTTTCCACTTTATAAACACTAAAATAGATAAAAGTCAAAGAAGACCCTTCAAAGAGCAACATTTGTTAAATTTCCAAAACTGCTCTTAGAAGAAAATCTAAGTTGGAAGTTATCGTCTGTAGGAGTTGTTTAAGAAGCTGGTAAGGAACCTGTGGTATTATTTCCAAGGTTAAGATCTTTCTGCCTCATGATACAATACTCTACCTATACAATTAATTGTTTATGTCTTTCGCCCAGTATGGTATTATTATGTTGGGTAACTCTTCTGCGTCTTATACCTGTACAGACTCTGTCAATAGACTTCAGAAGAGACATCAATAATCCGAACAATCTCTTCTCGGCCTGCTTTTTCAACTTCTTCTCCAATCTTCAAGTCTTTTAAACTTATCAGACTAGCTAATGTATTTCAGCTTGAGCTTCTCACTTTTTCTCTGAACCTGTATATACAACATCATCAAGTTGCTTTATTAACTTTTCTTATTGAATTCATCTGTGCATCAGTAGAACAGTAGACAGGCTAGCAAAGGTGATTTGCTTCTTGTATGAAAGAACACCCGTCAATATGGGCTGAACTCCATTCGCTATAAAGGAGCAAAGCTTTAAAGAGTGGACTGATATGTGCGTTTTCCATGACCAAGGGGGGGGGGGCAAATAGGGAGCCCAAACTTACCTTGGGTACCAAAGTCTCCATAATTTAGTCTCAGCTATATAGTTAGAAACTAATCAGAGAATTATTTGAGGAAGGATTCTTCCTATCCTCCGCAGCCACTAATTCTTTGCCACCGCATTCTGCTACAATACTTTATCCACGGATTTGTGAGGCTCCGCTATATAGAGTAGTCCAAATAACGAATAAGATAAGATAGGGAGATGGTCACCAATTCTAAAGAGAGACCTTGTAATACAATATAATAAGCAGCATAATACAAGGACAGTGTAACATTTAACGGATGAAAATAATAAAGAAGAAGGAAAACAAATGTATTCAAATGAGACTACTTTGTTTTGACGATATCGAAAAGTATCTGTTTACACTAAGCATAAAGATGCAAGTCTTAAATACTCACAAATCTGCTGTTTGCTAGCCTAACGAATCCTTTAAGTAAATTTCAGTTGCTCATGGCTTTGGGAAAAACATATTAAACAATTTTTAAGTCATAAATCTTATCTTCCACGTTCGTCTCTTTTCAATCGCATTATACAAAGTCTTTCAAGGAACAAATATCACAGATATGCTGTTAATGCTTTCAAACGTAAGAACTTTTGATGTAATTCTTATTTGTTTAAGATCATAGTCATCGATTAGTTTCTCCTTCAATAATATTTGCTCGGTACGAGCCACAAAACGTTGTATTTTTCAAGTCTCATCTTCGTGCGTTCTCACGCTGGTGTACCATACAATCGGGGTATACTCAATACTTCAACTGAGGTGAGGTCTTAGCAATGTATAGCAAGGCTTAATTTTCAACGTAGACATTGCAGTTGATTTTATTTGGCTTGGTTACCAATTTCGTTACACAAATAGCAGTTGTCAACAAATAAAGGCACGCAAGACTCGACTTTGTTACTGTGATTAATCACCAGAAATGGAGAAAAAACTGTGCCTTGTGGAACATTTGACCATGACGTCTTCAAAAACGATATGTTCAAGAAATCTAGCATAGTACTGATGATTCTAGAGCAACTAGCCTATAATTCACTATTTCGTGCCTAGGTCATTTGTCCTTGTATTTTAACTCAAATTTATACCTGATGACTGCATTGAGGTTGAAATTCAGAGTAGCAGCCTAGAACTGCCCTGTTATTTACACCAAAGGGCATTCATAGGTCTGCATATACTGCGCCGAGCAATTTATGATATTCTGGAAATAGTACTTTTCATTGTTACTTAGACAAAATTTTTGCTTAGGCTCATGGCCTGTAGCAAAATCCACAGACTGCACGAGCAAAAAAGAAAAGCTGCACGTAATTACCTATCGCCAATCAAACTAAGATGCTTCAGCATTCTTTCCCACTAAAAGCATAGCCTTGCATAAGATATTACCAGGGACGAAAACAAGTCGCTAATTTTGGGGGGTCGTGGAAGGATGAAAATTCCAACTTTACTTGAAGAATTTTTCTTTCGACCTTTAAATCTACTGTACCTACAAAATCGATATTTGGAAATATCCCTAATTCAAGATTTCTAGTGTCTTATTATAACCAACATTTTACTCATATTAATTAGCCTGAAGTATAAAAACACTAAAGACGATAAATGAAATCTCTAAATTTGGATCAATGTAACACGAACATTGAAACTTTTCGTAAAAAGTGAAGCAACATCCAAACATAGTAAGCATTCTATATATTTAATGATAAAAATGAATATTGTTTCAAGTCAATTAGCAGCGATTCTTCTTTTTCTGCTTTGCCTTTTTCAAAGCTGCAGATCAATTTTATCTAAAATATCACTTTAACGTTTACCTCTACTAAGACAGGCTACGAAGTGTTTGAGCGTACCCAAAGAACTGCTTTCCTATCTTGTGTCAAGGCACTGCATGTTTACCAATATTGTGTCAAGACACTTTAACGATATAAAAGCGTCAAGGAATTGAATCCTTCGTCTTTGTTTTTGATCAAAGGAAATTTTTAACAATTTTCAGAGGCCAAATGAAGTGGGGATTCAAGAGAGCAAGTGGATATGCCCGATTTGTAAGATAAAATAATCTTCTTTGATAAAATACTGCTGCAGCTTTTGCAAGGTTTTCTGCCTTCACAGCAGCTTTATCATAGCAATTTATGATAAGGAGATAAAGACGTTTACAAACAGCAGGTGCAGTCGTTTTTTTATAAGAAGCATTGAACATTTCTAGTACTGAAAGGTTCTTAAATTCTTATTATACTAACTATCTACTTGTTTTTTTCTTAAAAAGTTCCTACTTGAATTTTTCTGACCAGTACAGGGTATTTTTTTCAAAACTGTAGGCCCAGTACTGATTGTAAAGTTTAAATTTTCTTACCCGGGAATTCACCTTGCCTGTTAAGATTTATTTGATTCAATTTAATTCCCGTCAAAAAAATAAACGGTTCAATGGTGCAATTTTAGATCCAATGGCTACAGGACTTCACAAAAGGGAACGATTACTGGAATTCACAAGTTTGGTCTTAATAAAAGAAATCTAGGAACTTTGTTAAGTTTTCCAACTGAAATTGGCTTTTCTAAACTTTGGGGGGGGGGGGTGTCGCGCATCCCTATCGTTTACGTTCCTGGACACCACCAGGTTTTCAGGTTAATAGTATCTCATCTGAGGCCTAGGATTGGATAATATTTCAACATGTTGCTTTGAGTTTAAGTACTCTAATTGGAAACTTGTCTGGGACTTTCGCATCGCATTTCGTCTGTCTTGATTAGAGAACAAACTTTCTCTTTCCTCACAGGCTAAAATACCTACCAAAAAGCCCTTGGAATGCCTGAAGTGTTATCTAAAACAATAAATGTTTCTAGTAAAAAGGTTCACTTATGATTTTTACAAGCTCCTTTGTTAAAGCTCCCTCTCTCATGAGTCACCCAGCCCCCACCCCCACCCCCATTTGCAAATACCCGTAAGTCATAACCCCCTTTATCAAAGCAACTTCCCCTGCGCAGGACTGCTGCAGTTAAAGTACCAGGAAATTCAAGATGGCGAAGGATCAGAGAGCCGGCGAAATTGCTCTCCAACCTACTGCGCCTTTTCTTTATCCAACAAAGATGATTTACGTTTTAAGCGGGTCTCAGGTAAACCAAAGAAATACTCTGATGAGATCTTTTTATGAAATCATAGCTAGCCTTAGGGTAGAAAATACTACAGCATATATAGCCTTAAGGCTGGTCAAATTTTTCGTCAGTAAAAAATGCAGTTGAGGAAATGCCTCCGAAGGGTATTTTGAATGACCACCATGACGTCCTTACAAATAGTTTCACTAGGCAGGTCATTCTAACGTTAAAATTAAGTTTGGAATTGTTTTCCAAACACATAATCTGCAAATATGCAAAACGATCTCAAAAGATCAACTGTCTGTGGCACACAACTCTTTCTTGTATGAATCGTATGTTTTGTAATAAGGTTTTTGAAATTTTCTTGGTTTTTTAAATCAGCTTTAGAGATATTACTTTATTGCATATGTTGGACCTCTTCGGACAAGACAAAATTTTAAACGCTGTGACTTTTCTGCCAAGAGATTCACTTCTGTTTCTATGCTGTTCTTAGATAAGGGAAACACATTTTCGTCATCTGGATCTAAATTTGTATGCTAACCAGTGAATAATATTGGTGGATTTTCATCAAATTTCTGAAATCTTACCTTTTTTTCTTTCAAGTACTGATTGCTCTCCGTAAGTTTCTTGACTTTTACTGTATGCCCAGTAATAATTTCTAAGCCAGTCTGCCATGAAATATTTGTGAATTCAACTTCTAGAATCAACAATTATCTTATTAAAACGATAGCATTTATTCTATGGGGACTGGGACAAAGCATTTTTATCTAAGGTATAGAAGTATCTGACTTATGTCAGTCTACTCTTCATTCTTTCAGATGAAAAGCCTCAGCTACTTATATTTGATCATGGCTTGTATGAGGTGAATCTTGATTAATTATATGCAATCCTCATCTACATTATCAACAAATATTATCAAATATCATTACTCAGACTGAGTATGATGTTATTCGGTTATTTTATTACAAATGATAGTAATCGCCGCAAACAATTACCTGCCAAATATTTAGATACTTTGCAAGGTCTTGCCTGTACACTTTTTCACATTTCAGTTCCTTCCTACATGCAAGTCTGTGACTGTTGGCCAGTAAGATCTCACCTTTTAGTCCTGACATCATAAGTATCCCAACCTCAGGGAAATCATTTGGGGGATACGGCATGAATTGATTCAGGCCAGAAGTGTCACTTGATTTGTTACCATTTTTGGCCTCTAAGTTTACTGTGTTTTATCGTGTTGTTCTTTTGTTTCATTGCCATCAAATGTGTTTAATATCATAACTTTAATTGTATCTTTACAAAGAGTTTTATCTATTGTAAGATATGATGCAAGTAATCTATGATTTGGTGTTGAATGCAATATTTTTCATAGGGTGTTGATGCAATATTTTCATTTTGTCAGTAAAATCACTATGTATATAATCTTCTTTTTTCAGCTTGTTGGGTTCAGCTTCAATTGTAATAACATCCATAGTTAAAAGAAAAATGTCAAATAGAGAGGTACAATAGATAGTTTTTTTTCTAGGCATAGGAATCACACAGTATGTTGACATCAAAAGAACGGAGCAGAACACTGCTTAATAAGCATATATTCTTTAGGTTGCTAGAATTCAATTTCCTATTTATAGGCACAAGCAATGGTTATCATTAATTTTAAAAAATGTTTCTAAAAAGTTGGTCAAAGGCTCTAGCACAACTGGCATTTTTAGAAATTGCCTGTATTTTGTATTTTCATGCAGTATGGTCTTAGGCTGGTTCTTTTAATTATAGTCACAAAGCATTCTGATTGCTCAAGAGCCTTTAATGATAATATACCTATGCTTTCAAAAAGTATTATCTAAAACAGCTTTTGAAGGGAAAATGGCTAGAACATTAAACTGTTGTATGCATTAGCTTGCAATCAATGACAGATTCATTTAATCACATTTATGGCTTACTAAAGTATTTCACAGTGAGCTGATTTTAAGTTGTATCAAGCTGATGTAAAGCAAATGGAGCTTCTTTTTTGCAGGTCCACCCTATCTTCCATCTTTCCTTGGCAGACTTGTTGGGCTCTTTGTTTCTTTTCATTGGATCAATCGCTTATCACACACTTGAGGAGACAGCCATAAGGAATAAATCATGCCCATACTTGACTGGGTTTGCAACTGTAATTAGATTTTGTAAACCTACTCTGATAATTATTTTCATATTTTGAAATTTTAGGATATAAAAGAGGATTTGTGTATCAGGAATATGTCAATAAAGATGGCTTTGAGTTTGTGATTTTTTTTGGTTTCAAAATAAGATATTTTATGTTGTTGATAAGGATGATTGCAAAAAAACGGCTAGACAATTTGGCATTTCGTATTTTCTTTCTCTTTGTAGACTCAATTTTGCTAAGGGAAATTCGGTTAAATATTAGTTGATTTAGAAAATTCTGCTTAACCTCAAAACTTTGATTTTTTCAAAATGACACAAACAAGTTTCTAATCTCTTAATTATTGTTTAAAGTTTATTTGATCACCAATATGTAACTCAACAATATGGCAACTAACAGCTAACTTTTTATCATTATTGAGAACTAATTATAAAAGAAATTCAGAACTTTTCTAGACAAAAATCTCTTAAGAATATTTCAGTCTCAGTTTCTAAAGTCCAACTTTTTATGAAAAGAGGTTGATTGTCAAAGCATTTTTAGTACCTCTGGGAAACCATGGTAAACCTTAGATGAAAAGGCTGTCATCAGTGCAGTGATTTGTTTGTTGTTTTTTCAATTGTTTTTGGATTATTGCTGTGTAACATGTTTTGGTACCTCACTGCTGGTATTGATAGTCTGTGTAGCTGTTTTTATAACAAGGGTAGAATTTTATATTAATTACCATTTTTTGACAGGATTGTTTGCTTTTCTGCAAATTTTATTTTATTAGCAATCTGATGCTTATTTTTATCTTGCATAGGCTTTCTATATGGCTACATTTTTTCTGACATTAAACTATGCTAGAACAGTATACCAAAAAATTACAGTTCGTGCGAAAGGTGACTCGGTCAGGAGACCAATCCGACCATCAGTTGATCGTTCAAAGAAAGTAGTGAGTTTCTATGTTTTTGTAGTTTTGCTCCTTGTTTTTTTCAAACTACCAGGGTTTCATCTTAATTTTGTCTTACTCTCATGATGTCCTTCATTTAAGATATGCATTGTAAAATGAAATCCACATTAATTGAGATCCCAATAGAGACATGGACACCTCTAATCAGTGAGAAGTTTAGCAGTATAAAGAAGCAAGGAGCCTACAAGCATCCTGAGTTGATTGAGCCATTAACATAAGCAAATGTTTGTCGGCATTCCAAATGCTGTCAGCCCATTTTAATGGGTTCCTTATAAATGTTTTTTATAAATTTATTGACTAGCAACCTTTGGGTATCAGTTTTTTATGGGAGTCCATAGAAATTCTTGCCCCTAAAAGCTTTTCCAAATAAGTGAAATTTTAATTTATGTTTTCTGTCCGTTTTGCACATTTTAATCGCGAGCTCTGTGGAATATGAATGTATACTTTAGTTTCTGGCATCCCTCCTTGAAAAACAGACGATAGCTTTGTCCCAAAACATCCAAGTTACGGCCACCTTTTTGCAATGGACAGGAACTCTGGTCCAACAGTTGTCTTGTGTTAAAATTGATTCAATATATATTCCTTTTAAAATTGGGTGCAATGTTCCTCTCGTTTGCATTTGACTTTTGTCAAATTCGTCTCTAGACTCTGTGGGTTTGCTCATTCTATAGCTATCTTGGCTCTTCACATTTTGGTAGAAAATCCAACCAATGTGGTATTGGCAGGACTGAAAGTTTGAATTTTGACAAAATTGGAACTTATTAATCAAGCACTTATTTGGTCAAATAAAGAACTCATACAATGATCATGATTGACAAGAGGCCCTCAAACTAAAAGGGATACATTTTATTTAAAAGAAAATTTATTACAGAATTTAGTTTAAGTGAAATGTTTCCAAATGCTAAGAGCACTATTTGCTCCTGCACTATTATTTCTTTTCGTTCAACGTTTAACTTGAAACCATTCCATTTAACCTATCTTTGGATAATGATTTCTCCGTTTGAGATCTCTCCGTTTTTACAGATGGATAGCAGGTGGCTGGTTTAAACCCATTTTCATCCAAATCTCATCCCGCCTTCATCTTGCTTTAATCCCACTCTCATCCCACTTTAATCCCACTCTGCTCCCACTTCCATCCCACTCTCATCTCACTTTCATCCTACTTTCATATCACTTTCACCCCACTCTCATCCCACAATCATCCAACTTTCAGCCCACTTTCATCCTTTTGGGAGAATATGTTTTTGTGTTTTGTGAATGTGTTTTTGGCAGAATAATTTAATAATGTGAGGCATATTTTCTAATGTGGAGAGATAAACAATGTTTGTTCAATCTTCTAGAAAACACATCTTCTTAATTGTCTTTTCCGTTCAAGGGTCTCAAGAAATGCAACACGCAATTTGTTTATTATGGTTTAGCATGGTAAGCTGCAAGAAGCCATTCATACATTAATGAATATAAATGGGCCAGATAACATTCCGAGTGATACCATAGGGATCATCACACTGCACCAAACCTTTTTCCGATACATAAATATCTTAAAGAAATAAAAAGAATAGCAATAATGAACTTATTTCGTTAAGGAAAAAGAGAAATATCCTTGATTAAGGGAATGATTATTATGAATGTTCACTCAAAGGTACAAGTCCCTTAAACTGTAAGAAAGATATTTTAAAAGAATTAATAATTGTAATATTCCCCAAGACATCCAACTTGTAATTTTGAAAATACTTCTTTTGCAATTTATATTCTGTTAGATAAAGTATTTTGTCCTTCTTTTGTTATCCACTTTACAACAATCAGTTTTTCGTGTTTTAGGTCTCTTCCGTTGTTGGTGACTATAATCCTTTTTTCTGTTGATCACACCTCGTTTGGACCTAATGATAACATTTGCTCCAGGTACGAAGCTTCCTCAAATTTGAATAGTTCAAAGTTTTTGGTACTGAATTTAAAAATGGCTTAGAAAAAGACAGAATTTTAAGACACTGAAGCTTTTTTTTGACAATCTTCAGAGTATAAAACATCAGAACATGCTTCATCGTGAAAACGTTAGAACTTGTTAAGGACAAATCAATGCTCTACACCCTTGGGAGTGTCAGGCGATAAGTTTCAGCATTTTTATGTTGCATTAAAAGGGGGCTATTCAAGAACGGGTATATGGCTTCCTAAATTTTTCAAAAACCTTTTTCTGGTTATTTCAAACTTACTGTAATTTCATCTATTCTTTGTTATGTTATGTTTCTTGTTGTTGATATCTCTATTGCGTGCCTATTTCTTATGAATCTCTGTTGCTTCCCCATTTCTTATAGCCCTCTGTCTGGCCCTCTCTACATTTCTGTACAAAAATGGCCATAGAAAGTTCTCACTCAAAGCAAATCTAGGTTTTTGTGTTTCCCCCTATAATTTACATACATATCAATTTATTTTCCAGCTGCCTGCCACTGTTTCATTTCAAAAATTCAAACTGTCAAGTAAGTAGGCTCTTTCTATTTAAAGTAAAATAATTTATTTTTTGATTATCTCCCTTTATGTAATATATATCTCCATCTTATTTTTGAAGATGATAAAAGATGCAAGTTATAAGGATGAGCCTGACTGGTATGGAATCTACAAGTACACCTTCCTGGGCTTCCTCGTCCTGTCGATTATCGGGACGGTGGTGAGTTGAAACACACTTTCTATGTAATGGAAAAATTTACTTTGCAGTATTATGTTGAAGCATACTTGCTATGTTATGTTAAAGCTTATGGAATATGCTCCATGACCACAAACTGTGATGTTGGAAGACAGGAGGTTTCTCTTTTTCACAAAGCAGTTTCTTTCCACTTTAGGGTTGTAATGGGATAATATTGATTGATGTCTAATATGTTTCTTTTATACTGTGATATCTAAAGAAACACTATGTCGAATACCGTAAATCCTCAAAGGAGCCCCTGGAGCCTATTTGGCAAAAAATGTTTGGTGTGAGGGCTTATTCGACAGAGGGAGATTTATTCAAAGGTTGGGGCTTTTTAAGCAGCACCCAAAATATTACCAGGGTAAATTCTTCCGTCTATTTGATCGAGGCTGGTCAGTATGTTAAAAATGCATATATTTTGCAGTAAGCCTTTTTGGAATAAACCTAATTGCTGCCGATGCAATACCTCAGTTCGAAGGTAGGGGTTTATTCAGGGGCTTACGGTATGCGCTGAACATTATGCTCTCAAACTCGATAGGCGAAGTCTTCGTCACTTGCTATCCTTTTTCACCAAGGCCTTTTCGAGCCTAAAACGTCTAAACCCAACTTAATAGATACTGGCCAGGGTTCAAATGCCTTTTTGTTTCCTGTATCAGATCTTGACGTGATTCGAAATTTAATGCTTTCTTTGGCAGGCGTATAACATGATGGCCTACAGAGCTTTCAGATCTATACAGATTTATGGTGGTAAGATGTCCAATTACCTTTCCTTTTCCTGCATAGAGTGGCAAGCTGATGACGTCATGATAATTTATCTTAGAAATATGTACTATGTCGAGCATGGCCCATCCCCTGTAACTGTATGGCAATAACAAGTAATGTCTAGCTGGTTAGTATGGAAACTTGGTTGCATTTCATGGTGTTCTTTCAGGTTATGTGGCCAAGATCCAATATTCTGAAAACATATTTTTATGACGTCATCACGTTGCCACTCTATTTTCTTTCAATCAATAACAGGGCTTTGGTTGATTTTCGTTTTTACTTTGACTGCGCAATCCTTATAGTTCTGGCGACAGATTCTAATGTATTTTGTATTGGGATATTCTGAAAAGCGCCTTTCTTCACTAATAATCTAATAATCTAATAAGAAGTCTGCCTTTAGAGAAGTTTTTAAAGACATACCTGAAATACCTTCACCATAAAAATGATTTTGCATTATTCTTTTGCCTTGCAACAGTCGAATCTGTAAGGCAAAAGGAAGACCATAATATGAGCTGGCCAAAGTTTGTCTGCCCTGACTGTTTTGTCGTGAACATTATACGCGCATCATATCAAAACAGGCATGTTTTCGAGTGACGCGTAGCAAAAGCTGCGTGGATGTATCTTCTTCATTGGATTCGGTTTAATGCAACCTTACTCGTTTAATGCAATTTCTTTCACTGCTACTATGCAATGTAATTCCAGACCCACCCAGTGCTTCATATTGGCAGACCAAATGTTTTCACCCTGGCTTTTACTCTGACGAAGCCCTGTATACCGCGGCGAAATATTAGTTTGAGATTAAATTCATCTTCAAAATTCGATTTTATAGCGTATTGGATTCTCGTCATCGTTTTGCTTTGTTCCTTCCATTACCTTAAAATCTTTGTTCTCTCGCCAATAGGCTATTTTTGTGGGTTTATCTGTTTCTTCAAAAGCTGTCGTCTACTTTATGATTTCTTTTTACTATTGATTTCCTTAACCTTGATATATTTTTGTTATCTAGGCATCATTTCAAAAAGGCAACGCGGCATGCTTACATCAGTAAAAAGAAGACTGGCCCTTTTCTGTGGGACGTTTCTGATTTGTTGGACACCCAGTAAGTAAACAAATCAAACGAATCTTTGGTTTGTATGAACGCAGAGTATGAACGTTAGATAATGTTTTTCGGTAACCAAAAGTATTTATACAGGCGCGAGACGAAAGTAACAGGGGATGTGGCAATAAACAAACGTGGTGGCAAAAAGTCCTTGAATTACCTTGATCTTTTTGTGAAAAAAGAACTTGACTTCTAGCCAGTGTTTATAGAGAGTAGCATTTTCTGGGCAATATATTCATTAAAAGTCCTTTAATCTAAAAGAAATATAAATTTGTGTAATAAAAACGCTACAAGTTTACGTTATGCCCCGAGCTTAACAAAATCACGAAATTTGGTCTGGATATTGGCTTGAAGAGGCATTGATGCAAGGATGGCTCAGTGGCTAGCGGCGCTGACAGCAGACCGTGGTTCGAGCCCCTGGCATCACCAAACTTTCACCCAGAGTGAGGAAAGTCGCCAGCCCTCTTTATTTCCAAGCATAGGAATCAGTCACATCGAGATAAAGGACCAGGACACTGCTCGATAAGCATAAGCTTCTCAGTGTCCTGAAAAGCTACGCTTGGATGCTAGGTAGAAACCAACACCAATACCAATTTTGACCTGTTTTAGAGCTTGGAAACAGTTAATCATGGAAAGTATCCTTTATATCTAGAAATGCCTTGGGTTGGCAAGGTCAATTAAAATCGGCCATAACCAATTGTTTTCCACTATGAAGGCTCGACTGGTTTTCAGTCCTATAAAGTCGTGCTTCCGTCCATTCAAAAGGAGTGTGCTTCTACCATTCAGGAATGTTTAGTCATTTATGAAAGCTCGGAATGGGGGACGCATTTCTCGGCAATAATTCGATAAAGAATACAGCATGTTACCACAAAATGGCAAAACGGCTCCGAAACAGCGTATTTGCAAAATTAGCATAGATAAGACGTTAGCGGTCGCCAAATATAAATGCATATATTTAATTGTACCCGGATAAACCATCCATTATATTTTTTTTGTATGTTTCTGTATTGTATACACAATATTGCCTCTCATTGATTGCGTTTTCCTTGGTCACCCTAATCGTAAGGTTGTCATCGTTTCATGTTTTCTTCCTAGGCCTAGTGCTTGGTATTATCTCTATGTCCTCATCATTTCAAATGAAAAGTCTATATTGGTTGTATATAATTCAGGTACGTTACTTTGTTTTTTTCTTGAAAATATCTGAAGTGCTAAGAGCTTTGTTTGTTGAAACGTCATAATTGATAGATAACATCGAAGAACTTCTTTGACCTGAAAGGGGTTAGAATAAAACATGGCTTCTTAAAACATATCTTAAAAAGCTTCTGGCCTCGTTGAATTTTTATAAACATCTGGTCTGAATTTTTATTTGAATGCGATAAGGAAACATATGTCTGACTGTTTCTAAGTAAAGTGTTGATTAAGTCTTTAAAAACCAATAACATACATAACAATCTGGCGGTTCATGGAGAGGAGGTTAGGCTAGGCGTATTGGTTAGGCAGAGCAGAACCAGTCTTTTTTCTTCTCGGCATCTTTTGTCACCTCGTTGTTAGATTCTATTTAAACGTCGATTGCGATGCCTTAATGATTTGTCTTCTGTCCATGATAGATATTTATTTTAGACATAAAATGCAACATCTCACAATGGCAGTTATGATTTTAACTTCGCGGCTTCTTGATGTTACAAAATTCTTACAGAGTTTCATGAGTAGCTTTTTGTTGGGGAAGATTTTCAGATTTTAATTCTCACAAATTGTCAAATTACGACTTTCACTATTAGATCCAAAATTCATATGAAGGTCCAACTTGTCTTGATCTTGGTTTCTGCAAAGAAAGCCAGTCAATTCCAAACTAATATTATACATGGGAACTGCCACTGTAATCCTAATGCCTAGAGTGACAAGTAGCAAATAACATTCCTGTTGCTTTGTAGGCTTGTACATGTCCACTCCAAGGCTTTATAAATGCCTTTATTTACGGATGGTACCGACCTGGCTTCAAACAGGCAATTAACGAAAGGTCTCCCTTGGTCGTACAACCGGCCAGTTCTTTTCAAAGTGATGTTTGACAAACTAGGAAATCATTTTGTTGTATAATAGGATGCAAGCTTTACATTACCCTGAGAATCTAATATTTGCTCTCTGGATGAAATTACTATTTTTATTCATATTTGTGCAAATAGGTTTAGAAACATTTCTCCCTGTTGAGACTAACTTGAAAATGAGCTAGGCTCAAAGGGTTGACCTCTATTCGTATCAAATATGTGCCCCCGTTTGTTCCAATATCTTTGAAAACTTTCTCTAAAACTTATTATCTGTACATAGACTTATAATCAATATAAGATCAAAAGAGCCAAAATCTTTTCACAATTCTTTTCATATTGCGATCTTTGTATGTAATTTTTGTTCAAGAAATTGAAGCATTAATTTGGATTTAATGCTGATGATAACCAATTCTTAAAAAACCAAGATACGCGTAAATACAAAATCTTAGTGATTTTTCCGGTAACAGTAACAAAAGCAGGGTAATATAGAGCTTTCATGGTATCGATTCTTGTTGATATAAATGGTACAGAGGAAACTGTACAATAATCATCATGTCATTTTTAAAGTTTTACTTCGATGTATTTTTACTGACATATCTGGAATGATAAAAATCCCAGAGAAGAGAAAATTTTGTGAATTTGTTTAATTTTCTATATTGTTTAGATTTTCATTTATTGGAATATTGTTACATTGGAAAGATATTTTTATTTATACTTAAAAAGAATTTATTTTATGTATGTAGTTATTTTTGTGTATTATGTTTTGATTTTTGAATAGAATCGTAGGACCCATTGATGTGTTGTTGATCAATATAAAAATGAAATTTCTGTCTTCATAAATTGCATCTGACTTTTCTGGCTTCAAAGTTCACTATTAAGGTCAACTTTTTAGTTTAAACTTTATTCAAAATATGTTTGTTCACCGTTGATAATTAGCTCCAACAAAATGATGAATATGGACTTGTATGTAGATTAATTTACTAATTATTTTAATGTTTGGCAGATAGTTCTACACAAGCAAAGAAACTGGTGCTACGAGAAATATATACAATTTACTTACCACAGCAAGGAGTAGACCTTTCTTTCTTGCTGTTGTTTTGTCCAACGCACCTTCTCTGAATAGGTTGAGCGACCTAAAAATTAACGATAAGCAGTTTGTTGTGATTGGGTGAAAATTAATAACATATTAATGTTGAGTGTTGTGGGCTTTTTAGACATTTACTGGATAAATTTCCCAGTTCAGCTGAGAATAATTACACTTTCCAAATATGTACTTTATTTTTCTCCCTATTTTCTGATAACTGCCCCCTCTCATACTGTTTGTGATTTGTTTTGTTTTCTACATCCAAAAGGGGTTCATTCGAGGAGCAACAAAAAATCAGGGGGCGTTTACATAAAGTTATTTGGTATATGCATTAAAGGGGTTGAAAAATATCAACACCGCCTACCAGGAACTGTTTTTTCAACAGCAATAGGTTTATCCCCTTATATCTTCATTTTCAAGCAAACTGACCAGCCTCAATTTTACTTTGGTAATGCTTTTGGTACCCTGAATACCAGAGCCACATAAATTTGAGAGCGGAAAAAGAAGATGCGTTCAAAATTCTGTGGCTCTGGTTCCCATGGTATGCTATTGGCTGCTTCTATTAAAACCCCCACCTTCATGTCAGCCCCCGCCCTAGTATATTTCCTGCAAAATAAGCCCCGGAAGCTTATTCGAGGACTTACGCTAACCATAATCTGCCTACAGGTGTATAAGTTATAATGCTGCTGTGAGAGATTTTAAAGTGATCCTACTAGGGCTCTTTTAAAGTGCTCTTTGTTTTGAAATTTTTGGGCTACCCTTCCTGTTAAAGCCTGGTTTCCATATAGTCGCTGAAGTCGCTGGAGTCGCCAGGATCGCTCAAAAACGGGTTCAGTGACCCCAGCGACTTTATGGAAACAATCTAACTTATTTTGCTGGCGACCCTCGACGACCCTGGCGACCCAGTCGCTGGGATCGTTGAAGTTCTATCTCAGCGGCCCTCAGCGACCCATGGTTGAGTGCACTCAAAAAAATATTTTAATGGAAACATGGCAGCGACCGTCAGCGACTGCTAAAAAGCACAGCGCATGCCCAGTAGTAGACTTCCTTTGCTTCAAAATAGCAGCTTATGAAGGGGCAGACAACGCACGGTTCATTGAGGTAGTGCAAAAATACGAGTGTGTATACAATAAATTCCATCCAAAAAATAAAAATTAATTTGTTAAACTCAACTGCTGGGTGAAGATCGGTGAAAAATTTGCATGTAAATAATCAAATAAAGAAATAAATAATGTTGATAGCAAGATCTTTTAAACTGCCAATTTCACCTGAAAAAGTATTATCTGTCATTTAATCGAAGTTCCTTGATCAGTGTGTGGAATGCTCCAGGCTGGGACCTTTTTTGAAAATTTCTTTTACCCAGAATCGATGTCTTCTTTTCTGCCTCCTGTTTAAAACGCGTCTCAACAAGGATAGGACTAACAACTTGCAAGTTTGCAACAGAAATCTTAAAGGGCCACTCCAGCCCAAAAACTTTTTCTGAGATTTTTGCATAAATTGGTAGTTAGTCGAGAAAAAGAAGTTATCGTGAAATTTTTTTTCGAAAAGCTTAACTCGTTTTCCAGATATAGACGCTCAAAGTTGAGAATCACCGTAAAAATTCGACCAAATTTTTTTCGGAAAAAGCACTTTGTGACGTGTGAAAGGGCTATTGTTTCAACATTCGGCGCTATTGTTATACGTTCGCACTGAAATTCGCACGACTCGGTAGAGGCTCGGAAGAGGCGATTCATGTCGGAATCTCGGTTGTCGTTTTATTTATTTTCCTTCATTGCGATTGATGTTCAGCGGAGGCTTCCAACCAACATGGACTAGTAATTCGACAAATCAAAGATGGAAACTTCAACCTGAATGCAAATCCTCATCTTGGCAACGCAGCAAGCTTTTCAAAATGGAATGCTTCACGAATTTTCAGATGTGAATGGATTTCTGACCGAAGGCATTTCTTATCGTCGTGTCATCTCAGTGATTTCCAGGGAGCTGAATAATAATTATGTCTCACCGCATTAGAAGAAGAACCCTATTCACACAAGATGGAAACTTTCCCGTAAGTCACAATTCATCCTTATTATCATTTTACTATGTTGAACGTTTTGCGAAACTGCAGGGTGTAGAGGTTTGGAAGGGGTTTGGGGAAGCCCCCTAAGCAACGCAATTTGCCGTGCTTTGAGAAAAACTTCGTCCTCTAAAGATAAGTTTTCTAACAGCCAGTCTTGTGAACTGTCCGCCAAATGGTCAGAAATCTGGTAATATGAAAAGTACAACAGGGGCTCTCAAGCAAATGTCACATAAAATAGTACCAAAAGTAGAAGTTTGCTACTTTTTTGTACCAACAAGGGGGCCTGAGCCTCCTAGCACTACATCCCTGCCAATGATCTGTGCACTACACCTTTGCCCGAAGTATAGATGTGTAACATTTTCCAGGGTTTGTCTCCTGAACCCTTTTTCTTCATGTTCTACCATTTTCTGTCTTCAATTTTGGAGTTCTGCCTATTTCATCATAAAATTGATGCACAATTTCAAAATTTTGCCAGATCAATATCCAGGGCAAAAGATCTACTACCCCAAAGAGAAAACATGGAATTTACACCCTTGGTTTTGGAAAAAAGATGTGTCATATCCTCATTCTAATGTTAAGACAGAATTGTTTATATTTGTTAAATTTACCTTATTGCTATTCTAGCATTGATTCATGTAAGCATGGTCTATATCATTTAAATTCATCTTTGTGTTACTTCATTTTAATATCCTTAGATGCTATTTGCTATAGTAACAGTGGTTGCCCTTTCACCCCTAAATTTCTCTTTGATCCTTTTAGATATCTATACCCTGAGTGTCCAAGGTAGTGATTTCTTTGACCATTTTATGTTTTTATATGACTCTAAAGTAAATTTCACTGGTATGTTAGTATTTATCTCTGTCAACCTTATTATTCTAGGCATAAAAAAGGTAACAAACTCTTTTCTGGATCATCAGAAAGGATCTTGCACAAAAATGCTAGATGAAGGTTGGAGATTACATGCATCCTGTTATCTGGCTTGGCTTTGTGGGAGTGATAACTTGCCCCTCTCTTCCCTGCAAGAGTTACCACAAAGACCTTGACACATTGTTCTGTTTTTGTATCAAAACTTTTACAAAGGAGACTATTTTTAAAATTATCAAAATTTTATATATAATTTGGTCATTTCTATATAAAGTTTGCAAATCCACAGCTATTATTTCAAACTAGTAACAACATAGAGGTATTTTCTAGAAATTTTGCAATAGATTATTGTTTCATGATACTTTTATAAGAACATTTCTCATGTGCAATAGAAATTACAAATTGTTAGCTAGTTCACTGGCCTGATTGTATAAATATTTAAATATATAATTCAATGTAGCCAAGTATTTAAATACAAACATGTATTTATTATTTATAAATATAGCAGGTTGAAATTCTGACAGCTTAAAGGAGCTGACAAGGCCCCTGTAATAGCTTAAAGATTAAATACAAAAATTATATTTACACAAGTATATTGAAAAAGTTGAATTATTAATATAATCTCAAATCCCTTTTTTTGTTTGTATAAAAACAAATTTATAATTTTTGAAAAAGATGTTTAACTCATGACTAATGGTAGGTTTTTAGTCTTGTCTTGAAAGTTGTATACTTTCTTGTCCATGCCCTCGATTGTCCTGGTTTATTTCTAATAAGTCATAGTCATGTTGATATGAAGCTCTTTATCCTAATGAATATGATGAATTATCCCAATCAATTCATACAGCTTTCATTCCCGGTATACTGGTTTTGTTTTGGTCTTTCCTCCCGAATTAATTGCGCGATGGTTTTTTAGCTGTTGCACTAAAGGAAGAGCTGATGAAAAAGCGCGAATCTTCTTTTTAAAATCAGGGAGCTGGCCTGCCAATACTGCCAATATGGCCGGCCTTCAAAAGCAACATTCCATGAAAGTCTGTCAACATCCTCATGTCTCTGTCTCGCTGGCCTACTTTGACAATTTGACTTCTCTGTCAGAAAGATTCGTGCGATAAAAAACTTCCATATTCGATCAGAATATCGAGACTGATGGATGATACTTCTCTCTTTATATCGATACCAGATAAAAGTCTGGCCTTCTAACAAACATGCCGCTGCTAGGCCCTGTCTGCCATTTCGCTAGGTTCTCGTTGACCCTTTGGACAGCCGATGATACTTGCCGCGAACTTACCGAGGCCGAAAATGCCTGTGACGTCAATCCGAAGATCTCCGATAACACGGTTGAAAAACAATTCAACTCAATGACCATTTTACAAACGCTAATAACTACAAAAGGGTTAGAGATTTGAAAAAAATAATAACAGATTCGTTTTCAGGAGGTCTGATTACATCGTGTTCTGAAATAAAAATTTTGGGCTGGAGTGGCCCTTTAAGTTTAATGCAGCCATGTTGACAAATTGAGATATAGTAGCCATATTGTGAATTTACGCGCCAATCGCAAGACATTGCTCGCGCGCAATCTCAATTGCTATGCCCAGATCTCTGGACCGCGTTGTTCTGGAATCAAGCGACCCTCGGCGACAAAATGGAGACAGACTGTTGCTGGAGTCGCTGGGGTCGCTGAACTCATTTTTCGGCGACCCGACGACCGCAGCGACCTCGGAAACTTTTATGGAAACCAGGCTTTAGTGTTGAAAGAGTTTATTCAAGAACCCGCAGACTTCTTATTTAATTAGAAGTGTAACCTGTCAGATCAAAGCGAGCTTGTGTATATTGAAAAGACCGAAGACAAACATAGCTTGTTTATATTAAAGGCCGACCTCCACTTGGCCGCGCGTACGGAAGATTTAAGGAAACCGACACCACGTACGTATACGTACTGGAGATAGCATGACCACCAGAATGACGAGAATAGCTTTGAAATCCTGCGAAAATTTGCAAACAAACATTGAGGTTGTAAATCTGTGAAGAGAGTTGTTGTTAGAAAGTGAAGAAATAGAACGTCATTTCTATCCGAAACTATCCAGAAAGGGACGGTATTGATGGGCTCCGACGCAGGTTGGAAAGTGGAGGGGCCAAGAGAAAATATAGCAATCATCACAAAAGTTTTTAAAAAAAGCTCTATTGTTTTGCAAGAAAGTGAGGGCCATGGCCCCCCCCGCCCCCCCCTTTCGTCGGAGGCCCTGGTATTGCGTCAGGAAAATTTAATCGCACCGTTATTGTTATTGTTATTGTTATAAAATTATTTACAGTAGGCGAAGCAAAATTTTTTTAGCTAATATAACAGCTAATTAAAGCCTACTATTAATACTACATTTACAAATCTTAAATTAATTACAATGAATGGATAAAATGATATAGGAAATGTACAAAATTAAAAGGATGACTCATTAGATAAAAATATACAATTATTCGATGACTATTTTAAGTATCCAATCTGCTCAACGTAAGGTTTGCATAGTCTGCAGTTGCATTTTGTATCTTTCCAAGTTGTAATCTTTTTCTTAAATATTGCGAGGCTAGAAGATGTTTTAATGTCATTTGTAAGCTCTTGCCAGAGCTTGGGTCCCATAAAGGTTGTACTTTCTATACCATAACTATTTGATTTTGGTTTTGATAGCGATATTCGAGATATGTTTCTAAGATTATAGCATGTATTTTATTCAGTAAAGATTTTTTTCATGAAACTTGGGTTGAGATTATGTAAAGTTTCATATATTTCTGTAAAAAGCAATTGCAGATTTTTATCATGGATAGATGTCAAGTTGTCTTTTCCAAGAAGAGTTTGAAAGCTTGATTCATAGTCATCATAGGCAAGGCAAGACGCAAAGACTTTTCATGAATTCTGTTTATTCTGTTGTTCATCTGTCGATCACATAACATTCAAATTAAAGGACAGTAGCTAAATTGTGATAAAATGAAGGCGTGCATGGTCTGTTTTACTTTTTTATCATCCACATAGTTGAAGATTCGGGATAAAGCATGTAGCTTTTGGCTGGCCTTTTTGCATATCGATTGTACGTGTCCTTTGAACGACAGATTATTATCAATACTTATTCCAAGAAGTTTTTGTTCTTTACTTGGTTTTATTATCGTTTTATCTATTTTCAGAGATGTGTCATTGCTGCCTTTACCAAAATTTATAAGGTGGCATTTGTCCCCATTCATTTTCATATAATTGTATTGAAACAATTCTCTCAAAATAACTACGTCTTGTTCTAGTATTTTAGTAGCCTGCTTAATGTCTTGGTGGATGACATATATCGTTGTATCATCAGCATAATTGCATATTTGGCTATTTGATATAAACATAAACATGTCATTTATGTATATATTGAACAAGCGAGGTCCCAAAACTGATCCTTGAGGCACACCTACACTCGTGGTTTTCCATTCACTGAAAGAGCCGTTTATTTTGACTCTTTGTTTTCTCTGGCTAAGGTACGAAAATGTGAAATTCAAGGCGCTTCTACTAAAACCATAAGCATTAAGTTTAGCAATCATTAGGTCATGATTCAGACAGTCAAATGCTTTTGACAGATCCATCAATAGTGCACTGGCTGTTTGTTTAGTATCTAGAGCTTTTTTGCAATTTTTTAAGAGTCTGAGTAATGTATGTTGGGCGCTATAATTTCTTCTGAAACCACATAGCAGTGGTGATAGAAAACAATGAGCGAAGGAAGTAATTTGTGATTCCATGTGATTCTTACTGAATTTACCATCTTTTTTATGCATATATCATCTAATTTGAGTTCTTTTGGAAATGTCATATTAGATAGGTCCTCCTTAAACGCTCTTTGTAAAATTTCAGAGAAAATGTCTGAATATTCTTTAAATATCCTAGCAGGTATACTTTCTATTGGTGAGGCCTTTCTGGTATTAAGTTTGTTTATCTGATCCCAAATTTCCCCACTGCTTACTTCCCTGAATTCAAAGGGCTGTGGGTCAGGGTACATTTCTCTTATTTTTATGATACTTGGGTGGTCTTTATATTTCTCAATGACTTTATCAATTGGGTCATTTATACCTTCTGTAACTGACATGTGAGCTATATCTTGTTGAATTCCTAGACCTTGTGTTATGTTTATAAAGTAGTTGTTAAATGATTCTACAATCTTGCGGTCATCACTAATTAATTCTCCATTTTCTTCCAATATAATGGAGGGTGTTGTTATTATCTTTTCTGCAAAGACCGGTTTGATCACTCTCCAGAATTTGCGATTATCTGTAAGATTACTTAAGTCTAGGTTTCTAAAATAACTGCTTTTAGCATTACGTAATAACTTTACACATTTGTTCCTTTGCCGTTTATATGCTTTATGATTTTCCTCATTTTTGTTATTAGTATATGTATTTTTCAATTTGCTACGATGCATTATTGCCTTACGTAATTCTTTCGTCATAAATGGCCTGTTGTTTGCACGAACATACTTTCTCTTAATGGGGGCATGTTTATTAAGAAGAGTTTTGACTAAGATATGAACACTTCCGTAGTCTCTAAAGTTTAGTATTCGATGACTCAAAATTTCAGATCTAAAGCTCGGAATATCGAATTTTTTGTAGTCTCTATATGTAAGTATTTTGGGACCTCTCTTGGTGAAATCACCTTTGAGTATGCTCAGTATCATTACGTGGAAGTCAGACAACCCTGTTTCAACATTAGTCGTGTTTTGAAAGTGACTTACTGACAGTTTGTCAGTATCAAATCTATACATCGTGGGTTGTCTGACTTGTGACAGGTTGGATTCTTGACCAAGTTAACTAATTTATAAGTGTCCATGAAAACATTGCAATTTTTCATTCACGTTTTCTTTGTCGTTGATTGAAAGGTTTTCACGGCTTTCATGGCTACCAGTAGGTGCTCCTTCGTCGAAAAACTTGGTTTTTAATTTAAAATTTTCCACCACCAAATTATGATATTTCTCCCTTTCCTCAGCGAGGATACTTTGCATATTTGCTAGGGTGGTGGCGAGTTGTGCGAAGCTCTTGAGGACATCGGTAGCTATGGAGGGCTCAGGTTTTCGTCGAATCGAGCACGATCAAGTGAGCATTGTTGCCTGTCCAGCTCTGTGTCGGTCTGCGTACATTACGTTTTTGTTGTTGCATGCATTTTGTAACGGACTGAATCATAGATACTTTTCATTAATTTTAGTTTTTCCTTTAACTCTATCTGAACTCCGCCATCATGAAAAGTCAAAATGCCCTGCTCACCTAGGTCTTTCATGGCTCGACAGACATCATCATCGGCTAGGCCTAAGAGTGCTTGAACTTCGCGTGTGATAATTTCACGATCTAGATCTTTTTCTTGACATGCTTAATGTTTTCTACCACGTCAAGCAAAGCTTTGCCTCGATTAAACAGCTGTTGTGCTTTGAAACAGCTGTTGTGTGAATGTCAGTGACCGTACGCGCGGTCAAGTGGAGGTCGGCCTTTAGTGCTCAGGCTCCCATCCCCATTGCACCCATTAAGCAATTCACTAATCGAAAGTCCAATATAATACAAAATGCGGCAAGAAGAACAAGAACGAGTAAGAATGTGGCTCTTTTAGAAGAATGATATGAATGGCAGCTTGATCTGCAGTGATCCTACCGGTGCAGTTGATCAAAAGGACATAAGACCAATGATATATAAGCGACGAAGTCGCTAGATGTCTAACTCTATTGTTCTCAAGTGAGGAAAAATCACTCATGCAGTAAAAGGGCAAAACGACGATTCCGCATAAGGGCTCAGTATGGGAAATTCCGAAGCTGGCAAACGAAACCAAAAATTTTAGAAAATCTATTTAATTTAGGAAGGTAACATATATTTTGTCAGCTTACCGTATGCATTTAGAAGGTTTTAAGCCATAATTTTTGTTTGTACACGGGTTTTGAGATTTTTTAATTTTTTTTACCGTGGCGTTGATATGGTTTAGAGAATATTTATATTTCTAGGAAGATTATTTTTGGGCTTATTTACAAAAATATCGCGCTTATACAAAAATCTTGTGTTAATTTTTTATCGTAACATTAAGGAACCGTGGTAAAAGAGGTCATCTTCAATCCTGGTTCAGCCACGCCCCCTTCCTACAACATCCTGATGTCCGTAAATAAAAGTCTGATTTGCTGATGAATGTTAGAGGGAAGGTCTTGTCATAGGAAAAACTTGAAATGGATATTTATAATACAAATTTTCACTCCTTACATCTGAAATATTTACTAGAAGTCATATGCAGGGGGTTGCCGAAGTAGGGGAGTGTTCATTTAAGAAGTTGTCTTAATGATATAAGACTAAGAGTACTTGCTTACATCTACCCTTCAACTTATAAAATACAAAATAAACCCAATTTTGAAATTATATTTGGTTTTTTGCAAATAAACCCGAAAACAGTCTACCTGAAAAGGTAAACATTGCCTAGGCCAGATTGGACCGTGCGAGCGCCGCAGCAATAAATATTTTAAAAATCTTGAAACCCTATTTAACAACACAATTTATGGCTTAAAACTTTTGAAATTAATACGGCAAGCTAGCAAAGTATAACTAACCTTTCAAAATTATGCTAATTTTCGATAATCTTGGTTTTTTCTTCGTCAAACTTGCAATGTCCCGTACTGAGCCCTTATGCGGAATCGTCTTTTTGCCCTTTTACCGCATAAGTGATTTTGCCTCACTTGAGAACAATAGACATCTAGCGACTTCGTCGCTTATATACCATTGCATAAGACCTGTCGACACTAAAATGAGGTTGACAATATCGGCTGTATACTTTATCGGTTGCGGCTGTCTAGGGCTAGTTTTAGCAATGGAAGTTCCTGTGTTTTCATTTCGACGTTGAATCAATAAAGTTGCATGTCGTTAAGAAAGAGAAGGAATGGCTCTCTTGATGAAGAGAATAGATCACCGTGATGGCATCCTTTCTTGGCTGACTTTACTTGCGTCAGTTTTCATTACTGCATGTTCTTGTGGCTTCCTCAATATTTTTGGCATCTGCTATACTTATTTTCTGGAAAGGTTTGATAATTCAAAGGAAAAGACAGGTAATTTTTGATGCTGTTGTATTTCAATCGCTCTTTAGGACAGTGTTTAAACGAAACTCACCTCGAACCTCACTCTCTGTACCGTAGGCCAAAAGATGTGCAATGTATTTGTAATGTATGATTAAATTCTTGATTTTGCTCAACCTAGATATAGAAATTTAATGGCTTGGATTGCTCCAGGTTTCGGTTAGAATTCTGCGGTCCAAAAGACCTTAGACCAATGCGAAATTGGCTATTAATTCCATCGCGGGGGCCCCTTAGTTATGTTAAACAACACCCTAATCTCAGGAAAAACATTTTGGGCTTTTGGTGCATCAGCCCTTGTCTTGCCTGAGCAATGACGCAATTTTATGGTCGGTGTTTGATTCCATGGAAAAAAGTGCCTCAGTTTTTTACCCCGACAATCAGACTGATACACCTATCACACAATCGAATGACTGTGTGAGAAGAAGTGAGACAGAAGAAGGCAGGAGGAAGTGTGTAACGGGCTTTAGGCAGGAGGAGAAGCGAGTACCAGGGGACAGGGATGGAAGGGGATACGCATACAACAACGCGTGAGTCGTGCTGCAAAATATGGCATGGCTCGAGCTGCATAACTGCACTTAAACAAATATGCTAGGGCAAGACCACCTAGAAAACAGGACAAGGTGATTAGCAAATAGCTAAGGTAACTTCATATTCACAGCCTACTAAGGATATACGTGTGGGACCACCCGATTCTAGAAACGGGGGATCTGTGCACTTTCCTAAACTCGAATTAAGCGATAAATTCCCATTAAAACAATGGTATTCTTGGAGTCTTTGAAATTGAGCTGAAACCGGTAACCGGTTTCATCATTTGGATCCACAACATCTTTGACAGGTGTTTTGTAAATATTCAACGAGCTTTCAACAGAAGGGCAGGCGCCAAAATGTTTAAGGCTGGTTTCCATATAACGTATTTCGACGTATTTCATCGCAATTCAGAGTCTACGATCAATTAAGATAATTTCCGTTATATGAAAACCGACCAAAGAAATCAAAAAATTTTGTTTCTCCCGACAAAATACGTTGAATTACGATGAATTAAGATGAAATACGTTTTTCGGTTTTCAGATACCGTGAAAATCGTGGACCCTGAATTGCGATGAAATGCATCGAAATAAGTTATATGAAAACCAGCCTTTATGTTTTTTGTATCAGTCATGTTGCTGCGGAGGGCACGGGGGGCGGTGTCCCCCCTCAAATGAAAATTTTGACAGCAACTTGCCCCCTCTGGCTACACTTTTTCCAAATGATATTATGAAAAGCTGGCATAATTATAATTCCGTGAGCTTGATTTAGTCCAAATATGTATTTTAATTATATATCTTCCCTCTTTTTTAAATCCTGCCAAATCAGGTATGGCTCTTGCTCGAGTTTGGCTACCCTAGCCGGCATCTACAGCTACGTGGTTGCTTTGTATTGTAGGAGATAAGGACATGAGAGCCTTATGGGTAAGCCCGGGAGGAGGGGTTCATTTAACACTGTCATATTGTCTATAGCCGTACCTATACGTGTTTAATTTGTTGCTAACGAAGCCACGACACTTTGACCTTATGATTGCCGGTAGTTAACTTCTAATTTTAATGAAGATAGAGTAAGTTTTCCTCTTTCGTAAAAACTTTTGACAAAAATTAAACTGTTCTATTTCAGCATGGACTGGCTCACTCCCGACTTCATTGATGTTTGTGTTAGGACCTGTTTCATGCTGGATCATCAATAAAGCTGGGCTAAGACTTTGCACAATGATTGCAGCACTCCTTGTCAGCCTGTCTCTTCTGATGACGTCATTCGCTACAAACTTGGACCTAGTCTTCATCTCGTTCAGCGTCCCTTTTGGGCTTGGTTCATCTGTTCTCCTAATGGCATCGGTAAAATCTGTGTGCATTTATTTTGATAAATGGTTATCTTTGGCATATGGTTAGTGTTTTCTAACATTTCTTTATTTAAAAGAAGCCCAAGGACAAGATTAAAATCGCTTCATCTTCGATTGGATAAATACGTTTCAATAACAAGTTATAACTTGAAGAAATCTAACGAAAGGGGGGCTGGAGTCTTTAGAACAACTAAGGTGAAAGAGTGTTCAGTTTCTTCCTTTTACACAAAGACATTCATAAGAAAAACAGTCTCATTCACCTCTTCAGGTCTCCAAACTGGCTGTGTTGCACTTCTCCAAGCGGGTTTTTCAAGCCTTCTCGTTTTGCTACTAAAAGAAGTTAGATTTGAACGAACATTCCAAATACTATCAGCTGTATTTCTTGTTATCTGTCTGGCTGGTGGCTTGACATTTTGCCCAACTTCATATGAAGTAGATAAAGATGAGCCTGAAAAGAAAACAACGAATTTCCAAATATATTTCAAGTTACTGAAGAACAAGAAGATCTGCATCTTTCTTGTGGCTAACTTCATAGTGTCGTTCGCGTATGGTGTGTCTAGCATTCACCAGGTAAGATAATGCGTCACTACTTTTATATTTCTGATTTGGAATAACGTGAAAATTAAAAATGCGCAGGAATGAGATACTAATTTCGAGGTTAGTACACAGTTTCTTAATTTTTGGGTTGATTTTAGTACAAAAGGTTTGTTCAAGGTTTCCTAAATTCTTAATACTAACGAGCTACATATTAGAAACACAGAAATGCAATAAAAAATCGAACACATGATCTGTCACATGGACCTATTCTTGCTATAATCTATTTCATCTCAAAATAATCCTGAATTAAAATTTATGAAAAACACCTTTTCTTTGTAAGTCATCAATTTAAAAAAGAAGTCTTTTGACGAGACAGCACTTTAAGAAACCCCACTTAGAATCAGATTCAAGCGTAAACATAAACATAAAGAGCGTAAACGCTGTAGGGTAAAAAGTACCACAGAGTGGTTCGCAAGAGTTAAGTTCTAGAGGACTGTATATATTCAGAATAAATGTAAGATAAATAGTTTGATAGTTTGACGAACGAGAGAAATATGGAAAGAAATCACCTGGTTGTCTTTAGAAATACCATAAAATCATCAGAGAAACAGTACAGCAAGAATGATTCGAATAAGATTTAATCTTCGTGAGAATGTCAATACAACGACGTTTCGCAAGAGTTTTTTCGAATGAATGTTTTCAATAGTGTGTAGATACGTCTGTGCGCTAGCGTTTAGATAATAATAAGTTCCAATTTGCCACACCTATCAATATCGTAGCCTCGTTTTCATGGTTCGCTCACACTCCCCCCTTGGCCAGTTAAATACTGGTCAATTAAACGTCTCTTCTCCGCACCAACAACTGCTGCTGTTCGAAGGGGTCGTGTCCTTAGAGAATTGTTCATGTCGTGACTTTGTAACGGAACTAAAGGTTCAGAGCATGTCACTTCGAGTGGAAATAATTTCTGTAACGGTCGAGCTATAACGTTTCCGTTTGACAGTTGTACATTTGCACCACGAATTTCATTGTCTCTTCCAAAAATCAACGATTTGATTCTTCCGAGATTCCAGAATAGGCGATTAGACTTATTTTCGTTGTGCACGGTGACTATATCACCTTGATGTATGGAAGATCGATGTTCATCGCGTTTGAGATTGCGATGATGCTCGCGAAGTTCTGATAAATATTCTTTCTTCCAACGTACTTTAAAGTGCTCGAGAGTTAACAAGAGATATTTTATTCTTTTAGTTAGGTTCTCTTTCGTTCCCCATTCTTGTTGATCTTCAGAATCTCTCGCTACCGAATAAGGCAAGGAAATGAGACGTCTACCCATAAGTAGATGTGATGGTGTTAAAGGCTCAGAGATATCTTCAGGATACAAATGAGTCAAAGGACGCGAATTTAGGACAGCTTCTATCTCGACAAGAACAGTGTTCAACTCATTACGATTTAACTTTGCAGATCCTACAACCTTCTTCAGACACGATTTTGTACTTTTGACCAATCTCTCAAAAAACCCACCCCACCAAGGGGCCTTGGGTAGATTATACATCCAACTGATTCTTCGTTCTGCGAAAAATTTCCTTAATTCTGGTAGTTGAAATAGTTTCACGAGCCTCTTTGATGCAGATTTAAATGTCATAGCGTTGTCTGATACGACTAGAGACGGTATGCCTCTACGTGCAGCAAATCGACGAAAACACATTAGAAACGCATCAGCTGATAATTCGTCGACTAGTTCAAGGTGTACAGCGCGAGAAGTAGCACATGTGAAGAGCGTGATGTATACCTTCTTCATCTGCTTCTGATCACTCTTAACATACAACGGGCCGGCAAAATCAACTCCGACTGAAGTAAATGGGAAAGAATCTTCCACTCTGAAGCTCGGTAAGTTCGCGGTTTTAGGATTTCCATAGGACATTCCTTGTAACCTTTTACAGAGAGTACACTTGCCGATAACTTTCTTGACAACTTGACGTCCCTTTACTATCCAGAAGTGACTACGTAATTCTAAAAGAGTTTCCTTCACGCCACCGTGAAAGACATGCTTGTGACAATCCTGTATCACTAACTTTGTAAGATGATTTTCTCTGGGAAGTAGTGCTGGGAATTTGCTTTCAAAAGGAATGTCTGCATTACTAAGACGACCTCCGCAACGAATAATTCCGACTTCGTCCTTGAAAATACCTAGTTGCCGTTCAAACTGCTTGTTCTCGTGTTTAGAAATATCATTTTGAACTTCTTTGATCCAAAACAATTCTGCCTTCGCCATCTCTTCAGCTGAAAGCTCTCCATCGAATTTTTGACTTTTCTTTCTGCAGTTATGAAGGAAACGCAGTACGTATGAAGTAACGCGATAGAGGCGTGAAATGCTGCTGAAATTCTCTAACTTGATTACATTTCTCAACGAATTTTTCTGCACAGCATCAGCTAGCAAAACCGTGCTGGACTTCTCCTGTGAGACATTATTTTTACGGATTTCCTCTTGACATTCCTGCGGCATTTCATCTTGACGATCAACGATAGGCCAATTTCCAGGATCTTCTTTTAACCATTCTGGACCTGACCACCAAAGATCATTCATTTGCAGTTTCGTGACGTCATAATTGCGAGTAGGAACATCTGCAGGATTTTCCTTTCCTGGGCAGTGTGACCAGAGGTTAGGATTGACCAATTTTCTGATTTCTTGGACACGGTTTTCAACAAATATCTTCCATTCCTTTCCTTCTCCCAATATCCAATAGAGTGCTGAAATCGAATCTGTCCAACATTTGACCACTTTAGTTTTAACAACAGGACTTAGTGAATTTTCCACAGAATCGATTAATCGTGCAAGAGTTAGACAAGCTAGCAGCTCTAGTCTTGGAATGGTTGTTTTAGATAAAGGTGCTACCCTTGATTTAGACATAACCAAGCTCGCGTGACTTTTTCCGTTGACAGTTATCTTAGCATATACCGACGCTACATAAGCACTTTCAGAACTATCGCAAAAGCCGAAAAGTTCGACGAGGTCAGGTTTCCCATCGATGGAACCAAAATAGTACCTTGGTACAAAAATAGATTCTACTTTATCTAATTTGGAGATGAGAAATTTCCATTCTTTGTCAAGTGCTTCAGGTAATGTTTCATCCCAAGACAATTTTGCCTTAAAGAGTTTCTGTAAAAACACCTTCAGAGGAGTAGTCACAGGTGAAATGAAACCTTGAGGATCGAATACCTTTGCAACTAGCCTCAATACATTGCGCTTGGTAGGAATCAATTCGGCAGCGAACTTTGCAAGTTCTGACAGCTTGAACTCAAAGACATCCTCTTCGAGATCCCAGTTTAGCCCTAAGACCTTTACACATTTTGATTTGTTATCAATTTCTTCCATAGATAAACTTGACTTCGCAAAAGATTGGTTTTCTTCTGTTGTAGGTAAAATGTTTTCTATGCATTCGCTAGAATTGGATTCAAAATCTTCGATTTTGTCCCTAACTTCTTTAGAGTTTGACTGCCATTTTCGGAGTCGAAAACCTCCTTCAAGCATGAGGTTTTTAGATATTTCATAAAGATTTAAAACTTCTTCGATAGAATGTCCTCCGGAGTTTACGTCATCAGCATAAAGAGAATTAAGAAGTTTATTACACACCTCAGGGTAATCTGTAGAATAGCTTTCAATGTGCTTTTTCAAGGTTGCATTTAGCAGAAACGGTGAGCATGTAATCCCAAAAACAACACGAGAAAATCTGTAAGTAATAATTTTTGGCTGCTCGTCATCTAAACTGTCTACCCAGAGAAAACGAAGAACGTCCCTATCAGATGGGTGAACTGACACCATATGGAACGCTTTTTCAATATCTGACGTTAAAGCGATTGGGTTTAGACGAAACCTTGCAATAATTTCAGCGACAGTTTTAAGCAAACACGGTCCAGGGTAAAGACATTGATTTAACGAAACACCAGTTTTATCCTTCGCAGAGGCATCATAAACCAAACGCACTTTGGTGGTTTCTTTATCCTCCCTAATGACTGGGTGATGAGGGATATAGTGCGTTTTTCCAACTCCACCAACAAAATGAGAATCAACTCTTTCAATAATGCCCCTCTTTTCTTGATCATTTATAATGGAATCATAATCGTTCAAGAGTTTTCTATTCTTTTTCAGTTTAGAATAAAGCCCAATGAGACGTTTTTGGCAAAGCTCGAAATTGTCGGGAAGAGTTGGGTGGTCTTTTTTCCAAGGAAGTTTAACCTGATATCGGCCTTCTGAAAATTCAATTTCGTCTTCGAAATCTTCGTAAACAGACAATTCGTTTTTTAATATTCCGAAACTTTCCAAGGTCCAAAATTTGGAAACTTGCTCCTCAATGGAAATTTGATCTTGCATAACATTCAGAACATGAGTTGATTGGACGAAATTGGCGTGTGTTGCCGAAATGTCTGGGCACTGAGCTACAGGTCCTGACAAAATCCATCCCAGGGTAGATTCTAGTGCTATTGGAGATCCTGGCTCCCCCCGTATCGAACCACCTTGCATAAAATGCCAATAAAAATCAGAGCCTATAAGCACGTCAACCTCCAGTTGCTCGTTGTTTTCGGCGGGAAAATCTGCTAGAGGTAGCCCCTCAAGATGTCGATAATTGCTGGCAGCAAAATTTATTGGTTGGCTTTTCAGTGGAGAACAAACAATGGGTACAACATAAGCATTGACATACATATTAAGGTCGTTATAAGGACTTGTTACACAGAATTGCGTAATATCGCAAGTTTGTAGATTTCCTCTGTCGGACCCAAACCCATTTATCGTGAGAGTTTCTTGAGAAATACTGGGAAGGGCTAGAAAGTCCTTCAGCCTCTTCGATATGTATGACCGTTGACTTCCAGAGTCAAAAATCAAACGCGCGACGGTCCTTTGCCCGGGGTTTTCGGCCCTTGAAATATCAAATTAGAGAAAAAGAGACACAAAGCTCTTTTGAAAAGAAAACGCGCTTCCTACCTTACAAATGCGAAAGAAGAGCTTTGGCTGCTTAAAAATGAATGTCCAAAGCAGTTTTGGAAAAATCTTTCAATGTCATCTTCCAGTAAATCGTCAATAGATTTTTCAAATGAGCAAATCTATGCCTTTTTTAATGATCTTCTTAGTAAAAATACTCCTGTTTCTCCCCCTAAAAACCCAAGTCACTTTGCGGCTGCTAATGATTCCGGTAACGACTTATTCACTCTTATAGATTCTAAACTAAATGAACAAATTGATTTATTGGAAGTGAAGAATATGGTTGAAAAACTCAAATCTGGCAAAGCACCTGGTCTTGATTTGTTGAATGCTGAACTCTTCAAACATTTAAATGACCGTTATTTTACTCTCTTTGTTAAACTTTTTAATAAAATTCTAGATTCTGGTGACTTCCCAGAAGAATGGTCTGTAGGTGTCATTGTTTTGCTTTTTAAAGGTGGTGACACAAAATATCTTGACAACTATAGAGGGATTACCTTGCTTAGCATTTTCGGAAAGCTTTTCTTGGGTATTCTTCTAAACCGCCTGAATCAGACAGTGGAAGAGTTTAACATTCTCAAGGAGAATCAAATTGCTTATAGAAAATCATATCGAACCTCCGATCACATTTTTACGCTTCATGCTTTAATTGAGAACACATTTGCTAGTAAGAAAACTCTTTATTTATGCTTTGTGGATTTTAAGAAAGCTTTTGATTCCGTTGACTACAAAATTCTTATTGATACACTGTTGTCTTATGGTATTAATGGTAAAGTGTTAGATGTCATTAATTCCCTGTATGCAAAAGTTAAGTCCTGTGTAAGGGGCCAAGACAGCCTAACTAATCTATTTTCCTGCCATCGTGGTGTTAGGCAAGGTTGTTTGTTAAGTCCGTTGCTGTTCACTTTGTTTCTTAATGACTTAGACTCAAAGATTAATGCTGTGTCTACCGGTGTCAGATTGGGTGATGGAAATATCTGCACCCTTTTATATGCTGATGACTTAGTTTTATTAGCTAATTCTGCTGATGATCTGCAATCCCAGTTGAACGAGCTAAACCAGTTCTGCTTGTCCATTAATATGGAGATAAATACTTCCAAAACCAAGATAATGGTTATAAGAAAAAACAAGAAAAGATCTAAGGCATGCAAAATTTGGAAATTTGGTGATAAAGAGATCAAAGAATGCAATGAGTACAAATACCTTGGAGTTACTTTTAAATCTAATGGTTCCTACAGTGCTCATGTTGATATAATTAAGCAAAAAGCTCAAAAATCTTACTTTGCTCTCTTATCCAAAAGCAACGAATGGGATGGTTTCAACCCAGGACTGTTTCTATTTTTATTTGACAGTACAATACTTCCTATTCTAAATTATGCCACTGACGTATGGGGATTTGGTACATGGGAATGCCTGGAAAAAATTCATCTTATGGCTTGCAAGTCAACCCTAGGTGTTAAAGGATCTACAACGTCTCTTGGGGTTTATGCGGAGTTGGGACGTTGTTCGTTGCTTGAACATAGACACATTAATATCTTAAAATTTTATATTCGTTTAATAAATCTTGATTCCTCCAGATATGCATACAGAGCTCTTCAAATGTTAATTAATGATGCAGATTCCGGTGTTTCTAATTGGGTCAGTATTGCCCGTTCCCTGATGACCCTTTACAGAATACATACAACCGATAACTCCACTATCGTGAAATCAAAAGTGTCTTCCCATTTTAGGTCAAAAATTATGGAAAATTTAAAAGAACAAACTATTCTCAATAAAAAGCTTTGTACATACGCATCTTTCAAAACTGTTTATAAGTTTGAGCATTACTTAGACTTGATACCTAGCAAAAAGAAAAGATCCAACTTTGCAAAACTACGTCTCAGTGCCCACAACCTCAGGATTGAAACAGGTAGATACGGGAAGAATCCTATTCCTAGGATTGATAGAAAATGTCCGTATTGTCAATCTTTTAATAAAACTGCTGTGGAGGACGAAATTCATTTTTTATTAGTTTGTCCCCTTTACGAGACTGCTAGGAATTCTATGTTATCTATGATTTATTCAAAATTTCCCAGAATATCATCCCTTGACCTTTGTGATAAGTTTATTTGGTTGATGAGTCAAGAAGATACGGATTGTCTGATATCGATAGCCAATTTTATATCGCTGGCTTTTGAGTCACGGGAATCTTTTGGGAAGTCCTCTACGTGCATATCCTCGTAACGTAAACTTTCCAGCTCGTCATCATTTTTTTTATCTGTTTATCTTTGTATTAGCTGTTTGCTGTTTTCTGAGATTTATTGTTAATTTGTAATTATGTTAACTTGTAAGTATAGTAATTCTGTTGGCTGTTTTCTGAGATTTATTGTTAAGCTGTACTTATGTTCTGAGTTTTATTATTAATTTGTAATTATGTCATCTTGTATGTATGGTAATTGTGTTGGCGATGGGCCATTTCGGCCTACAAGCCTTATATAAAAAAAAAAAAAAAAAAAAAAAAAAAAGAAATATAGGCCTTGGCTGTCTGTAAAAGAACCGCATTTTTGCAGTCAACAAACATTGTAGTTGTTGCCTGGCCAACATCTCCTGTTCTTCTTTGCTGATGTGCTGCGCTAGATTGTGTTGGAATTATCGGATTAACCGATATTGCACCTTGGCTTTCATTAGCGCGCGGCGGAAAGAGTGCTTTGTTTTCGCAAACACTAAGATGGTGTCTCTGCTGGCAATTAAAACAGCGAATGTTACTGGGGCAATATCTGGACAAATGTCCTTTCTTTAGACAAACAAAGCAACGACCTTGCTTTTTCAGAATTTCCTTTCGCGCTCGGGTATCCGTAATTACGTTACATTTAGCAGAAGAATGCGAACTTTTGCAAAATGAGCAAGTAATTTGTGCACCATTATTCAAAAGTGCCGAGGTTGTATGAGTATTTCCATAGAAATGAGAATTTCGACTTCTTGAACTGCCCTCTTTTTGTGCAACATTGGATTTCTGCGAGGTTAATTGACCACATTGTTCTCTTGCCTCAAGCTCAGACTTCAAAATTTCTAAGACTGTTTCTACTTTCCAATCGTCTTTTTGGGTAGCTTTTGTAACTAATAGAGTTATACTTTCAGGAATTTTACTCATGAGCATGGGCATAAGAAGAGCTCCGTATTCGTTAAGATTTACTTTTAATGACTTCAAACTTCGAATGTTTACTTCTAATTCATCATACAGTTTTCGCAAGTTTTTGAGATCCCGTTCCGATGAAACTTGGGGCAGATTTATTAAACTTTCCATGTGAGCATTAATGATAATTTGTCGGTTCGCAAAACGATTTTGCAGAATTTCAATAGCTTCACCATAATTTGAGCCAGTAACTTGAATGCCTGATATAGATTTTGCAGCGGGACCATCTAACAACGACTTTAAATGTCTGAATTTGTTAGCCGGTGAGAGAGCATCACTTTTATGGACAATTTCGAAAGAGTCCCACCATTCAATCCATTTCTTCGGATCTCCATAAAATTTAGGAAGCTCTAGTTTTGGTAATTTCGCTGCAGAATCAACATACGAAGAGTTGGTAGAAGTAGATATGTTTGGCCGAGATATTTCCGAATTTGATTGGCTTCCATTTTCAAGTTTCAGACCTGACAGTTTATCTTCAATTTCTACTAATAAACCGGAGATATCAGATTGAATTTCTTCGCATTGAATCACTTCGTTTTCGATATCATCGTCCTTCGTTTCAAGAAACACCTCTTCGTCAATTTTCCTAAGAATGTTCGATTTTTCCTTTAAGAAAACTAATAGTTTTTGAAGAACCAAAATTGAAGGACTTTCGCTATATATTTCGTCCCTGGCATCGTTTAAGAGTTTACTAGTGTGCGCACGGTAACCAGCTCTAATTCTACTTCGTTTAGGGCGTTGAATTAATTCAGGTACGGAAGTGTCCGTTGCTTCACCCTCTTGCGACATAGTTCATAGTTCATGGCATGACATCAGATTTATGCAACGAGTAATAAAAATCCAAAAGATAAAGACAACAATTTGTAACTAAGAAAAGAACGTCAAACTAAGTAAACAGCGAAATCCGTCGAGGTTCATGGACCATTTAAGAAACCCCACTTAGAATCAGATTCAAGCGTAAACATAAACATAAAGAGCGTAAACGCTGTAGGGTAAAAAGTACCACAGAGTGGTTCGCAAGAGTTAAGTTCTAGAGGACTGTATATATTCAGAATAAATGTAAGATAAATAGTTTGATAGTTTGACGAACGAGAGAAATATGGAAAGAAATCACCTGGTTGTCTTTAGAAATACCATAAAATCATCAGAGAAACAGTACAGCAAGAATGATTCGAATAAGATTTAATCTTCGTGAGAATGTCAATACAACGACGTTTCGCAAGAGTTTTTTCGAATGAATGTTTTCAATAGTGTGTAGATACGTCTGTGCGCTAGCGTTTAGATAATAATAATAAGTTCCAATTTGCCACACCTATCAATATCGTAGCCTCGTTTTCATGGTTCGCTCACAAGCACATTGAGATTCGTGCATTTTGTCAATGGTTTTTCTCCTTCGTAAATGAAAATTTTTCCGTCTTCTATTTGCATTCATTTTATGGAGTTCAAAGAAACATTCTAGTTTAATTATGCTTTCGGTGATTTAATTTTTAGCATGGGAAAGTGGCTAAACATGGGAAAGAGGCCGAAAAGATCGCTTCTCCGTTTCATTTTTTGAGAAACATCATTTCTAATTACGTTGAATAACATATTTTCGTTTTTTAATGTTTTATCTATATTTCTTGCTCGCTCTAGGTACAACTTGCTATAGAGAAAGGTGTCCAAGTGAGCACAGCCAAGCTGTTTCCCGTTTTTAGTTCTATTTCTTGTGGCTTAGGCCGCATCTGCTGTGGCTTTCTACTTGACCTGAAAGTTCAGAAGAAAATCGCATTCTACCAGCTTGTGATGTTTTTAACTGGTTTAACCTGCTTTCTGGGACTATTTGCGACAACTGAAGTACACCTAATCGCATATATCTGGATATACTCCGCTCTTGATGGCATGGTACAAACATGCTGCACACCTTGCCTGCGGACTATAACGGGTTTAACATTTCTAGGAGAAGCGTATTCCATGGTACTGACTGTAGACGCCGTGTCTCTCTTGCTAGGGCCACCTCTTGTAGGTATGTATTTATCCTTAGCAATAATATTTCGACACGTTTAAAACATTTTTTCATCCAATGAGTTCAGATTTTTAAGGCCTTCTTCTGTCTTTATATAAACACACAGGGGAGGGGAAGAAGAGCAGTGGCGGATCTAGACTACCGCCATCACCGCTCGAGCGGTAGTCAGATAGTTAAAAAAATTATAAAAACAAGGATCATTTTTATGTTTATCCTACTACTTTAATTGTCAAACCATAGTCAAAACTTGAACATATTTGATCGCGTAATCAGCCTTCCTAGACCAATAAAATCATCAGAAATCAAAGCCAACCAGGGGGGAAGCACACAAATTTTGTTGACAACCAATGAACAAGCGAGTTGATTACCGCTAAAATGGGGGGGGGTGTAGTAATTCCGCTCAAACGTTACAGAAAGATGTGGGGATACCTACATATTCTGCAAGTGGGCAAACTGTAACTTCAAAGCAGATGTGACCCATTATTTTGGAAAGTACACAAATATTGGTAGGAATATACTTTATAAGAATATTAGGACTCAAAAATTCTAAAATTCAAGAAAACATCGGGCCCACAAAGTTCGCCAAATATTTGATTCTTTGTTTAACGAATGTTGCTCTCAATATTGCAAATTTTGTAAATAATTATGCAACTTAATGCTAGTTTTGGGTGACATTTCAAAATTCTGCCAAATATATCTTTTCGTTTTCTTATTCTATGGTGTTGCTTAGGCTAAATTCCGTAAACGTTTTTAGAATATCCAGCCTCAGAATAATAACAAAAATAATTTGTTGCTCCTCAAGGTTGTTGTAAGGATACTTGAAATTCGCCGCTTGTGTCTTGTGAATGGGCTACATAAAAATTTATGGAAAATAATACTTATTCTAGCAAGCAGGGTGTGACCAGGAAATGGGTGTGGTCTAAAGGGTGTGGTCGAGCCTCAGATTATTGCCCTGATCCGCCAATGAAAAGGGTAATTCTTTGCTTTTTTGTGCTGTCTTTTAATAGCTAGTAGAAATGACAGTTCGCAAAGCATACCTTGCTTACATATTAGCAATGCCTGACATTCGTGCTGCTTAAATATTATGGTGGTGTAGGGAAACCACCACTGCTTCTCGCCGCGCTTAGCCTCCTAAGTATGTAGCGAAGGATGAACGCGGAAACTATTTGTGGAACCAAGCTCTTACTAAAGAGCCCTTTCTACTTGGCCACTAACGAGAAATTTTATAACGAAATGAGAAAAATTCCTTTTTCATATACAAGTCTAAACTTGAAGTGACACGATTGGATACGACTTAATTGAAAGTCGAGGCACGATTGGATAACGGGCATGGCCGTCAGTAAATTTTATTTGAAAGAGTTTTATTTCCATCAACCAAATCTTAGCATGAAAAAATTGATAGTTTGAAATATATCATATCCTCTATGTATTTATCTTGTACATTGTTTTTAGGGTTAGTGGTCGAGAAAACAAGAAGTTACAATGCATTTTTTTACATGTCTGGGGCACCATACATAGCTGCTTTTATAGAACTCTTCCTTATTCGATTTGTTGTATCACTGTCACAAGATGAGACAAGCAGTGACAAGAGAGAGAGAGAAAACGAAGAGCAGTTATTATAAAGGTCGGATCAAATCAAGTCAATTTTTAGTTAGATGTTAATGGGTAGAAATATGATAGGGATTTTTATTTGTACAGAATAATCTACCAGCATAATAACACTACTGTTGCCTTAAAATGTATTTTGTTTTATTACGATTATAATGGTAAGAGGTACACCAGTAATTACTTTCAAATGAAAGCATGATTTAAAACCCATTAATACTTCTATATTGTTGCCTATTGTAGTTTGATGTTTTGTCAAAATTTTCTACAAAAAGTGAGTCTTTTACAGTTATTGAAATTAGCATATATTTAATTGTAATTTTGAATTATTAGTTATGGTTATGTGTTAAATATTTTTATCATTTTTATTTTGGCTCGTTTTTTCCGTTAATTCCTTCTCTCGTCGCAAATATTAATGTTTAGCCCCCCAAAGTTTACCGTCAACTGCCTCATTATTGGAAATCTCTTTCAGCTTCAACTATCACTGCATTTTACCTTTTATGTATATTTCACACGGCTATATTAGTAAATGCTATAGCGAATAATTTTGCTTCGCCTCCTGAGCCTCCAATAACAAAGTAATATATTTTTCCACGACTTATTTGAATTTCATTCGAATTCCTCGATATTTCCAATCCTGTTCATTGGAAGAACTTTTGCGGAGCTAGAAGACGATGTATTACTGTTCTAGAAGGCAGGTATATCGTCTTGAAAACTGAAGCTTTAAAAAGAAGGGGCTCGGGGGTGTTCATTGAAAGTTTATTCGTTTTAGTCAAAAGAAATATCCCGGACTTAAGAAAAAAATTCTAAAAAGATACAAGATTCATTTAGAGACAGCCTTCTCTTCAAAAACATGAAAGATTTGCTTTGGTAATTTCTTGAAAGCCGGTAATATAATATGTACTTGCGGTTGTATATAATATATAATATGTAACTGAAATTCAATGAGGGAAAATTGAACTCTTTCATCTTTGTAAGTCTGTGTCACACTATTGGTTACCAGTCAGGGACGTGGTGGGAGTTTTGTTGGCCGGGAAAATCACGTTTTAGGGGCACGGAGGCAGCTTGGCGCCTTACTTCACTTTCTTCTCACAAATCTGATGTTATAATTGATGAAAGCTTAAAAGGAATGAAACGTTTTAAAGGGCCTATCGGGAAATTTCCCGAGTCCCGGTGAGCGACCACGCCCCTGTCACCAGCTGATTCAAAAAGAAACAAATAGCTTCAGCCCCGTTAACACTACACAAACTAACCTGGGTTCGCCTCAGGCTTAATCAGTCCATCTCGAAAGATAAAGTGTAGTGTAAACGCGAACCTGGGGCGAACCTTGCCTTGCGTTGACCGCCGCCATTTTGTTTATCATCACCTTCAATTTTTGTGTTACGCATGCGTTGTCATCAAACTAACCCAGGTTCGCCTTGATACCGTTTAAACTACAAAGTCGGCAGTTACAAGTGTAAACGCATCATGGCTCAATCGGGGCCAGGTTAGTGTGAACAGGACTTTGCTTGGTAGTACGATTAGAAAGAACTCTTTGATAGCACTCTTGCATCTGTACAAACAAATTCGGGGTTCTTCGTGGCTCGTTCTTGAGACCCTTGCTTTTTTATCTACACCTCTTACTCTCGTTCTCACGATAATATCAAACTTAATTTTTATACAATTTATTTGTTGAAGCTCTTTTCAAATCATTTCAATTTCCGAGTAGAGATATTTTGGTCACTAACAAAAAGTAAGGCTGTGGTTTCAGGTGAAATCTCATACACCTGAAGTATCGCTTACCATTGAAAGCTTGGTTAGCAGATCCTGCAGCAATTGCACCTGCATCTATGCACTATTCTTTGTAGCCTCTGCAATGGAATCTCTTAAACAATAGCCTTTGGCGTACATGCAAATTAAACCCGTCCATCGAAAAAAAAATGCGTTTGTAAAGATCTGTATTTTTCCATAAGATATCACAAAGTTTTGCATATACCATTTCATCTGATTGAAGGTATAGGTAAGGTATCTCCAGATAATCGATTACTTCTAGCAAAAAACCGAGATATTCCTTACAAACAGGATACTCTGGTGGCTCTGGTGTCACTGGAAGATACTCTTGTATGTATTTCTCTGTTTCTTCTTTGGTCACACATTTGTGAAATGATGTCCACGAACAAACTACTGCAGTTTCTTCTTCCTCGTCGCTATTTCGTATCATTCCAGCGGTAGACCAAACAATATCTCATTTGAGGCATTCATCAAGTTTGTCTCTAAGAGTGCTATCCTGATGGTCAGGAAAAAGCGATGCCCAACTCGTTTGGCAAGATCACAAGGCAGCGCTTTGAGTGGTTGCTCTTGCTAAGATTTTGCCAAATTTAATGGTTGTTCTTTTCTTATTCCAATGACGGGTATTGTCTGTTCTTCTAGTGGTGATGGTAGCTGAAACAGGGTCTTTTTGGTGTCATGTATCGTTTGCGCCATCATTATTGTCTATGATAGCGGGTGCACGGCGCCTCTTCTCGCATTTGAAAGAATAGATTGCTTTTTCGTCAGCATTCTTGACCAAGAAAGATTTTGCATGCGAACGTCATGGAGTTCTAAAGTGTGACGTCATCAAAAACCTATTTTTAGAGTTTTGGAATTTTAACCACATAGCGTAAAAGATCACCATGAAATACTTTCAAATACTTTCAAACATTCCAATTCCAGAACAAGTATTTCAACTGTCTCTTAGTGGTTCCATAAGGGACTCAAATACGTACAATCACTTTCAAACATTCAGATCCAATAAAAACAAGTTCTTCAGCCATCTCTTAGTAGTTCCTTTAAGGACTCAGAGACGTACAATCACTTTCAAACATTCCAATCCCAAAATAAGTGCTTCAACCATCTCTTCGTGGTTCCATAAAGGACTCAGAGATCCAATTTCCAGAACAAGTGTTTCAACTATCTCTTAGTGGTTCCATAAAGGACTCAAAGACGTACAATCACTTTCAAACATTCAGATCCAATAAAAACAAGTTCTTCAGCCATCTCTTAGTAGTTCCTTTAAGGACTCAGAGACGTACAATCACTTTCAAACATTCCAATCCCAAAATAAGTGCTTCAACCATCTCTTCGTGGTTCCATAAAGGACTCAGAGATCCAATTTCCAGAACAAGTGTTTCAACTATCTCTTAGTGGTTCCATAAAGGACTCAAAGACGTACAATCACTTTCAAACATTCAGATCCAATAAAAAAAAGTTCTTCAGCCATCTCTTAGTAGTTCCTTTAAGGACTCAGAGACGTAAAATCACTTTCAAACATTCCAATCCCAAAATAAGTGTTTCAACCATCTCTTAGTGGTTCCATAAAGGACTCAGAGACCCAATTTCCAGAACAAGTGTTTCAACTATCTCTTAGTGGTTCCATAAAGGACTCAGAGACCCAATTTCCAGAACAAGTGTTTCAACTATCTCTTAGTGGTTCCATAAAGGACTCAAAGACGTACAATCACTTTCAAACATTCAGATCCAATAAAAACAAGTTCTTCAGCCATCTCTTAGTAGTTCCTTTAAGGACTCAGAGACGTACAATCACTTTCAAACATTCCAATCCCAAACTAAGTGTTTCAACCATCTCTTAGTGGTTCCATAAAGGACTCAGAGACCCAATTTCCAGAACAAGTGTTTCAACCATCTCTTAGTGGTTCCATAAAGGACTCAGAGACCCAATTTCCAGAACAAGTGTTTCAACTATCTCTTAGTGGTTCCATAAAGGACTCAGAGACCCAATTTCCAGAACAAGTGTTTCAACTATCTCTTAGTGGTTCCATAAAGGACTCAGAGACCCAATTTCCAGAACAAGTGTTTCAACTATCTCTTAGTGGTTCCATAAAGGACTCAGAGACCCAATTTCCAGAACAAGTGTTTCAACCATCTCTTAGTGGTTCCTTTAAGGACTCAGAGACGTACAATCACTTTCAAACATTCCAATCCCAAAATAAGTGTTTCAACCATCTCTTAGTGGTTCCATAAAGGACTCAGAGACCCAATTTCCAGAACAAGTGTTTCAACCATCTCTTAGTGGTTCCATAAAGGACTCAGAGACCCAATTTCCAAAATAAGTGTTTCAACCATCTCTTAGTGGTTCCATAAAGGACTCAGAGACCCAATTTCCAGAACAAGTGTTTCAACTATCTCTTAGTGGTTCCATAAAGGACTCAGAGACCCAATTTCCAGAACAAGTGTTTCAACCATCTCTTAGTAGTTCCTTTAAGGACTGAGAGACGTACAATCACTTTCAAACATTCCAATCCCAAAATAAGTGTTTCAACCATCTCTTAGTGGTTCCATAAAGGACTCAGAGACCAAATTTCCAGAACAAGTGTTTCAACTATCTCTTAGTGGTTCCATAAAGGACTCAGAGACCCAATTTCCAGAACAAGTGTTTCAACCATCTCTTAGTGGTTCCTTTAAGGACTCAGAGACCCAATTTCCAGAACAAGTGCTTCAACCATCTCTTAGTAGTTCCTTTAAGGACTCAGAGACGTACAACCAATTTCAAACATTCCAATCCCAAAATAAGTGTTTTAACCATCTCCTAGTGGTTTCAAAAAAGGACTCCGAGATCTACAACCGCTTTCAAACATTCAGATCCCAGAACAAGTGTTTAAAACCATCTCTTAGATGTTCCATAAGGAGCTCAGAAACCCAATTTCCAGAACAAGTGTTTCAACCATCTCTTAGTGGTTCCCTAAGGGACTGAGAGACCTACAACTTTGGAAGATAATATTGAATTTTTAATAGAAACTTTTGAAAAAACTGGGGGATTTACCTATCCGTTACAAAATGATTTGGCCGAAACAACAAAAGTTGGCCGAATTTTGGCGGCATGTTGAAAGCCCCAAAAGTACAAAGAAAACGACAACTTAGGCACAGACAATATTCAACATTTCATTAAAATAATCTCAAAATTGCAAATAACGAAGCAAGAAACAAAGTAAAAAATAACAGAAAATTGAAAGCGAGTTGGAGCTTTTGAAACAAGCAAAGCCAATTTTGATTACACTATCACTCCACAGAATTAGCCAAGAATCATTGGCCGCCAACCATTCCAAGCATCTGGCAACCCTGTATCAGCGGTATGTTTGGTGGGGTCAGCAAGAGATTCCTCAAAAACAATGATATGACCGCCAAGTTGATTGTGGTGGGAACACATGCTGAAAGTTCATAATGCTTGCGGTTTTTACCATTTTTACCGGTTCCCATTGTTTCCCATTGTTGCGACCGACCTTAAAAGGAACTTTTCAGTCAAGGACTGGTGCAATCGCAGGACTACTTTCTGGATAGGATTTTTATAAGGAGAATAACGGCTGTATACAGTATCGGCTTAGGTTGATTAGGACTAGTTTTAGCAATCGAGGTACCTGCGTTTTCATGTGGACATTGCGTCAATAAAGTTGTATGCAGTTAGGAAAGAAAAAGCATCATGCTTCTTTTGACGAAGAGAATAGATCGCCGCGATGGTGTTCTTTCATGGCTGACTTTGCTTGCGTCAGTTTTCATTACTGCATGTTCTTGTGGCTTCCTCAATATTTTCGGCATCTGCTACAGTTATTTTCTGGAGAGGTTTGGTAATTCAAAGGAAAAGACAGGTAACAGGAAAACTTCTCTCACATAATTCAAGCAAGTCGCACAAAAAGAAAAAAGACTCGCAGAAAAATGAATCTCGTCACACATTTTTAGTTTCAGTCGCATAAAATACTGCAAATCGCACATAAAGCAGAATGAGTCCCACAATTAGAAAAGAGGTCGCACTTAAAGAAGAATGGGTCACACGTTAAAGAAGGGTAGGTTTTTTATTGAATTGAATGAATTTCTGTTCAGCCTCGGCCATGATGTTTTGCCCAAACTGTGGGAATTTCAGAGACAAGAACCACTTTCTCATCATTGGAAAAGAATAATATGCGTGTATTTTTGGACTATTAGGACTATTGTTCAATTCGATCACAGAAACATGCAGACAGGCTAGAAGTCCAAACTTAGCTAGTTACCCGAACTGCAGTGTACGGCAGTTTCCTGCGAGATCTCGGGTAGGCAAGAGCAAAAATTAAAGTGTACAAATGTACACTATGTCACGAGTTTATACTTCCACTTCTAGAAAGTGTACACACAAATATTAAATTTTACATACAAATAACTTCATGGGAAACTGATTCGGTTTTAGAGGGAATTATTGTTTTCATTTCATGAAACTGATAAGATTTATTTTCAAGAATTCAAATCAGTGCCTCTTTAGGTAAAAGAGTACCTTTTGTTCAATTTCCCTAAAGGTTTTACGGAAAAGCAGCAACTGCAATAACAGTTTTCATAAGGAAACACAAAAAGAAAACTTTTACAAACGAGCTTCTTTATTTGCGACTCGCTTTAATTTTGTGTGAATAAAAAATTTTTTCTGTGCGACTCGCTTTATTTTTGTGCGAATGGGATTTCTTTCTGTGTGACTCGCTTGAATTATGTGTGAGTAGATTTCCTGTCAGCGTGAATCAGTTGTTTCAATGCGAAGCTGTTTTGTTTGTATGCGAATCAGTTTAATTTAAGTGCGTGGCAGTTAATGGCCACTGTACATTAGCTCTTTAGAAGATATTCAGCTTGAGACTTTACTCTCTATACCGTAGGCCTTGTCTTGACACAGCGCTCGTAATAACAAAATGTACGCAATGTATTTTTATTGTATGATTAGATTCTTGTGTTTGCTCGACTTAAATATTTAAATTTAACGGCTTTGACTGCTCCGAGTTGATGTGTCAATACTCGAAACAAAACCTGTTAGCTAGAAACAAGATGACTAGGATTTCTCTTCATCAAAGCTAGATTTTTGTAACTATTTCAAATTTTTCGTGTTTTCTCGAAAATTTTATTTCACTTTGCAAACATAGCGAAACCTGCTGGTACATTTGGGTTTCGACAAAGCTTCCAGCGGTCTGAAATACCGTAGTCCAACGTGAAAATATCTATGAATCAATGTTACTCTTGTCAGCATAGGTTCCAAATCTTTGATTGGCTGAGCGACCAAAATTCTGCATACCCCATTAGCCAATCAAAATTCAAGAATATGACAACAAACGTGCCTCGCGGCTAGATTTAGGCCTATTTTGGACGTTTTTACCACTACCCACAAAAAAATAAACGTGTAAAATGTACTGAAAGATAACCTTAATTTTCTTTTGAAAATTGAATCTTTGATTAATTTACGAAAAAACTGCCGTTGTACTCAGCAAAAACTTTTCCGCGATCGTTAGTTACGAAGGCTTGAAACTGTCCCTTTCAAATCTTTGATATATATTAAGAGAAAGGTGGACTGCATTTTCTCTCAGTGGAATTTAGCGATTTATTTAATCGGTAACACAAACATCAATGCCGACAAGAAAAGATTCTAACATTGGCTTGTGAAGGTAATATTCATATTTGTTAATTACTTGGATAAAACAACTTTTTAGTTAAAAAAAACTGTTATTTCTCTGTTCTCCCTCCCCCTAATTATTATAAGGATTTGAAAGGGACAGTTTCAAGCCTTCGTAACTAACGATCGCGGAAAAACTTTTGCTGAGTACAAAGGCAGTTTTTTCATAAATTGATCAAAGATTCAATTTTCAAAAGAAAATTAAGGTTATCTTTCAGCACATCTACACGTTTATTTGTTTGTGGGTAGTGGTAAAAACGTCCAAAATAGGCCTAAATCTAGCCGCGAGGCACGTTTGTTGTCATATTCTTGAATTCTGATTGGCTAATGGGGTATGCAGAATTCTGGTCGCTTAGCCAATCAAAGATTTATAACCTATGCTATCCTTGTCATGATATAGTTTCTTTGAATTTGAGCTGAAACCTTCTCTATCACAACATCTTTGACAGGTGCTTTATAAATTTGGAGCGGGCTTGCAGTAGGAAGGCAAGAGCGAAACGTATATGTTTCTTTGTATTGTAGGAGATAGAGACGCAGGGACCTTTAGGCACACTGGGTGGATGCCCTCTTGCCCACACGAAATTGAAGAACTATTTTACTTTGCCATGGTTTTTCCTTTTTCTTGGCGCTTTGCCCACCTAACAGCTCTTCCGGTAAAATATTCTTGCCCTGCGAAACTTTTAATCGGGCAATGTTCTGGGGATTTCTTTATGACAGGGCCTATTTTAGTGTGGTTTTTCCCACATTTTGTGATCTTGAAAATCCAAAATGTGGTCTTGGAAATTCAAAATTGTGGAATGCGTTTTTTCATTTTAGCTATATTTTTTTATAAGTATGTTTTCTGTTGATAGAGTTTTGAAACTTTATAACATAACAGAACAGTACGAAAAATTCATGAATTGTAGCGCAAGTTCCTTGGACCAGATAAATCTGGTCCAACAAGAGCGATAAATGTTACAGCCAATCAGCTTTTTGCTCTCAAATGGTGTAAAAGCCAATCAGAGCTTATAAAAGACACTTGAATCTATCGACAATAACAACAATGGCGGCCGAACAAGCTACGTGAAAGTGCACTACAAACTTCGAACTGCTGCAAGCAAAAAGATCTCAAGGCAAAAATAAGTCTATGATTTTTTTCAATTTGAAGGGTCTTTCTAGATTTTCATCGTGCGTATTTTAGAATTACGCTCCTAAACTGAAGATATGATTGCATAAAGGTAGCCTAAATTCTCCAAACTTTTACTTTGTTCAATAATTGCACAGGGGTTATTGTCATTAATCATTTCTTATATCGATTCTCTATATCATCCTCTTTCGCTAACGCTGATGTCGATTTCTGAAATCTGAAATAATTGAAACGGATCATCTTACTCTAAGGCCCCCAATAAATGGACTCCCCCCATTATTAGTTTTTCAAAACTCTTATAGCCCCCTGCTCTTATTAGAACCCCCCGATTTTTTTGGCTCAACGTCCTTCAATATAAAGATAAGTATGAATTTTAGAGCTTCTAGCTATGTTAACCTTTAACTACTGTTACTATTGGAGTCCATAAAGAAAAGGCTGTAATAGAAACATACTTGTAATCGTGTTATGTTGAATATTTTTGCTTTAAACGAATAAAGAAAAACGCTTTCTACGGTCGATATTTTGAAATTCCATGCCTCATACACAGCATTCTTTTCTTAAATTGTGGTCTTGGGAAATTTCCATAAAACAGGCCCTGCTTTACGACGGGGAATAACAACAAGTAATTGAACAGTTTGGCTAGGCCCTAAATAAGTAGTTGATGCTATCGCTATTATCAATGCTGAAAGACTAACCAAAGATAATGAAACTGTAACCGACTTGTAGTTAGAAAACTCCTCTAGAACAAAGGATCATGTAGACTTGAAGGTCGTGGTAATTTGCGGTTGCGGGAGTAGGTGATTGCTAGGATCTTAATTATTTTCAGCTTTATTAGGAATCTCATTTTTTGCAATACTGCCATTCGCCTATGGTTGCGGGTTGTGCTTTCGTGAATTGTAGTACGTAAGAGAGTATTGCAAATTTTTACCGCAACGTTAATCGAACGTTCAGTTTTTTTTGTTTTTACTGTTAAGCTCCAAACTGCTGTGCCATTTCTGGCATTGGCTTAGATGACTTTTTTGCAAATTTTTTTAATAAAATCAAATAAATATAACTTAATTCTCGCATAAGCGCTGGGGCCGTTTTCTCCAAAAAGTGTTTCAAGCGCTTCTGTTGTCAGGACCTTGTTTCCCAAGCAGGGAAAGACTACCTTGGGATGGACACAACAAAAGTAGGATTAATGTCAAAAGAAAGTATTACGTATTTATACGCTCGAAATTCTGTGGCTATCGTTTCCAGGGTAAAATTGATCGTAAGTTAAGAACAGGTGAAGAACTGAGGCTGAGATAATGTAAAATATAGTTTTGAACAATGTTTTGGAACCTCTTCAGAAAAAGTGTTTTAACCATCTCCTAGTGGTTCCAAAAAGGAATCAGAGACTCACAACCACTTTCAAACATTCAGATCCCAGAACAAGTGTTTTAACCATCTCTTAGTGGTTCCAAAAAGGACTCAGAGACTTACAACCACTTTCAAACATTCAGATCCCAGAACAAGTGTTTTAACCATCTCCTA